GTGTGTGTGTGTGTGTGTGTGTGTGTGTGTGTGTGTGTGTGTGTGTGTGTGTGTGTTTGCGCATTGATGTTGCATTTCGTGGCCTCTTGGGACGTTGAATCACGCTTGAGGAACGTTGAAGCGGATCTGATCTCTTGCCGTCGTGCTTGGACGTCTGTTTTGTTTTGATCACTCCTCCAGCTTTTGTTGGTGACCTCTCTCCATCCGGTCCGCCATTGACCTGGCAGTGGGCAGCTGCTCTCTGCGGAAGATGAGCTTCATATCACGGCGGTCTTCCCGCTCAAGTCCAAGGACGAGCCTGTATTTAATCTTCCTCTGTGACACCCAGTTGTTCAAGAAACCAGTTCCAGTTCCGCTCAATGCTTGTTGTTCCAGCGTCCTCAGGCGTCCCTCGTAATCTGGAAAGCCAAATGCTGTCTCATGAGTCGCTCTGTAGCTATACGGTGTGAGCGGCCTGCAATCCGAGTCGAGTACGACCAAATACGTGACCTCGGATAAGGACGGGAGTTTTGGAAGATGCTCCTTGAGGGCGCCTATGAGAGAAGCCAATCCCAGGCCAGTCTTGGCATTGGTCAGATCCTTGCCCAAGAAGTCGATATACTTCAACTTGGTGATGTATTTCAACTTGCACTCTGGCGTTGTGTCCATGAAAAAATTCCTGAATTCTTCAGGTGTGTACTGAAAATCCTCCAGCCCGTCGTCTGGCAGCTGTGAGCCGTCATCAAGCGATCTCGCTGGGTTTACCACGATTCTTGTTGTACTGAAGAAGATTGGGGCCCACTCCTCGCTGATCTGATGGCATACCCATTGCAGCGAGGTCCGGGTCGCTTTCACATCACGGACGCTGCGTTTCCTCTTCTCAAGTTCGTTTACCTTGCGGCGGTACGATGCTGGTTCTTTCGGAAGGATGATTTTGTCTACCGTTGCAAAATATCTATAGATTTGGAGTCTGATCTCGGGAGGGAGATCGAGGAGCCGGAAACCTGGCGGGTTCTTGCTCTCCTTCCCCTGCGCAGCAATGCTGTCTGCCTTCTTTCTCGGTGTTCTTAGTTGCCGCTTCGTGGAGGACCTTCGCGCTCCCGCCGGACCCTTTGACTTCCAGGCGGCTGCTTTCGGCATCATGAAAAGTATGTAGCTTCAACGACGGCGCGATTATCCAGGAGGAGAAAGAATGTAGATGAGCTTTTCGAAGATGAAGTAGATTTCGACGCTGCGGCGGACGGTGTGAAATATCCCTCAAGTCGAAGGAAGTGAGAAAGAAATGAAGTGAGTATGAGGTGAGGATAAAATGAATAAGTTTTGGGTATTTTGAGAGGAACTAAGGTAAAATGAGGTCAAGGTAAACACTCAGCTGAGTTGATCGGGATGCTCAATTTAATATAGACGTGAAGAGACCGCTAATATCTTGAAGCGCAGAGGATATTCCCAACAGGAAACATGATATTAGTTGGTAGTTTCAGTGTAGCTGCTTAGGACTCGCAGATGTTCCCCAGGAGGAAGCGTTCATCTGACATGTGGAATATCTACTACCGAGGGCTCAACTAACACATCCACATAGAACTTGGTCCAGATGTCGACAATTCTTACGGTCGCTTCGCGAAAAGAATAGCCAGTCTGTCTTACTTGTCATTGACTATAGGTGAGTTATCGTGTGAAAGAACCACGATCTATCAAACCTAGAAGTGGAGTAGAGGCTAGTTTCGTTGACCGGCAACCACTGTGAAACGGATGAGAGTTGGTGCAGCTATTGGATATGAAAGTGTTCGAGTCCACAAGAACAATGAATGGCCTTTAAAGTACTTCCTTTTTCCTTGCCCTTCACCAGGAGAAGAGATACAGAGGCTGCCATGTGAAATGGGGAAAACTGATCCTGCTTCCGGGGAAGTAACGACTTGGCGCCATCTGTGATTCGGCTTAACCCAAGTCAATCCCCTGTCTGCACCAATCGGCACGCTTTTCTTTCCCCGCGGGCCCGCCCCCGAGGAATCTGTATGATCTTCCCCGCGAGTTCCCCAGCCGATGCTCCCTGTCGGCAACGGGTTCTGGTCCGATTGCAGCTATCCCTATCGATGCAGCGAGGTCACGCATCAGAACTCGTATGCGTCGGTGCGGGCGCCCCAGTTTTGCATCTGCATCCCCAGGCCTGAAAACCGGGGGGTTTGCCTCTCGGGTGCCATGGAGTGCAGCAACCCCTGCTCAAGAACACCGAAAGGTCAGCAGTCATCAATACCACAGGGCGAGTAGGACTCACCCAAGTCCAGCATCTCTCTCGAGACGAAGCCAACATGGCAACCTTTGCAGCACTGAGCCAGCTCCAATCGCCGAACCTCAATACACTTTGGGCACTCCCCGCCGTTTACGTTCTCGCCGTCATTGTCTACCGAATATGGTTCCATCCTCTTGCAAAGTATCCAGGTCCCTTCCTGGCCAAGTTCACCGACATCTATCCCATGGTGGTGGCGTTCAAGATGACACGACTCTACTGGCAATACGACATGCTTCAGAAATACGGGAGTCCGGTCCGGGTGGCCACCAACCAACTCTTCTTCTCCGACATGAAGTCGTGGGTGGACATCTACGGGCAAAGCTCGAGTCCGTGCCTGAAGGAGCCCCATTTCTACGACCCCTTCACTGCGACCGGCGCCAATAGCGTGTTCAACGAGAAGGACAAGGCCGCGCACGCTCGCGTTCGTCGTCTGCTGTCCCATGCATTTTCCTTGAATGCGTTGCTCAAGGACGAACCATTCATCCAGCAAAAGGTCCAGACACTCGACGAGATAGTGTTCAGGCCCAACACCGGCCAGACGGTGGACATCTTCGGGAAGATGATGTGCCATTTCCTCGACATCTCGAGCTATTTCAGTTTCGGGACGTCTTTCAATTCGGTGTCCGGCCAGGGGGTGATCAGTCATCGAGACATGGATTGCTTGTGAGTGTGTCCCTATCCGCAGGTAGACATTCGGGTGTTCGAGAGCGACGATCCATATATGCTCAAGGCTACAGGTGGCCTTTCCACCCTGGTATACCCCATGGTAACATGACGCAGAGCTAATTGTCTATAATAGTTTCGTCACAATTCCCGTCCAAGCTTTCATCCCATGGCTAAGATACGTTCCGATCCCAAGAATCCAAAGGGCGTATGGCCAGCTCGACAGCTTTATCAAGTTCGTTCAAAAGAGCGTCCGCGACTTTCAACTCCAAATCGAGAAGGAGGGCGACAGTTTCGCCAAGGGCACATTTCTGCGCAACCTGATCGACGCCCGTGACGAAGAGACCAAGAGCAAGTTGTCCTTTGAAGAGTTGGTGGAGAACACCATCATCTTCCTCCTTGCCGGTAGCGACACCACTGCCATCACGTCGATCTATCTGATGTGGGAGTGCGGCAAGAGACCCGAGGTGAAGAAGAGGCTGATTGACGAAATCCGCTCGGCGTTCCCAGACCCCGACAAGATGCCAACCTACGAAGAGGCCTCGAAATTGGTAAGTCACCCGCCCAGGTTGCCTATGAGCCACTTAAACATCCTGACCGGTCTTTGTCTAGCCGTATTTGAACGCCTGCATCGACGAGACCTTGAGGCTCTGGGGTCCCTTCAATGTCGGCTTTCCGAGAGTCTCGCCGGGCAAACAGATCGGCGAGCACTTCGTGCCCAAGGGAGTCAACGTCGCAACAGTCTCCTACGCGACTCACCGCGATCCCAGCATCTTTCCCGATCCGCTACAATTCGTCCCAGAGCGATGGCTGAGCTCCAACCCCGACATGAGGGCCATGTGGAAGCCTTTTGGCCACGGACCGCGAAACTGCATCGGTAAACATCTGGCCGATATCGGCATGCACCTGACCCTCACACGGCTGTATCAGCTGTATGATATCGAGACCGATCCGAGCATGACGGAGCAGATGATGAGGCAGAAGGATAGGGGTGCTGCTGGGCCGTGGGATGCGAAGTTCTTGGTCACGTTCACTCCAGCCAAGTGACAAGCGGCGGACCTTTTTCTGTCTTGTAACAGCAGCCTGAATGGTGCGTGCTGTACATGTCGCTCGAGTCAGTTTGCTCGGTTTTAGCAAGTCTAGTATACAAGGGCCTCATCGGCTCCAATGTGCTTTGCTTCAGGCTGCCAAACCAGGAGGCAATCCTGCTCTTTTGTGCGATCATGGCGAACCCATTTGGTTCGCCAAACGGCATGTAATGCTAGGATGTGACCATGCAATGCACTTTTGACGTCCATATCTACTCGTCTCCGCATCATCTTCGTCATGTTCGTCCTCTGAACCCTGTGCCCCTCTCTGTCGTTGTCTGCCTAAACTCCGCAGTCGAGGCGGATTTTGTCCCAGCTAAAGTCCGGGGGATGTGATGAAAGTCGAAATGTTCTTTCCACCATCACCCAGGCGCACATAACGCATTTGTCATTTCCCCCATCATCACTGTATCCCGAAGGCAATTGCGAATTAGGTCCGAATGGCTTCCAGCAAGCAGATCATCCTCATAACCGGAGGTAGGAATGTTGCATTTTGGTTTTCCGAGCATCATTCAGTGTTGACTCGGTCCAGGGAACTCGGGCATTGGCTTCAGTCTCGCGGAACTGCTCCTTGCAGATGAATCCAAGCATGTCATCATCACCAGCCGGGACGTTGAGAGGGGAACCCGTGCGCTGCGCGACCTGCAGGCGATGAAGCTACCCGGCACAGTCGAAATGCTTCCCCTTGAAGTGGCAGACCCCGACTCGATCTTGGAATTGTCGCGCAAGGTGGACGAGGCTCATGGGAGGTGTGTACCCGCACTGCGTCTTCCATAGTTCGCTAAGACGTGACTTTCTCTCGCCAGGCTAGACGCGTTGGTCAACAACGCCGCACAGGCCGTCGCCGCGCCGGGCATGAGCCTTTTCGAGCACATGCAACGATGTTTTGCCGTCAACGTCAGCGGACCAGCGGTCATGATCGAAACGTTCCTGCCTCTCCTCCGGAAGTCAAGCTCGACGCCTCGGATCATCAACGTCGGAAGCGGACAGGGCTCGATCGGTCGGACTCTGAGCCCCGATGGTCCAAGCGGACCTCTAACCATCCCGTACAAGACAAGCAAGGCGGCGCTGAACATGCTGAGTTCCGTCGAAGTCGTCAAGCTCCGCCAGGCGCATGAGAAGATCAAGGTGTTCACGTATTGTCCCGGTTTCTGCGTCTCGAATCTCGGGCCCTTCAATAAGCCGGAGAACGGCGCCAAACCGACGGTGGATGGCGCACGACCAATGGTGGCCATCCTGAACGGGGAGGAGGATCATGAGGATGGGGGGTATCTCAACTCTGAAGGTGGTCGACATCCTTGGTAAATGGCAGTTGAGACTCGAATTTTCATGGCGGCAGCCAACTGATACCAAATCGTTCCGTACCATTGCTATCCATCTATGCAGGTGCCCAGTGTCCAGAATATACGATGCTAGGGGCTTATTACCCAATTGACAGGTATGGGCAGGTAACGCGGCTGTGGGGCATCTGAATGGAGAGAAGCAGAATGCGGGTCTATCGAAGAAAGCTCTTTGTCTTGTCCACGTCTATGTAGAATAGCCGACATAGGAGCAACCCACTTGCCCACTATATGCCAGTATTAGAGCCTTGGCATAACTCCCTATATAGAGCCTTTGCACATGTTATGTGCAGAAGCACTCTTTTCGGCTTTAAGGCACCTCGCAATCTAGCCCAAAGGGATCGTTAATATGTGGCATGCGTGACCAGTGAATTACTTCCGCTGCAACAGCAGCGTAGAGGAGTCCCATATTGAAGCTCGAGTGATTGACCCTGTGGAGACAGAAGGATGATTTGATACGTAAGTGTGCGACATGATATAGAACGACCTTTCAGCAGTCTGGTCACGGGCTGAAGTGGTCAAACTTGACCGTCTCCGCCAGATACACCGCAAGATCCCCGTCCTCGTCAAAATCCACCTTCGTCAAGCCGTTGCCGACGAAGGTGAACGGGTTGCGGGAGTTGTAGACGAAATCAAAGTCCTCCCCGCGCAGCTCGCTGAGCATTTCCCGGAAGTGGTTCATGCTGCCTGGGTAGATGGCCGTGATGCCGGTGCGATACTCGTCGATCCTGCCCTTCTTATACCACGAGTCGCAGTCCTCGTTCCAGGCCGTGCGCCGGAGGATTTCCTGCAGGTAGATATTGTACGCCTCGACGCGTTCGTTCTTGACGCACACGTACCTGCAAATCCTTATTAGTGATTAGGCCGAAGGGAAGTTCTTGATTAGCACTTACTTGATGTCCTCCGAAGAGATCTTCAAAGCCCACTTCAATATATAGTTGGAAACGAAGCCCATCGCGGAAAGAACAGGTCCATTCGCGATGGGGAAATTGGGTCCGCATCCGATGCTGAAATAATTCGGCATGTCAGGGGCACAGACGCTGATGTAGCCGTCCACGTTGTCCTTCCATCTTTCTGCGAGGGTGATCCCACCCCGGCCTCGCATGGTCCACGGTGGGATGCGATTGTTGACAAATCCTGTCGCGAGGACTATGATGTCAAAGGGACGAAATGAGCCGTCGCTGTTACGGATGCCGTCCTCGGTGATCGCCTCTATCTTTGAGTCGACTAGTTCTGCATTGGGAGCCTGGAGCGCTTCTAGGTACTTGTCTTCCGGCGTGAGTCGGCGGCACCAAGGTTGGTAGGAAGGCTTCAGGCGGTTGACCAACGCCGGGTCTCCATGCAGGCGGTCGCTCATCCACCGCTCGAGCTCGGCGCGGAATGCCTGCTTCGCCCCTTTGCTAGTGTCATTGAAGACCAGTCGCATGAATAGACCGTTGTTGAAGCTTTCGATCATCTTCCTGTACTTGTACAGGTTTTCGGGAGTCTTGAAGGATTCGAGCTGCTCCGGAGAGTCTTTTCCCAAAGTGTTAGCTTTCAAGCAGGGGACGACCATTCATTTTACGGAGGGGGTTCCACTCACATGCAAAATTCCTGCCCTCAGGTGTAAATTGGTGAACATAGCTCATCGAGATCCAGGTGGGTTTGCGAATGAAGTGCGTGATAGAAGCTGCATCGGGTTGCATTGCACGAAACACCTGAATCCCGGATGAGCCATTGCCGATGACACCGACTTTTTTGCCCTTCCAGTCCAGTGAATCATCCCTGAAATCCACGTAAGCGCGGCCCAGCATTTCCAACAACTCTACATACCAATTTCCAGTGTGGACAAGCTTGCCTTTGAAACCGTCGAGCCCCGGGATACTGGGATTGAGCGGCGTGCTAGGGAGAACAAGCATCAGATTAGTCAGGGCACAGGTAGACGAAGTGCTTTGGATAGCTTGCCTTTGGGTTCCAGAAGCGCCTATCAAGATGTCGCATTGGTCATGCAAAATCGCACCCTCTGATTCAACTGTTGTGTTTCGGTCAGCTTTGACCGTCAGGACGCACGTAACCCACCCGTCAGATTCCATTTGCCGAGTGCTTCGTCAAAAGCAGCCTCAACCACCCTCGTCTTGAACTTCATGAATCTTTCCAGGTCGAGTTTCTTGGTTGTTTCCAAGATATATTCTAGAATTTCTGGCCCGGTCGCTAGGAAGTTCTTCCAGTCATGTTTCGGATTGAATGGGAGAGTGTAGACGTGAATCGGAACATCACACATCAGCCCGGGATAGTGGTTTGCGGCCCATGTTCCTCCTGGGTGATTCTGGCCTCAGTCAGTCACGAGGTCAAGTCATCGCCACCTGCGGTCTATAGCGTGCCTGCTGCTCGTAAATCTGAAAGCTCACAACATCTTCAAGCTTCAGTTCGTGTGCAATCTTGTATGCAAGCGTGATTCCAGCAAACCCTGCACCAATGCAAACAACTCGAATCTTTCGGGGTTTGCGCAGGTAGTTTGAATTCAGGGGGACGCAATACGGCGAATACTGCGAAGACATTGTTCCGAATCGAAGCAAAAGGGAATAGTTGCAATGACCGCGAGAGAGAAAGCCAAAATACCGTAGCGGACGAAGAAACTGGGGCTTCCACACATTGAGTGCGCTTCCCAGGCAGTATATACAGGATGTGAGGATGTGTTGATGTGGGGTAAGGTCGTCAGGTTGGTGACGATCTTAACAACTGTGCCACCCCGCCTTGACTGCAACTATCGGCGGAGAAATGGATCGGCATTGCAGAAGCGAAGAGGCATAGGTTTCTGACTTCCAACCTGTTTTTAGGAGCGGAGTGTGTCTCTTGCAACTTGTGCCTCGCAGGTGGAAGTCGAGGAAATGATGCGGCGGAGGGGAGGCGGAGGCGGATGTCGACAGCCGCCTGACCAACACGGCTAGCGTATCCCCTAAAGTGGAGCCTCGTATCTCCAAATCTTAGAACATCTTCAACAGTTTCTTGATCACCTGCACATTCTTGATAAGCGGACAACCAGCAAACTGTCGAATGGAGCTCCAAGCGGAGAAAATGCTGGTTCCGCAGCGACATTGTCCGTCTATGATGACAGGCAAGATCTTAGGCGTTGCGGAAGCACCAAGAATTATGCCACCACTGCAGCTCTGCAAGAAAGTCGGATGAGGAATCACATATGGTAAGACTCGACTTTCGGTCCGTTGCTGTTAACTCCAGCTGTTGCTCGGAGATTTCGGCAAATGAGTGCAATACCTGTTGAGGATCATTGCTGTGGTTGATTAGGCTGAGTTCGACAAAGTCTGAGCATGCCCCTTGAAGAAGTCGCCTGACTCAAGTGGCCGTCAGCTAACTCCAAGTCCCTCGATGGCCGTCGTTGAAGCTGCGTTCTCGCAATCTGAGTACAACCGATCAGACCACCTGAACCCATACCTTAACTGAATATGTCGACCTCAAACCCAAACTACGACGTTTTCCATAGCGTGGACGAATTGATCATTGGACGTGCAAATGAAGACAGCAACGAGCCTATCATCGCGTACCCGAAATCAGATGGCACACTTACAGACTTCTTATATCTTACCGCGAAGGACATCCATTGCCTCACGGATGTTGCGGCCCAGAAACTCGTGGGCCAAGGGCTGAGGCAAGTTGTGAGTTCGATAGACGAACATCTCGAATGACGATGGGCTTCTGACAACAATGCATGTAGGCCAGCCATGAGGTCGAGACGATTGCTCTCCTGGGCTTATCTGACTTGGACTATATGATCACAATGTTTGGCCTAAGCCGGCTGGGCTATACGGTGTTCCTGCTCTCCCCAAGGCTTGCAACCGATGCTTATGCGAGCCTGCTCAAGGCAACAGGGTGCAAAACGGTATATTATGACCCAAAACTGGAAGCAGCTGTCGGCAAGATTCGTGACCTCGAGGGCTTGTGGCTGCTGCCGATCCCACAAAGAGGCGAGCCTGACAACGTCAGTATAACCAAACCCTCGATTCATAGAGGGGTTATCAAGCCCTCTGGGAAGCACAAGGTGGCCTTTATCTTGCATTCTTCAGGTTCGACGGGTGTACCGAAACCTATTTACCAGACTCATCAAGCATGTCTCGAGAACTATGCAAGAGGACATGCCCTACGCGGGCTGTTAACGGTGCCACTTTTCCACACGCACGGCCATGCATGTTTATTCCGAGCGATGTTTAAGCGAGTAACCATTTATTTTTTGAATGCGAGGCTCCCCTTAACATCCACGAACCTGACTGCTGTGCTGGAAGCTGTTAGGCCTGCAATCATGTTTACTGTGCCATACGCCCTGGGCCTTCTCGCCGAGACAGAACGTGGGATGCAAGCAATGCAGTCGTGCGAGATTGTCTCTTCCGCCGGAAGCCAAGTCCCGGACGAACTCGGTGACCAGCTTATTGACCGTGGTGTCCATTTGATATCACACTGGGGCTCGTAAGTTCCGCTGAGACCGTCCCAAGCCAGAAAGCTTGAACTTCCTCGAGACGATGGCTGACAGATTGCCAGGACCGAAACCGGAGCTCTCATGGACTCTATGCGGCCTCGCGAAGATAAGGATTGGTCGTACATGTCGATATTTCCCTCCGCCAGACCTTTCGTGACGATGAGACCGTTGGGAGCGCACACTTACGAGCTCGTAGCACTCGATGGATTGAAATCGAAGACTGCCACAAATTCGGACGATCCTCCCAACTCGTTCCATACCAGAGACACGTTCGAGGCCCATCCTACGAAGCCGAATCGATGGAAATATACAGGCAGATTGGATGACAGAGTGACCCTGACAAATGGCGAGAAAGTGCTGCCCTCGGTTATGGAAGGCCGTTTACGCCAACATCCGCTGATTCGAGAGGCCGTTGTTTTCGGCGTAGGACGAGCTCTGCCAGGTGTATTACTATTTCGTAGTACACCCGCGGCTGCAATGAGTGACGAGGAATTTGTCGAACAGCTATGGCCTTTTGTTGACGAAGCCAATTCCAAGGTTGAATCCTTTGCCTGCATCTCAAGAGAGATGATTGTGCCCATGGGCGCAGAGGTCGACTACCCACAAACAGACAAAGGCACCATTGTCCGGGCTCAAGTGTACAAGGTGTTCCACAAGATCATTGACGACAAGTATGAAAGATTGAATTTGGGCGCGAAAGGGGTATTGAGACTCAACCAACACGACACTGAACGCTTGATCCTGGAGAGTTTCAAGCGAGAGGGACCGATTGATCTTGCTTCGGCCGACGCAGATTTCTTCTCCGCTGGTGTTGACAGCCTGCAAGCCACAAAGATGGCAGCGATCCTCCGAGGAAAGCTGTATCTGCCAAAAGCAGGAGCGTTGACGCCCAATACAATCTTCGAACATGCAACTCCAGCTAGACTGGCCAGGCATCTCGTGCGGCTCCAGGCCGGAATAGAAGACGAGGGCGAAGACGAGAGAGGAGTCATGAAGAGGATGATCGAGAAATACTCGACATTCTCAAGATTCGTGCCGCTTGAAAGGGGCCAGAATACGGGTTGTTCCGCGGTAAGCCAATTATATATTGACATCACTTTTTTCACTTGATCTAATCTAGCTACAGCTGCTTACCGGAGCAACAGGATCTCTGGGCAGTCATCTCCTTGCCGTGCTTCTCCATCGTTCAGAGATTGACAGGGTCTACTGCCTTTTGAGATCTTCGGCGGCTGGCGACGCCAAGCAGCGAATCCTCCTGGCGCTTTCGGATCGAGGGTTGGCTCTACCGGACGAATACGAACGGCGCATCATTGCCCTGCCTGGTGACCTAGGCCGAGAAGACCTTGGCCTTCAGCCACAGATGCTCAGCGAGATGCGGGATAGCGTTTCGTTGGTCATACACAATGCGTGGGCGGTGAATTTCAACCTTGGCTTGCGCAGCTTCGAGGACCAGCATGTGAAGGGCACGCAGAACCTCCTCAATTTTGCTCTATCGGTCCGGGCCACGCAACCGGCACGATTCGTCTTTCTCTCATCAGTGTCGGTAGCATCGGCGTCACCGCTTGAAAGCATTGTCGCAGAGACGTTGCTGGAAGACCTAGACTCGGCGACTATGGGCTACGGAAAATCAAAGTTGGTCACAGAGCACATGGTAAACAACGCGGCTGCATTTGGGATCGATGGCCGGGTGGTTCGGATCGGACAAATCGTCGGAGACAGTCAACATGGACTTTGGAACGATTCCGAGTCCATACCTCTCATCGTCCGCTCGGCGCTGACGGTGGGCTGTCTTCCAAGATTACAAGAGGTTCGTAGTGTTCTACACCGTGTTCCTGTGGTTTGAAGAATTGAGATTCTCTTCGACTAACTCGTTTGTCATGTCCAGCATTGCTCGTGGATTCCGGTTGATTTGGTTGCAAAGATCATCGTCGAATTATGCTCCCACGACACATCTCCCAGAGCAGAAGGCCAAGGGGTCGCGGTTTCGGCAGGGAGCTGCCGCTTTTACAACGTTGTCAATCCTAAGTCATTCTCTTGGACAGGTGACTTGCTTCCGGCACTACAGGAGGCGGGGCTGTCTTTTGAGTCTGTCTCCCCGCAAGAATGGCTGGCACGGCTGGCAGCAAGTGAACAGGATCCGAAAGTCAACCCCACGATCAAGCTGAGATCAGTCTACGAGAGTAAATACGGGACCGAGCAGACCGCATACGAAAAAGCGAGGGGTACGGACACCGGGGCTCAATATATCGCAGATACCACGGAATCCGACACCGGCAGGCTGAAAGGAGCAGAGAAGCAGGTGCTTTTCTCTACGGAGAGCGCACAGAAGGCTAGCGAGGCCATGAAAAACCTGCCTGATTTACTGAGCGAAGGTTATGTGAAGAAGTTTGTTTCACGCTGGTTAGAAAAGTGGCGAGATCCAGGTGTTGGGCGTTACGAGAAGACGCAGGTTGCTCCTGAGGAGGTCTTGTAGCGGGAATAGAGAGTATGAAAACGCTCGTGTGTCTCCACTGATCAATGGCTAGCAGGTCTCCATGGTCGCTAGCACGACTGGCGTACTGATAGAGATAGACTGGAGATGGATCCAACGGGTAGACAGAGATAGCCAGAACGGGCCAGACCTGTTCACACTAACCACTTACGGGCGCGTCTGCATCCACAAGTTTGCCGCGTTCCGATGCCGAGAGACCTAGAATGGAAAGGATCCCAGGATTGCGCGGAGGCTGCGGGGGAGCGAGGCGGGTATTATTATTATTCCTCTCGATTAGCTGCTTGGGGAGATCATATCTGCACATCCTGGCCCACTGGATTCTCCCCCCCGGGGAAGTTACAATCTCCCTGGGCTGACGGACGTGCCTGGAAAGGCGTAGTCAGATCTGACAGGGAAAAAGCCTAACCGTTTCGCTGGCTACGACTCCTCCCTCTCCGACTCTATCTCGACCTCCTTCACGATCCAGATTCTCAATTCGTGCGTTCCGAACTTCACGCTGCGTCAATAGATCGCCGCAGCTTGCAGTTCGAGTTTCTGCTCGATTCGACATTCGACATTCGACATTCGACATTCGACATTCGACGAGGGTATAGATTATGGAATGGACGACGAGTCCGAGCTTCGTCTCGAGCGCAAACCCACGACGCATCCCCCCAGACCTCCGCAAGCGAGCGGTCATCAGCTGCGATCGCTGCAAGAAGCGGCGGCGGAAATGCGTCCGTCTTCCTTCGGCCTCAACCTGCGAGCTGTGCAGGGAGAACGCGGTGCCATGCGTGACGACGATTCCCCGGAAGCGGCCCTCGGCAGCCCAGCCTTTCCCGGTGAATGAGGACCGGCCCTCTCGACAGTTGCTGATGGAGCAACTCCTCGACAGGCTATTCCCGGAGGTGGCGGTGGCCGACGCCAACGAGCTTGCCAACCTTGCAGACTGCCTGGAAAAGAGTCATGTGCAGATACACTTCGCTCGTGACAAGATGTCGGTGACGGCAAACGGGTCCACTGTCCAATGTGGCCTTGCGTCTTTGACCTCTGCCCCGGTCCTCCAGGATCAACCTTCATGTGTATCGCAGAGCGACCGTCGAAGCTTTGCTGCAACGCCGCTCGACCTTGGCCCCATGCCGGGCACATCCCCAACGAGCAGTCGGGGCGGGAACTGCTGTGAGCGAATCCTGCAGAATTCCTCGGGGACCCTGTGCTACTTCGGCCCATCCAGTTCCATGGCCTTTGTGACCCAGCTTCGGGAGCACCTGATCTCGACGGCGATCCAGAACTTGGAGAAGCTCCAGCCCAAGCAGCGCCGACTGCGCCAGAAGTTCGTGGCGGACAATTACTGCTGCACGATGGAGGAGCCCTCGACGGCGAAAATCACCCAAGCGCCCGCCGCACAACGCCACGGCGATTCGCCCCAATCCTCTCCAGAAGACGTGGACGACGTGTCCCTCGACGCCAATGCCTTCCGGTCTCCGTCGTCCCACGGCTCGCAACGGCTCGTGGACGTTCTACCGGCGCGAGACGAGGTGGAGCAGTTGGTGGAGTTGTTTTTCGTGCACGTCCATCCGAACATGACCTTGTTCCACCGCCCCTTGTTCCAGAGCGCCCTGGAGCGCCTTTGGACCTCGGATCTGGACTCGCAGGATGTCGGGTGGCTGACCTGTTGCCTGCTCGTGCTCGCCTTCGGGTGCAAATACCTGGCGTCGACCCCGACCGGCAAGACCACTCCGGGGCCACGGGACGTCCGCAAACTGCAGCAAACGCTCGTGGAGATGGCTCTGGGGCATGTGGCGCGGTTGATCCAGTGTGCGACCCTCCAAAGTGTCCAGGCGCTTGCGCTCCTCGCGCTCTATCTCAACACCACGCACCAGAGGAATGCCTCGTGGATCATGATGGGTTGCAGTATCCGGATGGCCGTCAGCCTGGGCATGCACCGGAGCGACAAGATCTTACAGCAGAAAAGCGTCCTTTCGACCGCGGTGGACAGGGAGTTGAGGAAGCGCGTGTGGTGGTCACTGTACATTTACGAGCAGTACAACAGCGCCCTCTTCGGCCGCCCCAGCGCGATCGACGAGCTCGAAACCACCAGCGATCTGCCGACGGATTCATTCCTGGACGAGGGCTACCATCGACCTCCGGGACTCATCACACACGACACATATCTCGCACGGATCGTGGACAGGATCCGAAAATCACAGGCCAGCCAAGGGCGCCGTGTGGGATGCATTGGACCTGACGGCGGGCCAGGGCTGAGTGAACACCAGACCGCCGATCGCCACCTCCACGATCTGGATACGTGGTACGAGGAACTGCCGCAATTCCTGAGGTTCGACGCAGCCAACCAGCGCCACATCTACCCGAGCCACTTCCGCCAACTCGTCACTCTGCAGCTTCGGTACCAACACGCGAGACTGCTGCTGACACGGCCGTTCTATCTGAGGCTCGTCCAGACCCGATCCTCCACCAGCGAAGGCGGGGGACTCGAAGCCGATCCCGGGACGAGGTATGGCGACGTGTGCGTGGCCGCGGCCCTCGACTCCTGGCGGCTGGCGCAACATCTGTGGGAGAGGGGCCAATTCAACGGCGACATCGGGCTCGACGGGGTGTTTCTGTACCAGTGCGGGATGGTCCTCGCGCTGGCGTGCCTGGACACGCGGCAGAGATGGGACGTCGATGTCGCCGCCCCGGGCAGCAGGGACCGCAAGGTCTTCTACCACGCCATCGAAGGCGTCCTCGCCATGCTGCACGACATCCCCCCGGACAACCCGATGAGTCGGATGGTGCAGATCGCAGACGACTTCTGCAGCATTGTGCGGTCGATGAAATCCGAGCCGGCTGCGGCGTCGGGATCCAACGACCCGATCATCCAAGATCCGCGCGGCGACCGACAGGCTTCGGCGCTGCTGCAGTGCGCGTCCGGTCAGAGCAGCAACTCTGCTGGTATGGCGCAGGGGCACGAGGACCAGACTCGGTCCTTCCAGGCTGCCGAATCTCCAAACCGCCTGGACGGCTCGCTGGCGTGGGCGGGCCCCTCGCCGTCGTTGGCGGCTGGTTTGGGCGAAGTAAACCCCGTCGCTCGAGAAGACGAGCTTCAGGCTTCGGCATGGAATATGGACGGCACGCAGCTGATCGACTCCATGCTCGACTGGGACTTGTCGCAGGTCTTTGGGTTCGAGGGCGGCGGGTCCATGAACAACCCTTTCCTCGTCTAATTAATATCCACGCTGGCGCCAAAAGCACGGGCGCAAGCAGTGGTATAGTCGCTCCTATGTATGTATGTATATATATACACACCATGGTCATTCAGCAGATCATGAACAAGTCTCGCGACTGCTTAAAGCACGCCGTCCGCAGACAAGTCCAGAGGTCAGACGAGGGAGATATCCTGAAACCTGGCCTCGCCCATGTGCACCCTCCTTGCGATCTCCCCGTCCATCAGGCCGTGCGCGTAGCATTCGCCGACCATCCTGTACCGATTCGGAACCGGTGCGCCAGCGCCTCCGCCGACGTTCACGACGGGGCGTAGCAGATACAAGACCTTGCCGCCGCTCAAGGCCCAGACGTGGTCTCCCACGACGGCGGTGTTGGGGATCATGAGCAGGTAGTCGCGCTCGCTGCGGCCAATGTCCCGGCCGACCGAGGCGTTGTCCCGCGCGCCCCGCATGTTCATCTGGTAGCGGTACTCGGTCAGCGACAGCTCGGCGCGCGGCCGGCGCATGAAGGCGAAGTCGAGCTTGCCGCCGCGCTCCGACGGGCGGCCCAGCTCGTCGTAGACGACGTCGAGCGCGAGCGTGCGGTTGAGCGCGTCGACGTAGCTCTCCCCCGTGGCGGCGTACGTGGAGTCCATCTCTGTGGCCCACCGCTGGGACTTTGTCCGCGCGACGCTGCGCACCGCCTCGAGGTCCGGCCCCGTGTTGGGGATGATGTCCTTGAGCACGTCGACGTGCACGCCGCTGACCAGGAGGGTGGTGCTGTTGGTACCGTCCTGGAGCCGAGGTTTCGTGGACGACGGCGCGGTGTCCTCGTCCAAGGGGCGATAGCATGGGACCCGGGCAAGGTTGTGGTTGGGCAGGCCGCGCGTGTCGTAGAACGTAACGGCCCGTTCGGCCACCTTTTCCGGCACGTAGAGGGACTTTGGGATGGGGACCAGCTTCGCGCTGGCGGCGAAGTTGGGGACCCACGACGGCAGCGTCGACGTGACACCCTGGGGCGTTGCCACGACCTCGCCGCCCGCCTCCTGACACGGCCGCACGGTGCCCAGGGAGTCCAGTTCGTGGCCCCGCCGGGCGAGACAGTATCGCACGACGTCCACGTACACGTCGAGCACCGTCTGGCCCGCGTAGTCGGGGCGAATATAGTCGCGCACGTCATCGGAGGCCAGGTACATGGGCGCGTAGACCTTGTCCCGGGGGTCGGCGCATTCGGTGTGTCGAAACATGTCCAGCACCTCGAGGAACGAGCCCGTGGCGTGCTGGACCCGCCGCTCGCGAAACCGCATAAGCTTGGACGCCCGGTCTTGGGCTCCTACCGTGGTGGCCGCGAGGAAGCCCGACTCCAGCCCCGGCGTCGACAGGATGCTCGTCGCGACCATGCGCGTGGTGACGAGCTCGGCCCAGCCGGTCTGCTGGTCGCCACAGAGGAAGGTCACTTTGTAGGACGGCGGCGGCAGCACGGCGACGCCGGCGATGTACCTCAGCTTGTAGGGCTCCGGGACCGTAGCCTCCTGGAAGACCCAGGTGCGCGTCCACCAGGGACTTTCCCACAGGGCGAGGATGCCCAGCCAGCCCCGGTGCGTCTGCGAGCCCTGCACGTCGAAGATTCTCTTATCGGTCGCGACGGGGAGCGTGCGCAGAAAGTCGGCGGCATCTTCGCCGTGGGTGCGCACCTTGCGCGGCCACCACGCTGGCCGGAAAGGGCGCGCTCTCCTGATGCTTTCGCGGTGCAGCTTCACAAAGTACCGCATCATCGGGAAGGCGAGCTGGTTGTTGGTCTCGTTCGCGGGCGTGCCCAACCAGACGAGCACTTTCGTGGCCTGCTCGTAGATCTGCCTCATTTGCGTGATCTGAATGCTGCGCTCCGCCAGCGCCTCCACATCCGTCCCTTGATTGATGCATATCGCGTCGACCCAGAGGTACTTGCTGACCAGCTTCGAGCGATGGATCTGCTGGAGCGCGTCGTGCAGGTTTCTCCGGACGTGGAATGTCTGGCCGTCCAGGCAAACGTGGTGTCTGCTGTCCGGTGCGCCCCAAGTGTATGACAGCGCCACGTAGGGTGGTTGCGAAAGGAGCGGGACGTGGACGATCTCAAATGACAATGGCTGCTGCTGCTGCTCCGTTGCTGTTGCTCGAGACAACACGGGCTTCAAAACCCGGATCTCCCCCGGCTGCAGGGGTGAATAGGAGAAGCCCGTGGCCATGTTGACATTATTGTAGCGAGGACCTGTCAAATATTCATGTTGCAAGCACGCTCGCGCCTCTCGTATTCGTGTAATGCTGGAAAGTAATTGCTACAAGAGAAAATCCGTAGAAAGGGCGGGATGGGGGATTAAGGAGGTGGATTGAAGTATGGCCAGCCCGGCCCCTTTGCACAGCCTGATGATGGCGGTGGCGAAGGCCATAATGTGGCGTCAGGCTGTCCAGCTATTTCTACCGTACACTATCAGGAAGAGTTGACTCCTATGTCTGCGAGGGGCCGAGTACCTCCTACAGCATGCCAGTTCTCGTATCGCTCGTGGGGACGTATCACACAGACATAGGAGACAAAGGTATGTCTATCCGTCTATACATCCACACATCTCACGTCTACAGAGATGATCAAATTTAAAACAAAACAAATCTTCGCACTCAGGTGTAATCATCTCTTGCTATGATTGGGATCTTTGTCTTTTTCTTCCCTTGTACTTGAGTACTCATACATAAAAAACAGGTCAACATATGAACGCCGCTGGGATGCTCCTGTAATGCACCGCCCTGAAAATGCCCCCTCGATGCGTCGAAGTCTTTCACAGCTCTAGCAGCCATAACCCGAAAGATCACAGTTTGACAAATATGGGCCATGATTCCAAGCGCGCAAGATGCAGTTGACGGTCGGTGGATGCAGAAAAAAAATCAGTTTCATGTCTCATCACATAGTGACCCTCTCAGGCTGGGTATGACCTTTTTCGTCTCCCTTTCGGAGTGCGCCTTCGTTTGAGACACTTCCCGGCTTGAGTATGTCTAGCCCTTAGCGTACTCACGGGTCCACCAATCTCGGTCCCAGTATCCGCTTTCCAGCTTCATCTCGCTCATCTCGAGCCTTCCCCTCCTGTCTTGGCTGGGATTCGGATTGAGATGCTGGTGGTTCCCCACTGTCTGTTCACTTCCATCCCCCGCTGAGTTTACCTGGCCCGAGTGTAGTCACTCATATCCAGCCCCTCTTTGCCAGGGACTCGAGTTGTTTTGCTGCCGGAAGCCTTGTTGTGGAGGATACCCGCCTTGCGCAGAACGGGGAGGCGGGGGCCCGTAGCCACCACTGGCAAGGCTGCTCATGCTTCGATCGTATGAGGGTTGAGAGGATGTTGTTGTCGGTCTTCCGCCGTAACCGTAATCACCACCGGCGTTGTACCCTTGGTTGTACATTTGTCGTTGTTCGTACGACTGTGGGGGACCACGTCGTCCGGGCTGGTCGCTGGGGTACATGGGTGTATTGTAGTCCTGCTGAGGGTTGGCGGCGTGGTTCTGGGACATAGGTCGTTGTGAGATATCGGATTGATGTTTCAACGAATCACTGGAGAAAGACGCATCGTCATCGTAACCCTTGTCGTTGGTGTACGTATTCTTGCCATCCCCTCTAGCCGTGGCACCTAGCGCATCCAGTTCGGTAGTGAGCGCGGCTTGAGACTTGATGAAGCTTCCTCGATCATCGCGCATTGGCTGGTATCTGACCTCGGGGTTCTTGGACGCTATGGCGTAGATGGAGGCAATGAGTACAAGGATGAGCAACACGGCCGCAAAGACAACGTTGTAGAAGGCGAAGATGACGCCCATGACGCCCGAGACCATCTCCGGCTGTCCGAATGCATTCGAAAAGACGAGGAGGAAGATGGCGTTGAGGAAATTGACCGAGGCGATGGAGATGTTGAAGATGTTGGTCTTCTTGTCCATGAAGGGCCGGAGGATGCTGACGGCGATCAGTGCCACCGCCTCGACAATAACCAACCCCACCGCTTGAGCCACGGGCGATTTCTGTGCAAAGGCGATAAAGATGGCCTTGATCAGAATGTAGCCCAGCAGAGGAACCACAAAGTAGTATGCGGTGGCGCGATACTGCACATAGAGGAATCCCCACTTGTTGAGGCATTCAGGGTCAGAATAGAGAATGTAGGCTGGGTTCTTGTGCATAGCGACCGATTTCTTCGCAAGTTGAATGACTTTAAACGATGCCCAACCCAAGGCGACAGCCATGGAGATGAAGACAATCAAGGCCAAGACAACTTCAGCCGCTGAGTCTCGTTCGACCAATTCCCATAAGCAGAGAACGGACATTTGCACGAAACCGAGAAGAACCTGGAGTGTACCTGTCAGCAACCGGTTGCCTTATATGGGGTTGTCAGTGCTCACCAATCGGAAAAGAATACCCTTGATGACAATTTTCCAGCCATTTCGGAACTCGAGGAACTTATCAGACTTCATCCAACCTGCCTTGGCACAACCATCAAGAACGACCTTGGTCAGGGCGACCAAGACGGCCACTAAGAATAGGATGAAGACGAAAAATATCAGGCCGGTCATGAAGATGTTGGTCTGTTCGATTCCGGCCCTAAAACCGACTCTATCGATTCCACGAACGACTTTGACGTTCGCGACGGTAGTGGTGGTCGCAGAGCTTTGGCGTTTCGCCAGGTAGCGTAGGTTTTGGGCGGCAAAGGTAGTCATAACATCCAGAGAGCGTTTAATGGCGCGTTTCTGCACTTGAACCGAAAATGTGCTGAGGGTGGAAAGGTAGGTGGTGGGCGTTCCGCCGGTTGCCCGCTGATACCACGTTGCAATCGATTGAAGGAATCCTACACGAATGATGCCCATACTCCATTGGAAGTTCTGGGTCCAAGATTGCACAATCGGAGGCATGGTGACAGAGGTCATGCCAATGACGGCCTGGGCTTGGAAGAAGCCAAAGAGCGATACAGCGTTCGCTGCAACATGAGCAGCCGTGTTGGGATGACCGAGACCAGACGTCAAACCAGCGGCTACCAGACCCAAGCCGGCAATAACGGCCGTGGCCCAACCCACAGCTGGATGATACACGCTCTTGGTGTTGGAGAGATCAGCTTCCATGCAAGCAATCACCTCACCCGTGTCGAGGGAGGTGACATAGACACGAACCACACCGTCCAAATCTGGTACGCTGTATGCGATTCCGGGAACCTGTTTAGCGACATCCTTTGGCACGTCGATATTTGTCTGGATGTCGATTTGGCCGGTCTGCATGGGACAGAAACCCGAAAGATCCATGGAACAGGGGTCGAGAGTCTCGTTGAGGATGGTGAATCCATAGGCAATAACCTCCAGTTGCGCCGTTACATTTCCTACAATGGACGAGACACCGTTAATGTTGAGGCCGATACTGCTGTTGCCCGGCGTGTATGCAACATTGAACAAGGTTGCTGTGAAGTTGGAGCCACTCTTGCAAGAATTCAGCGAGTTGGACTCGATGATGTTTTCTGCGAGTGCGAATGGTGATAATGAGATGGCGGCGAGGAGAGAGAGGAGGTAGGAGAGGGAAGTTTGCGGTCGCATGTTGGGGAGAAGTCGTCGCAGTTGGCGTCTGCGACTGGACGCGGTTGTTTAGGGTGGCAGAGAGAAAATGGCAGATGCAAAGATTCCAGGGCGCCAACCAGGGCGAACACCTCTTCAGCAATCGATGATCCGGTAATGTATGGGGAGAAGGAATTAGGGATTATTTTCTTTCTTCAGTGGTGAGCTCGATGATGGCAGGAAGAGCTATTCGAGGAGGGTGGTGGGTTGTGTCATTGAGATCTGCAAGGGGAGGTTGGAGGGTGAGAAAAAACCGGGAATTGGAACGAGCGGAAACTCTAGGGACTGCGGTGCAGGAGAGTGAAAAGAGCGAGAGTTGGTCGTCGTTGTTATCGTCGTCGCCGTTCGATTCTTGCAGTGACAAAGAAAATGTTCAAAGACGATTGTCGGCGCAGTCTGGCGTTTCGAGGACGAGGGGGGGATGTCGAGGGTGAATAGCGAGCGTGAATGGTGAAGAAGGAGAGTTTGAGTGGTGACGAAGGCTGGAACAGGACGAGCTGCGAGATTTGACACGCAACGAAGCGAACAGGAGATGCTCTGATGCTCCGCCAGAACCGCGTGGAGCCCACAACCTCAACGGGCCCTGGGGCCCAGGCACTGGGACCTGTAACCGGAGTTGATCGGGTTGGTTGGACTCTGCGGCACTACGGCACTCCGCTGGTACCTTGATGCGTCTTCTGTTTACGGGTAGCAGTGTCTTGGTTTGGGGGAGGACGAAGGATGAATTGGGTTACGTCGGTGAGAGACGATAGGGCAGTTGGGTGGTGAATTATTGGGGAGGGGGGGCGGCTGTTTTGGGGGGGAGGCGCAGGCAGACAGGGGAGGGGGCGGGAGGGGAGTGGCAGGGGGAGCCGAAGAGAGGGAGAGAGAGTCAGTCAGTGGCAGGAAAGGAGAGCAGACAGAGCCCAGGGATGCCCAGGGATGCCCAGGGAGGTCCAGGGAGGCCCACGGACGCCCGAAGATGCCAGATCCTTGCCAAGCAACGCCGATGGCACGGGCGCTAGGCGGGATTGGGAGCTGGCCCCCTGACCGCCCGGTGGCGCCCACCAACCACTGGCACCCAGTGATCTTCCTTGGGCTTGCGCGTGCGGAGGCGCAGCAGCTCGTGGTCAAAGGAAATTGAAATTGCCCAAACACCAACGCACCCAGCACCAAACAATCCCCAAACCACAACAAAGCATCGGCAAGCACGGCTCTTTGCTCTTTGGACGAGGCTGATTCACCCACACCCACACACGCCATCACAGCACTCTCTCTCTGCCTTGCCTTGCAGCTGCTGGCTATTATTATTATTGTTGTTATTCATCCCCCACAAATTGATCAACTCCTCCCAATCTCTCGACTCCCACCTGCCTAACCCGAACCAGCTAGCTCCGGCAATCGACGTCATCGTGTCTCGCATCCGGCTCTCGGCTTTGCCGCCTTCCGCAATTGGAAACATACCAACGGCGGTCAATCTGCTTCACCATCTCTCTCCGTTACATGTTACGTTTCATCAGCACTTTTCCATGTGCACCTCTCCTTGCTCCTGCGAGGACCTCGTATCGAGTGCGGAATCCCCAGGCCAAATCGCGGTAGATCTACGGAAGACGGAAGGATACGTAAACAAAGATCATAGACCAGTCTCGACTCTTCTTGCAGCCAACTCGTCTGTGTTTTGAGTCGTGAATCTCCTGGTTAGACCAACTGCAGCTGTTGGGGGTATTATCACTGTCTGCATGTTTCTCTCCTGATGGGAGGTTCCGCCTTCGGCCCAAACCCGTAATCTTCCAACCATATCCTATAGAGCGCCAATGATGTTTGCTCTCGATACTGCGTCCCAGTCCTTGTCAGCTCTCATCATACTCGTAAAATCGGTGCAGCCCCTATGTCCATAACACCTCCATCGTAGTACGCTTCGTCATGTCCTCTGTCCAGCTTCCTGATGTGGTTGTTGCTGCTGGGCTGGAGGATGTTGGTGGTGCACCAGAGTCTCGTGTTCTTTGCGTTCCCGAGCTCGTTTGCGCTGCACAAGATCCCCCCTCACCATGCGCAGGTACTTCGTGGCTTGGTCGATCAGTTCCCGACTTTCGGTGCTTTCCTTGAGCGTCTGCAACAAGGTCATGACCTGATTCTCATTGTTCAGATGCGGACACGTTCGAGAGTGGCCCAAATGCGCAATCCCACATAGCCCGCAGTGTTCAACACCTGCCAGCTTCAACCGACACCAGCCCATGGGATGTTGCTCATTGCAAGCAGAGCAATGATGCACTACCGGCATCTGCTCGACCGGCCCATAGTTAACAGCTCCGTCTCCATTGAAATGTGGTGCTAGTCCAAGCGGAACTCGTACTCGTCGGAATGGCCGGGCTGCAAACATCGTCCATATCAGTATCGGCGACGTAGTGGACTGGATTTGATCGTCCTACCTTGAACCTTCGGTCGTGACATGGGCGCCGAGTCACTCTCCGTCACCTCTTCATCATTAGATTGATCCTCTGGGGCTCTGTAGTCAGGGTCGACCGCTTTGACGCCGCGTTGGACCTTCTCTGAGTCGGGTTCTCCCTTCTCGCCGTCGTCGCCAACACCGTAGTCGACGTTCTAATCATGTTAGTTCTTGCCAAATTCCCGCTCTGACTTGGGATTCAGGATCCCTCCCGCATCGGAACTTTCTTACCTGTCGTTTCCTCTTGCCTCGCCCAAAAGCCTGAGTTTTCAGAGCTTGCTCTTCAGCAAACTGTCGTTCGCGCTCCTGCAATATCTTGTCCCAAATGCCGGGGTTAGGAGTACTCTGACCTGTGCGGTCCGGTAAATCCTCTTCCAATGTTGATTTATCATTGGCCCAGATTCGAGCGAAGCTAAATTGTGACTCGGCCGATTTCTCCTCGTTGATCTTTGTGTCTTCGATCTGCGTCCGATCAAGGAGACGGTCAATCGATGCCGAGTCGTAGATAATATCATCGGCACCAGTGTCATCTTGGAATAGAGCTGCAGCACCGTATCGAAGAATCGACTCCAGATCTTCGCCCGCATCGTCTTCCTTGTCCATGCGCTCGATGAGCACATGATCGAGAGCCATTTTCTTCCGGCCAATCTGCATAATCTTCTCCTCAACGCTGTCTCGGGTCATCAGTTGGAAGACAAGCACTTTCTCCTTTTGACCAATGCGGTGAGCCCGGGAGAGCGCTTGGATATCCTGGTGAGGATTGAAATCCGGATCGAGAATGATGACCGTGTCGGCCGTGGCGAGGTTGATTCCCACTCCACCGGCTCGCGTTGACAACAGAAAGGCGAAGTAAGGTGAGCCCGGGGCATTGAATTCGTCGATCCGCTTCTGTTTTTCAGCAGCAGAAATATGCCCGTCAAGCCGGCGGTGCTGCATCCCGAGCCCATCAAGAAAGTCTTCCAGAATGTCCAGATTGTCGAGAAACTGGGAGAACATCAGGACTCGATGTCCGCGCTCTTGAAGCTTGGGAAGCATAATGGCGAGCAGCTGCAATTTGGAGGACGCTTCGACTAAATTGCGATACGACGCGGCACCATCGACCGCTCTTTCCTCAATCTCACGGCTGTAGACAAAGGGGTGGCACAGGTTCTTGCGCAGCTGCATCAGTATGTTGTTCAGGCTATACCTTTCCTTGTGTAGGATATTGCTGTCTCGGGCAAAAATCGATTTCATCAATTGTGGGTTCTTGGCCAAAATCGACTTGTAGACCTTTTTCTGGACGGTTGACATGCTAACGGGCACAATGATCTGGGCCATGGGAGGGAGGAATGTCAGCACCTGTGCCTTGGTGCGTCGGAGAAAGAACTTTCGAAGCATCGTGTGTAGTTCAGGGACGTTGTCCTGTGTGAGGTTGGCATACTTCGCTTCCAGGTCGGCGGCACTGACGCTCTTGTCGAGGAACTGCAGAAGATTGAAGAGCTCCCGAGCATTGTTCTGGAGTGGTGTGCCTGTCAACAACACCTTGAACGGGAAACGAAATTTGGACAGAATCTCGTATATCTGTGTCCGGTCGCTCTTCAACCGCTGTCCCTCGTCGACAACAAGCGCCTGCCATGGGACCCTCATTAGACTTTTCCGAGTCTTCTCTTCAATTATTGACTCGTACGACGCGACGACGATATGAGCTTTGATGTCCTTGGCCTCATGAGATTTCTTCTTCGGCGGTCCATGAGTGTCGTCCTCCTTGGCTTTGGGAAATAGTTCATAGTCGTGCGTGAGCTTCCTGGCCACAGAAGAGCCGTAGTAGGTGACAACTCTGAGAGAAGGCGCCCATTTCTTGATCTCGCGTCGCCAATTGGGGCATGTGGAGTTGGGAACTACCACAAGGAAAGGCCAGCATTTATGATCCTGGACCAACGTGGCAAAGAAGGCCACAAGCTGGATGGTCTTGCCCAGCCCCATTTCATCGGCCAGAATGGCATTTTGGTTGGTGAACCACTGGTAGAGAAGCCAGTTCAGACCCTCTAACTGGTAACGCATCAACTCTCCACCAGTCACAATGGTTGGCTGTTTTTTCTTGATAAGGTTGGTCTCAAAGTCCTGCGTTCGAATCTGCGTCACATGGCGCTTCAATGTGGTCTGAGGAGGTATCGACATATGCAATTTCATCACATAATCCTCGTAGGCCGCTTTGAAATCATTCCATCGCTCCGTATCGGCGTAGGCAGGTGGCTTTTCCCAAATGGCATCTTCATAGCCAAGACCCTTGTATTTGACAAATGCCGAGTCGACTTCTTTGACACGAGCGAGGTCAATCTCCTTGGTGCTGTTCCGTACAACGCTAGAGTAGCGAACGTCGAAAACGATATCGACTCGGAAAACCTCCTCTGGGATCGCATCAGAAGTAGTCATCTTTGGCAGCTGATGCTCCGGTTTCTTGAAGAAAGCTGTGCGCATCGACCCCGTGGCGACACCCCAGACCCAGTTCCCTGGCATCCATGTGGTTCGGAAATAAGACTGCGCCCGCCATTTGATCAGGTACTCCTTATCGTCTTCCGGTATTTCTGTCACACTAGTTCCTGGAACATAGGTGTCAAGATCCACAGGCCGCCACGCCACAAGAGTATCGATTTGATGCTGATTTTCGATGCAATCTTTGCAAATCCACGACCGATGATAGTGCTCAAAGCGTTTCTGGGCTAGTTGCGTTTCGTCCACCGTACCCTGTTCCTCCTCGTCGTCGAGCGAATGTGCCGTTTTGCGCTCAGGCAGATGTTGCATGTGCCACGCGCGTGCACATTGCGCGCATCTGAACATTACATTCGCGACATTGTTAATGAGTCTGGGTTCAACAATAGTGATTGGATCTTTTCCTCCATTCTCTTCTCTCTGCAGTTGTTCTTGACGAGTAGTCAAACGACCGCGAAATGGTTTCGATAAATCCCCCAGCTCATGGCAGCCTGAGCAACGTCCCTGATGTGGCGCTAAGTCATCTTTCTCATGGGCAAGCCCAATGCAACGCCTACACTGCAGGACGAACAAATCTTCACCGACCTTAATGACAAGATGATCTCTGGTGCCGCGGAACCCAAGGCAAACCTTGTGGTAGGAGTTTGTGCAGCCCTGGCAGAAGACCAACGGTCCCTTAACATTGTCGTCTCCTTTGAAGTAACAAGTGTCACATTCTTGGCGATGTCTTCTCCTGAAAGGGTCGTTTTCGGGAATCTGGCTGAAGTGCTCTTTGGTACTGACAACCTTCGGGCCTGCCTTCTCTTCCTCATAGCTTGAGATCTCATCTTCCTGACGTTCTCGCATGCTGCGTTTCGGTCTGGTCTTCGTTCGCTCAGATCGCCGTGTTGCCGTAAGCCGTTCTGCCTGCGAAGACGAGTCGCGTCTCAACCTAGAGCTGCGCAGCGGACGTGCAATCCCTCGCGTAGACAATCTTGAAAATTGCTGTTTAGAGGCACGTGGTTTCCCACGTCTCCTTGATGTGGAGTCGTCAGAGTCATCATCAAGGTAGAGGAGTTCTTGTTTGAGATGCTCTGACTTTCGTAGTTTGCTGAGTCTTGCCGACCGTCGGCCTTCTCCAGGACCTTCATTCGAGAGACTCTCATCATCCGCTTCCGACAGACCTTTTCCCTCGTCTTCTTCGGAGGAGTCACTGTCGTGTACTTGTTTACGACGTCGCCTGGATCTTGAGTCCTCTTCTGACTCCGATAGAGGTATTGCGGTCCAGTCTATCATGCTCTGGGTTTTCCCTGAAGTTCGTCTGCCTTTGCTCGGCACAAAACCAGCTTCGAACTCCAACAATGCATCATAGCCATTGTCAAGGTCCCGAAGTTCCCGCGCAGAGACCTTTTGAACAGGCATATCAGCGGTGAGTAGGCAATGCAAGGAAGAAGTGGTAACGATGGATGAGAAGGACGATGTGAAAGCTGGGAGAGAACGTGTAAAGGGTGAGGAGAGAGAGAGGTGTGAGAGTAGCGAGTAGAGGCAGGATGGAGTCGAGGCCTCAAATGCGATCCAGGTCAAGAAGGGAGATACCTACAATATTTTGCTCGCCACTCTCGAGCCTAACAACATAGGTCTTATTTTTATGCTCAGACAGTACTTTTTCCACAGAGAAATGCCCTGGCAGGTACTCGTATGTTTCCTTTTCTTCTTTAGACAAGTTGGGGATGTCGATATAGAAACGCTTTTGAAATAGGCCGACCGACAGATTACCATCGTCGCTCTCTTGACCCGAGGCTGACTCGTCCAAAGGGACACGCCTGCTGAAGTCTGTCTGATTTACTTTCCCGTCGTCGTGCACAATATCGCCGGCTTCGCTCGACTCATCCGAAAGTGAAAGCTCGGTCTGTAGGTGTAGCGCATCTGGGTTTTGATCGGGAGCATCTCCGGCAGGCGACTTGGCCCTGCTTGGTTTCTCTGGCGGTTTGCCCACCCAGGTAGTGAGATCTACATCCTTCATCTTTGGTCATAGGAGCGTGGCCCATCGGCCAGCAGACAGTCCGGCGAATGGTCGAGGTCAAGTTCGTCGAGTTCGACGACCAGGGGTGGGATCAAAGAGGGCATCCGGTGCGATTCTCGAAGGAGGGGAGGTACTCAGAGACCAAGTATCGTACATGGTTCTGGGTTAGGAAGAAAAGATGAAAGTGAGGTGAGGATTCGCAAGTCACAAACATTCACCACGCCCTCGAAGGCGGGGACGTGGACGCGCTCCGCGTCGCCAACCAAGTAATTAACTGCGATTTTATTTCTCCAACTCCGAGTGCACAACTTTTCCCGTGTCATGCCTATGACTCGACTAACAGTGGGCTTTCCTGCGTCAATACATCCGTGAATGCTACCATTCACTCGTCATGTCCTTCCTGCCGTCCTTGCGATTAAACCGGTCCGTTGGCCTCGGTCTGCACGCCACATTTCCCTGACTGGTGCAATTGAAAAGGGGATCCGGAGAGGTCACCAGAGCCGGAACAGACTAGAAAACCAGTATGCAAAGCCTTCTGCAGGCCTTCAGCAAGATCAGAGCCATTCATCAGACATTTCGGACGCAGGCGAAGAGGATGGAGAGAAGGGGATAATCATTCCAGGCGAAGAAAGGCGAAGAGGCCAGAAAAGACGCAAGGGTCCCAGAACTGTCCAGCCAGGGCAGGAGTTGAAAATCGCAAAATCCGCCGCACGCTCTAACAGCGGAGTTCCAGCTTCAATTCCCTACACGACAGCAGGATCGGAATTTCTCTACGGGACATTTTCTGTCTTGTCTGCTCTCAAAGCTCGACGCCGGAAGCTCCACAAGCTGTATCGACTTCTTCCTGCGGGCTATGACAAGGATACGAAGAGAGCCAAAGCGCTCCAGCCCAAAGAATCTCCTGAGCAGATCCAAGTCCACAAGCAGATTCACAGCCTCGCTGAAAAGGCCGGGGTAGGCGTGACGGCGGTTTCAGGACCTCGCTGGCAAGCCGTTTTTGCCAAGGCATCGGATGGACGACCACATAATGGCTGGATTCTTGAGGCCTCTCCGATTCCGAAGCTACCTGTGACTAGTTTGTTGAGCATGGCCGAATCGGCTGATCCTATCGCCGTCACGGTGGGATGGGCGTCTGAAGAGGATCAAGAGATCAACACCGTGTTCGGTGCATCTGGAAGCAGAGCAACAATCCCGTCTGTCCGGCCTCCGCATCGGTATCCTTTCATGCTCTTGCTTGATTGCATCACCGACACCGGCAATTTCGGTGCCATTGTTAGGTCGGCTTGGTTTCTCGGGGTTGATGCTATCCTTATCCTCGAACACGGCACTGCACCCATATCTGCCAACAGTGTCAAGGCGTCTGCCGGGGCCTTCGAATACATGCCCATTCTTCACGTCAGGAATGAACGAGAGTTCATCAGGGATTCGCGGAAAAATGGATGGAAGTTCTTCGCTGCCGATGCACCAGAAAGTGATGGCGGGATGATGCGGCGGATTATGCAACAAAAGGGCAAGAAAGCTTTGGATGTTGGGGGCGCGTTATCAAGACATCCTTGTGTACTGATTCTGGGTAATGAAGAGACTGGCATTCGAGATTTCATGCGGACGATGATGGATGGCGTTGCAGGGATCGCTAACGCAAGGCCTGATGTTGGAGAGATTGACAGCCTTAACGTCAGTGTGGCTGCAGCTTTGCTCACCCAAAAGTTCTTTGACAGAGCTCGTACTGAGCTTGATGAAGGTGCTCAAGGTCGTGCGGACTGATCCCGCCGTCAGCCAACTGCATCTCCTAACAGAGGCACCCCAGGGGGATAGGTTGAGGTGGCGCGTCTACCTAGAGTGAACCCGCTCGATAACAATATCTCGGCCATCCCTTCTTGTTGCGGGCTTGTCGAGCTCCTCGAAGTCCTGAATAGTAGTGGCAATCTCGCCATTACCATTGCCATTTGCGCACGGCGTGCACAGAGACGTTTCAGCGCGGATGTGACTTTCTGCTCCACCGCAGTGATATACTTTGGAGTACATGATCTCCAATGGCAGTTTGTTGCCTAGATGAAAATGCTTCGACAGGCCCAATTTCCATTGATCATATTTGCTTCTTCTGGAAATATTCATTACGTTTGTGAACTCAAGGCGCCCCTGCAGCTCGAGGGGCACAGGGGCCAGCATGGACATGTTTGGAACGACATGTCCACATATAAACATTACTATCATCCCCCCCAGCAGGCCAATTTTGGTCTTTTCTTCCTGTTTCGCCTCAGAACGCCTCATGCGGTACCTAGGTATGTAGGTGCCTTCTTCTGTTACTCTTTTTTGACCAAGATTGACCAGCATCATATTTCCGCTGCTCCATTTGCTCCATGGTGGGCAAGCTCATCGTCGTCATGGAATCCTTGCCCTAGGCTGGCGTTTCCCCCGTTACTTGCGTCTCTGTGATTTCTTTCTTCTCTTGCTTCTTTCAGCTCTTCGACGGCGATGAGAGTCTGCCTCCTTCGCTCTTCGATCGCTTTCATGGCATCCCTGAGGATGTTCTCTAATTGGATCCGAGTAGCCTGGTGCTTATTGCCAATGAACAAGTTTGCGATGGCTGCCACGACTGCTTCACCATTACCGAACCTTCTCGGCACCGGATTCCAGTGCTGCACGTCGGCACCATTCACAGCCCTAGCATTGTACCTCAATCCCAATGCTTCCTGTTCTTCCCTCAGTGCCTCTAGAAATGTGGTCTCGAAGGCTGCCGGGTATTGGACCTGGTTGAAGTCCTGAGTGCCGGCATATGGTCTTCTCAGATCCACTCCGAGTCGTCTTAGGTGGCCATTCAGCCTCTGACCCAGGGTCAAAAGTGTTCTGTTGTCCGAGTATGCTAAGTCATGCAGGACGCCGGAGAAAGTGGAATACATGAACTCGACTGAGGCTTTTCGCTCGCCTTCAAAAAGGTCAGTACTTGTCTCCTGCTGTCGGGCGAGGGGAGCGAGAGGGTGGCAACACTAACGACTGATGATGTTTTGCAGCGGTTCTATTTTGCAAGAAAATTCCACTTTCGAATTCCACACCACAGCATCGATATATTCCGCGAGCATATGGTCATACTCCTCTCCAAGAACGAACGCGATGATAGTCAGATACGCTGCATCGTTCTCGGAGGGCGTGAACTCGGCGCTCAATATGCTCCTGCTGACACTCTGTTTCAATTCCCCCCAGTCTGCCTTTTCACATCGGTACACCCACATGGTGATGCAAATTTGGGTGATCCACTTCAGAAATCGCTCTTGATGTTGGTTGACAGGGGCGTCGTTCCCTTCAATCAAGTGGTTGATGACATACTTAAGAGACCCGGCGCTCATGCCACTCCCTTTTTGCGGAGGTAGTTGGGAAGGGTCCCCCTCGGCGATGCAGTGATGCAGTGATGAATACCTTTCGATGGATTCCAGCCTTCTATTGCTCCCCACCTGAAGGTCTCGAATGAGATCAGCGAGGCTTCGCACAGATTCTTCACTATTCCCGTCCGACTGAGTTATATCTTCCTCAAATGACGGAGTTCCTCCCATGGGCCATCCAAGCCTTCTGAAGGTATACTCTGGTCGTCGCTGGGCATTTGTAGGGTGATCGTGGTTCACAGGATTCATCCTTTGAACAAGTTGTTTCAGAAAGCTAACGGCATACAGATATCTACAAGTACTTGTGATGAAAGACGGCGAGATAAGAATGACGAGTTGTGGGACGCTGGGCTAGATTGATAATGAATACTCGCACGGAAGTATTGGCCACCCAACTGCTGGCACGAGGAGCGAAGGCGCCCCCAGGTAAGGAGACGCTTTGCAGCCATCCCATTGGGCCTGACGTGGGATTGGAGCCCCCTGTGCGGGTGGTGGCTTGACATGAACTAGCAGGAAAGGGGGGTGTGCAGAAGCTGCAAGGCGTCGAAAGTGCCTGGCAAACGGTTCTTCCTCATCCCAAAAGCCTCACTGCTGAGGGCTACGCCGGTGTAGACGCCGGCAACTGTCCCACGAGACTAGTTTCCAGGAGAGACAGTCCCTGAGGCTCTGAAGTGGAACCCCCCTGCTCACTCGACGACAAATTCAGCGGCTTTTCTCTGGGACTCAGCAAGGCGCACTGCCCGTGGCGACCAAAGTGCATGCCTAGTTGCGAGAGGCTGGCCTCCGCCCAATACGAGCCAAACAGGCAGCCGTGCGGGGACGAGAACAGAATGACAACGGCAAACTATTGCTAACCAAGGAGGAATGGCGAGTATTGGCATCATCAGCCCGGAGCCGGGATTCCTCTCCCTGTGAAATGCTTGCAGCCGAACTCATATATGAGCCGTTGTCCTGGGCTGGCTACTGTCACAACAGCTGTCCTCACTTGCATGTCCGACGAACAAAGCAAGATATGGCAAACGATGAGGTTTTCAATTTCGGCCCTGTGCCAGCTACCCCTCGATTGAATGTGACGGTCACATACGATGAGTTGAAATCACATCCAGAGCTCTACTTTCAGGCAAGTTCTTCGTGGCCGCACGAGTTCCAGGATCTCGTTTTCTGATTTTGGCCATAGGGGGCAGATATGGGGTTTATGATCATAGCGGCTGCTCTGGTCTTCTTCATGATTCCAGGGCTCTGCCTCCACTTCTCAGGTGTCTCGAAACAGGACTTTACGCTCACCTTAGTGCGTCTCCCTCTGATAACTACTGGCGTGGTGGGATGCGTGGTAAGTGTCGAATGTACCTTGTTCTTTGCGGCAACGACGCTGTGTCTGATTTTTGGTAGTGGTATATGTGGGGATACACTCTCGCCTTCTCTCCCGCGATATACGACGCGGCTGCACTGCAGGGCGTCTCCTGGTACGGCGGAGATACCAAAGCAAATGCCTATATCGATGTCACCGCTCGACCCGTCGGTATACAAGGTCCTAACCCATTAGTACTGACGGGCCCGAAAATTCCAGAAATGGTCTATGTCTTTTACCAAGGCATGTTTGCATGTTTCACGTGAGTTTCCCCAGGAAACCCGTCGAAGTCGAGAGCTAATGTCTGTTTCCAGGGCAAGTCTGGTCTCTGGCGGAGCGGCAGGCAAAAGTCGTGTCGGACGCTACCTCCTTTTCATTACCTTGTGGACTACTCTTGTTTATTGCCCGGTTGCCAGGTGGACATGGCACCCTCTAGGTTGGTCAAAACTCAGAGGAGCAATGGACTTCGCCGGTGGTACTGCTGTGCATGTCTGCTCTGGATCTTCGGTCGCTGCACTCGCCGCCATTTCACAGCTCAATGCTGCAAATTGGCAGACGACGGTCGTCCTTCGAAAACGGACGGTGAAAATCGACTTGAAGACCTGGAAGGTCTGGAAATGGCTGTCTGTGGAAAGACACACGACTCGTAATCAAGTCGAATTAATGGTAACTCCGCCAGTGGCAGAAGTCGTTGCTAACGGACACGCTCGCGCTCCACGGCAGCAGAATCCCCAGGAGAGGCCGCGAGCTGGCCTGGACCGCGAAAAATCGAGTTTGCCTTATAGCATCAACCACACGGTCTTGGGCACTTGCTTGCTTTGGGTCGGATGGTTTGGCTTCAACGGTGGTTCTGCTCTTGGGGCGAACCTTCGCGCGGTGTCAGCTTGTCTGGCAACTCAAGCTGCTGCATGTGCTGGAGGCACAATCGGATTACTCTTTCACTGGGGACTGGGCATCCTCGACAAGAAGTTCGAAGCCGCAATGCTGGCCCCCTTGATCCACATTCCGTCAGTACAGGAGTTCTGCGATGGAGTGATTGCTGGGCTTGTGGCTATTACACCAGCCGCTGGTTATGTGAGTGACCATCTGGCTTCTGTTTTCTCTGTGTGCCTGCCCGAACGTCGACTGACCAGTTTCAGGTGCCTGTTAAATATGCCCCCATCTTCGGCGTCGTCGGCGCCATCCTCTGCAGCATTTTGAGGAAGATCATGTACATTGTATTGCCGGCCGACAAATTGGCAATCTTCGCTGTCCACGCCGGTGGGGGAGCCACAGGAATGTTACTTACTGCCTTCTTCGCAGAGTAAGCCCTAGCAGACAACGATCGCAGGAGTGACATGTTGCTGACGCTAGTTGTTGCAGTGATGCCACCACCGGTCTGGACGGGTATTCAAGGCTGGTTGATAAAACAATGGGTGCTCGATTTCGGTAAGTTCGCCTGTCGACAGGGGCTCGGGCGAGTGCATACTGACCTAATTTTAGAGATCAAGCCCTGGACATAACGGCATGTCTTTTCTATTCCTTCAGCATGACCTTCACCATTCGGATGGCCATGAAATTTGTGGAGGTCCTCTGCGGTGTCGAGACCCCTGCCCATGATGACAAGTACGACCATTACCCGGATACCTATGAAGCCCGCCCTCAGTTCAAGCGAAGAAACTCGCTAGAAGAGGCATGAGGCTGGCGTCTGCGTGTTAGAATCGACAACATAGCCGGATGGTTTCTCGGAAGGATCATTGTGAGACCTAGAAAGGCCCCCCGGCCACTCTCAAGTTGGTTTTTGTATCGCCTCGACGGAGACAACCGGGATGTTGAGGCACAGCGACGGGGATAATAGTAATAAAGGCGCAACCATGCAGACCACGAGTCTCGATGCGAGAGAGTTTTCCCTGGCGTTTCGAAGCGAAGCAAAAGGGAGGGGAGGACTCGTCCATGTGCTCGCTCGTATTCTCTCAGCCTCAAAGGGGCTAAAGGGGCTCGAGAGTCCCACGGTCTAATCTGGATCTGTACTAGACGTGTGATGGGGACTGTGATACAGGCGGATGGACAAGTCGAACCCCTGGACACCGCCTTTCTGTCTAACCTGCTTCCAGCCTTGATGAGAATTTCCACGCGAGGCGCTCTACACCGGTTCCAGTTCTTGTCTGAGCAAAGCAGGGCATTGGCATCCTTTTTTCAGCGGGAGCATCAACGAGGCGCTGCTCCGTATTGGACGGGGCGAGCCTCCCCTTTTGCATCAACCAGAAGTGGCATCCAAGACCAAAGTTCCTGCCAAAGCGCCCGAACGGATCGGGACGGAGGACCTCGCTGACGATTGATGATGGAGCCTGGTTTTTCAGCCAGCCACGGACCGTCCAACGCAGCCAGAATCAAGGGTCAAAACCTGTTTGCAGAGGGCAACCTTTTCGAATATGCTGGTTCGCGACCCAGCCCAGGTTCGTGTCCTGGGCCCTGGCATTGGCATTGGCAGAGGCGCAGTGGTGATCATTTCTTGCTGCCTGCCGCCTGATGGTCGACAGGAATGAGGCTGAGGCTTGGGAGTGTGACTATGGCCCGTCCCGTTTGCCTCAGTCACGGCCCATGGCGAAGCATTCACACCCTATTGAATGCCATGTCCCCATGGAATGGGCAGGTTTACCACTTCAGCATCAATCGTCAATTGCTCTACAAGCTTAGAGTGAGGCTCCTTCGTCTATTATCCCCTCAAGGTCCATAATGGCACGGCCCTTTGAAGATCGGCACAATAAGCTTCCAGAAGATCAGGCTGAGAGACCGCCATCTCGGGATGTCATAGCAGGATGCAAGTGTCATTGTGGCAAATCGATTCCCTGGAAATGGGCAGCTCGATGCTCCAAGAGCAGACAATGCTCGGACTACTACTCTGTCCACTGCCACAAAGACGACTGCAATCTTAAGGAATGCAGATTCCACGGCCATTGCTGGGATGGCCACCTCCCCAAGAGCTCCAGGCTAGCAGCGGCGCATGTCCCAGTCGGGCTGACAGTCCATCATTTCTTCGTCAAGGACATCATTCATTCGGAGGATGAAAAGGAAACACTGAGGCAACTGCATGAACAAAATGCAGCAACGCGATGGTTCAACATCCGCCACCGGAACTCCCAGCCCGTCCTCTACGTCTACGATAGATTCGGTCCTCTATGCGAACCGACTACTGACTCAACTTCTTCGGCCGCTGCAACGTTTCCAACGTTTGTGTCTTTCATCGGCAAGTCGGGTGTTGGAAAGTCCACGCTAGTGAGGGCAATGCTGCTGCTGGGAAATCTCAATGTACAACAAATCAAAGACGATGACATTTACAATCTTTCGACGAACCAGACCCGATGGGAGACTTTGAACGCAGCCATCTCTTCGCAACAGGAGATGCCAGTCACCAGATCGGGTCATGTCGACCATGCAGCAGACCCAACGACATTTGGGGTCCATCTCTACAAGGACGGCGCGAACTTACAAACGCCGCAGCCAGACGCCAATAGCTTCACCTTGTTCGCCGACTGCGAAGGGTTCTTCGCTGGCGCTGCCCAAACCAATGCGGAACGCTTTACCACCGATCAAAGCCGAACATCGGCCAACGACGATGCTACGGAGGCAAATGTGTTGTACAAGGCGCCAGTGACCGCAGGTAGTTACGCGCGCCATGGACAGCAAGGCGCCGAACTGTTCTATGCCAGGTTCCTCTACGCCGTCAGCGATGTCGTGGTCTTTGTGACCAACGAGGATCAGAACATCACATTCTTGCTCGTGAGAGCGCTCGAGTGGGCAGCGACAGCCGTCATGCACTCTGTCAACTACCCTTCACGCAAGACTCTCATCATTGTGCGCAATGGGGCCCTTGGCCACAGCCAGCAACTGGTCGACAATGAGTTGCTCGAGAGGCTGTACCTGGAGCGCCAGGCCTTTCTTTGGAAGGCGTCGCCCATCCTCCAGGAATTTGTGAACGACTACAACAGCAAGCAGGACGGATTCAGCAAGCACATTTACCAGAACCGCGACCTCTACGATGCATTGTATGATCGAATCATTTGCTGCTGCATACCCCACGTCAACGATATTGACGAGTACGGGGACGAGACCATGTTCTCCCAGTACCTGAAGCTGCGGACGCAGATCGATGACGCCTCGCAACGAGCAATCAAGATGCGTTCCAAGGGGTGGATGAAGTACAACGTTTCTTCCCTCTCCCAGATCCTCTTCTCGGCCTTCGAACACTTTCGCACCAGCGACGGAGCATTCAATTTCAACGAGGTTGCGCGGATCAGCAAGCCCAACCCCCAATCATTCTCTGACCACATTGCCAATTTCCTCCGACTGGCATTCGAGTCACCGCCTTCGGTCAAGATCAGGGCAATGATACCCGATATTATAGGTCTGAACCTTGTTGTCTGGTCCATGAGGCATCTCATCCATGGTAAGCAGGGGGAGGCTCCTCTTTTCCAATCTCCTCGCCGGCGTCCCTCTCGACTGACCAGCTCTATAGTGGTGGACCCAGCAAGCCTTTTTGACAGAGTGAACAACGGTGATAAGGAGCAGTTTTCACTAGCACACCACTGTCAGTGCGCCATACAAGAGTACCGAGAAAAGTACCAACCATGTGGATACAAGTTCTCGGAGAACGACCTTTGCGCCAATGGCCCGGCAACTGCCCACCAACGCCTTCATCTGTCGACCTCCAAGAAGAGGGCCGACGGGGAATTCGTCCCGAGGCATGGGCTGGACGCAAACTTGGTGAGTCTGATTCGAGATAGGTTCTTGGAGCATTATGAGAACCTCGTGAGCGACGACAGGACCGGACACCGGTCGATGACCAAGCCCGCGGCAAGCAAGATCACCAGAGTACGACAAGCTGTCATGCAAAAGTACTGTAAGCAATGGACTCCCATGACCAGCAACATCACCTGTCTGGCTTGTTTGCAGGCAGTCCCCGAAAATGTACTGCATTGTGGGCACGGATACTGTGTGCAGTGCGTTCGAGAGCTGGGACGGGCGTCGGAGAGCTTCGAGTCAGCCTGGACCTTCGAGGTCTGTCCGCTCTGCAGCGCGCGGATGGGCGACAACTATTCCCATTTGATCAGGGAAAGACCACGGTGCGCTGGTGCTCGCATCCTGACCCTGGACGGAGGCGGGATCCGGGGCATCATTGAGCTTGCCATCATCCAGGAGATGGAGAAGCGGCTGGGCCTGAAGATCCCCTTCCGCGACTACTTTGATCTTGTCGTCGGAACTAGCACAGGTGAGTTGTCCCAGAGCACACAGCCTTGAGGCTTTGAACATGCTCATCTCCCTTCCGCAGGTGGAATTATTGCACTCGCTCTGGCGATGGGCGACAAAGACGCAAACACACAGACCAGCAAAATGACCAACGCCTTCAAGGACTTTGCGTCCTCGACCTTCGCCCACCCCCAGGCCGGCAGCTTACTGACGAGAATCGGTCTCGGCCACTTTGTGACGAGCGTGGTCATGTCGTTTGGCTTGTATCAGGCCCTATTTGACTCGGCGCCGCTGGAGCGCGGACTGAAGGACTTCTTCGGCGCGCAGACCAGTCTCTTTGGGTCGGCCCGGACTCGCCATCACCAATGCTCGACCCGAGTGGCGGTGGTGGCCACCAAAGAGTTTGGGAAACGGGCCCATCTCATCACCAGCTACAACCGACCCCAGCTGGTGGCGAGCGGCGATTTCGAGCGCGAGGACGACGAGAGCAAAGGGATGCGGATCTGGGAGGCCGGGCTCGCCACGGCGGCGGCGCCGTTCTACCTGGCCCCGTTCAAGAAGGCCGAGACGGGGACGCTGTACTTCGACGGCGCGCTGCACATGAACTGTCCGGCCCCCGGGGCCGTGGAGGAGATGCGGAAGCTGTGGCCCGAGCACACGCCCTCGCTCGACGTCCTGGTCTCGATCGGCACGGGCATCCAGGACTCAGAGGTCAAGATCCCCCGGGCCATCCGCATCGGCGGCTTCGAGGAGATCTGCCGGACCTTCCACCGCAAGCTGGACTCGGAGCACCAGTGGCAGGAGTTCGTCGCCGGCGCCGCGACCGACGGGATCCGCGACCGCCTGCACCGGCTCAACCCCCCGATCGACGAGAACCTGCAGAAGGTCACGCTGTGGCAGTGGAACAAGATGGCCCGGCTGGAGGAGATGGTGCGGCGGCAGATGCGCGAGGCTGAGTGGGAGGCCCGCGTCGACGACGCCGCCCACGCCCTGCTGGCCAGCCTGTTCTACTTCGAGCCGGCGCACGCCGACCACGCGCCCTGGACGTCCAACAGCCTGACGCACCCGGGCACGCGGCACGTCCACGGGGCCTCTGAGATCCATGGCACAGTCCGCTCGCGCCTGCGCCACGGGAGCACCGAGCTGGCCCGGCTCCTCGCCCGCGTCCAGGGCCTCGCGTACACGACGCTCGCCATGTCGCGCGCCCCCGCGGCGGCGCTCCTGCAGCACGATCCCTGGACCGAGATCGCCGCCTTCCACCCCGTCAAGGACAAGGTCGTCGCGTCGGGCCACCGGTTCCGCGTCCCTGTCCGGCTGGAGGAGGCGTCCGAGTCCAAGCTGCTGGTCCTGGCGGTGCGGCTCACGGACTGCGCCGCGCCGCTCCCCATCAGCGGCTTTCCGACCCTGCTGCACGACTTGCATCTCAAGGCCAAATCGTGGGATTGATCAGCTGGTGTGATTCCTCCTCGATAGGATAGTAGTCGTGGTGAGACGGAACGAGCTGTGCTGTGCTGCACGGAGTACTGGGCTCGGATCCCTTTGGAGTCTGGGAGAAACTTAGCTAGGCAATAAATAGCCGACTGCCCGAAAGGTACGAGCACCACATCTTCTCTGTGAAGTGCACGGATCGTGAGAGAATGTACTCGGTATGAACGAATGCAAAGCGTCCGCGGCGTCAGCAAAGAGGTGAAAACAGAGATTAGAACTGAGAAAAGAACGACCAAAATCCGTCTTGGGGGAGAATCGTTCATGAAGGAGAGAGAGAGAGAATGTATGTATGTCCATTCGTCTGTGTTTGAATCACACATACAAGGTCCAGCAAAGCACACACCAGCTCGGGGCTGATGGAGGTGCAAGGCAAGGCAAGGCAAGGCAAGGCAAGGCAAGGCAAGGCTTTGTATTCTTCCCTCGCCCTTCTTCCGACCTGCTTCGCGCATCGTATATCGCATATCGCAACTATGAACCATTCCCCTCTAATGCATGTCCTGCTGGGCCCACGAGTCCGAAGTCCGTCGTCCATCGTTATCCGTCGCCAATATCCCCCCATGACCAATGGTATGTTGTGAGTTGGTGGTGATGATGTTTGTTGTTATTGTTGTGTATCCCGTGCCGATTTGCACCGCCGTGCAAGGAAATGCTTTGATTGATGCTGAACCGCGTTGAGAAAATCTATCCACCTTGAACGCCAATCTTCTGATTGATTTTGCTATGTTCCGTCCGTTAGTTTTGTCCCCCCCCCCCCCCCCCTTCCACCAAAAAAAAGCATAATGTCAATGTTCAATTTCTTGTCCCTTTTGTCGCGTTCCGCTAGAAGATATTACACACACATCCAATCGTCGTCCGCTTCATTCGTTGCCGTCAAAACATTCTTCACCTTCGTGGATTGTACATGTTTCTTCTTAGTCCTGTTGAGAGAGTTAGCACAGATGATTCTAATAGAGAGGATATACAGGGGGATGCAAAACATACCTCATCGGTCAAACGGTCCAGCAATTGGATACTCAGAATCATGACCAACAGCCCAAGCGTGACCACGACGAGCAACCCAAAGCCGAACCAGCCCAGCACCATGGCCGAGGTTCCAACCCCGGACTTGACACTGCCATTCCCCAAGTCCTGCGCGACGGTGCTTGCTGCCACGGCCGCGGTGTGTTGCCACATCACACTGACCAGCACAAACACCGACGAAATGAAAATCGTTGCGAGCGCCACCTGTGATACGGCTCTCGAGGGGAATGGCCGGACTTCCTGCTCAGATCCGTCGGGCCCTGTCGACGTGTGCCAGCCGGGGAACGTCGCCAGCAGCAAGAACGTGAGGAATGCCAGCACAATGGCAATAATCAGCAAGTATGGGAACACAATGGCGTTCTTGAACGTGCTGGCTACCCATATAAGATTCAAGGGATCTTGATCGATCGACACCAAGTCGGCCAGCGCGGTGGAATTTTGATTGCACATCCATGCTCCTCCATCGACGCGGATGCAGATGCCGAAATATCCTACACGGACGTTCAGGTCGGCGTTTCCCACAATGTTTGCTATCGCAGTGGTGACCGAAGGATCGACTTGTACCGAGCTGAAAACAGGAGGGTATTTCTGGTAGTATAACGAGATGAGGTAGATATCGGGGATGAGTGGGGAGGTTGATGAGCAGCCTGCTAGCAGGAGTGCTGCGAAAGAGGCGTGTCAGCATTCCAACAGAAGGTAACAAACGGGATGATATAGCACTCACATAGTAGGATAATTGCAATGGCTATGAAGATCATGAGGACATGGTGGTAGCCTATGACGGGCACGAATCTTCTCCACCCTGTCCTAAAGCGTAGAGCCATTGTGTCGTCGTCTCAGGGTCAAGTATGTCCACGAGGGGATTCGTATCTTTTTTTGTGTGTGCTCGCCGTCCGTAAGGACGGAATTCGATGTTGAAGCTCAGCACGAGCACAGGTTGTGGCGCCTGGCCGGATTCAAGAGGTGGTCAAGGTGAGTCTCGTCGGGGCGTCAGCGATGGTTGGTGCGTAGTAACGACTGTCGAAGGTCTTCAATTGACAGAAGGTCGAGATGCGTGGTTGTTTCTGAAAGACAGAAAGGTTAGCTGCCTGAATTTCTTCTGGCAGAGGGAGACAGATGTAAAGGAAGAGGAAGGAAGAGAGGAGAGAGAGGCGTAGCTTGATTTAGTCCTTGAGATATTTCGAGACTGGAATTGCCATGGCTGTGATTGGATCTCAGTGAGTAGCCATATCCGAAATCCGTGAGGTTGGGTTCCCTTTTTGCTGAAATGTGAGTGAATTGTTAGGTATTAATGTGGTGGCAGGAAAAAGCGCAGTTGTCACAAAATGTGGCAGGGCTGGGCCAACCCCAAGGCTCTGGCGACGAGGCTAGCGTCTGTTTTGGTTTTGCCATTTTGAGTTTAGGCTCCCGCCAACCTTATGCTTATTTTCTGCCTGGCAGCCTTATGACGTCGCCTTCCACCCGCCTTTCCGCCCTCAGCTTCACCGTCTTTTTTAATATCCGACCCGAACTCGCGGTGGCTCGGATCTTGGTCTCTGATGGCTTTATGCCCATGCTTGATAGATATGCACCCAGAACTCAGTCATTACGAGTACTTCTATCATAATCAATCAGTGACCGCACCAGTGCACATCGCTGTAACCAATAGTCGTTGACCGTCTGGCTCGTCGTTTCTGCCCAATGCCCCGTCTCCCATAGCCAATCCAAACCTTCCACATCGCCATACAATGCATCCTTGAAAATCAACTAGACGCCATACAGAATGCCGCTAAAGCTAAGCAACAACTCATTCATGCCGATACAAATGCAAATGAACTGAGATCAAACTTGGCTTTCGGCGCTGGTGATCCCGCCTCCGACCCTTCATCCTCACTGTTTGGTATGATCGCATCCTCACTTCCGCGCCCCTCATTTCGCCGAACAACGGTGGGGACACTTTCATTCCTCCCTGCCATAAATGTTTCACTACCCTTGGGTACGGTCGGATATGATGCCCCGTAGGAGCCTTGCTTGTTCAGCGACCTCAAAGCTGACTGCTGCACCTCGAATGGCTGACATCCGAAGGTCTTTTGTAAATCCACTTCTCGATGAGACGACTGAGTGTCTCCGGCACTCGGCGACTTGCTAGGCACGCCCAACTGGGTCTCTGACCGGAAAATGGGTGACTTCTGCCTCAATTCCACGGGGTACAGCGACCCTGTGAGAGAGTCTCGGCTTTCTTGAGGCTGGAAAGCAAAAGTCTTCATCAATGATGCATTCTGCTTCCGGACGTGGTATTCGAGTAAATCCTCAAAGGCTTCGGGATCATCGTCCTTGCTAATTTCCCTCCCAGCTGCGGTCCTGCCCCTCTCAAGCGTGTCCGATGGTGAACGCCGCTTCGCAGATTCGACTGCGGGAGAGGATTGTGGTATGGATTCCTGTGGTTCAGGACCTGGAGATGAGCAACGCACTTTCGGTTGCGTCAAGTCCGGCACCGTGTCGTCTTTGGCAGGACTTGCCGCTTGCTGGACTTCAGGCTCAAACAACATTTCTCCGACACATTGGTCCGAAAAGATCTCGAACTTAGACTTGGCATTTCTCTTGTTCTTGCGGATCTTCTGGACCAAAGGACTGGCTTCTTCGCCCTTGGCGGTGAAAAATGGACTTTGTTTCACTTCTCGAGTTGGTGAAGGGTCCATTGAGTCCGAGCACAGTCGTTGTCTCTTTACTGATTGGAAGGTCGACATTGTTGAAGCTCTAGCCAGAAAGGCCGTGCGGTCTGTTGTACCACCAAGCGTAGCTGATATTGTGGTGCTTCGCCTCAAAGCTGGAGCAGAAGACACCAGTCTTGGTTCCCAAGACGCGTTCTGATTGCGTTGCAGCAGCCGTTGTTGCGAGGGAGAAGGGGTGAGGCTGTTGGGATCTAACTCAGCAAGAGGCTGTCGATGAGGCTTGAAGAATGTCTCTATCGATTTCTTCGGCTTCAGCTCGGGTACGGACGCATAGCTCTGGCTCCTACGCTCTCCAAGAGCGGGGCGACCCAACGATTTGCTGTTAAGCTGGATGGGTCTCTTCGAGAACGGATCAAGATCGCCACAGGCAACACCAAGTGCTGTGGAAGCTTCCACGTGAGGCCCAAGATATGGCATATCTGAATCTGACATTCCAGGACCAAGTGCGTTCAAGAATACCATTTTTTGTGCGATCGGACAGAAGACGCGGTGGTGTAAGAAGGTTAATTCTGCATGCCGAAATTGCTCCAAGTAGCCATTCGGTACAATCAGCTTTCCTTCTAGTTGGACCATCCGAAGGATCTTTTCGATGTCAGTATACTTGCGGACGAGGCCGTGCGCTGTCTTAAGCCCCAGTTTGCCAATATTTGGCAAATAATCGCAGCCACTGAGGATGGCCATCCTCCGGAACATTGTGTCTGTCCAGCCTGCGAGTGAGATGTCTTTGCACATGGGGAAGTCTGACCGCTCAATCTCAACCAATTCGCCATATTGATTAAGCTTCGTCAATAGCCGCTGCGCACCAAAAACCAGCATGTCGGAATCTTCAGCCAGAATCCCATTGATGATACCCTTCTGTTCCAGATAGACCAACTGTGCATCGGCTTCGTAGGGCGCCACGATGTACTGGACATTGAGCTTCTTCAGCTCCTCGATCAATTGTCGAGCCATAAGAGGGGTAACATCAATGGCTTTCTGGAGTTCTTGTTGCGCTTGTGTGGTTTTCCCGGCCTTGTGCAGTTCCAGACCCAATGCCCTGCTTTCTTCTCTTTTCTTGCGCCTGGCCGCATTTGTTCCAGCTTTGCTGGGCAGATTATCCCCATCAAAGACCAAATAAGGAGTAACTCCGAAGTCAAGCAGCATCCGAACTCGGCTCAACACGAAATCAATGTGGATGGTGGTCGGCTTGTCGAGGGCAAGGGCGAACGCACCGCCCACCACGCCGCGATGTAGCCAGCCATAGGCGTCAACTCCAATGGTTTGTCCGGAGAACTTTTTGAGAGTGCAGTGCTTCTGGATGGACTTGAGCATGGGCAATAGGCCTAAGAACGTTAGCACACTATGCCACACGAAGTCAATCTACTTGCCTTTAATGCCCATCTTTGCACCCACGCCAGTGCTCACCGCTTGTTTACGGTAGATAGAGGCACGTTAAGGTGGGAAAGGGGAAGGATAAAGGAGCAGTGATTGTAGCGAATGAACGGCGATATAGGTGCAAACGAACATCCCATAGGCATCGGGCGTATTGACGTTCGACTTACTCCGAAAGTTGTGGGAGTTGCATTGCATAGCATACCTTGAATTGGCGAGGCAAGCGCCCACCCAACCACGCGCCGCGAGCTGCATCGACGCGTCTGGAGCCTTGCAGGCTTCGTGACAACGGGCCGACGTTTTACCGACCTCCACCAAATTTTCCCCAATGACCCACGAGTGGGAATAGTTGAATATTCCAGAGCCCAGAAACCCTTGTTTGCTGTACAAACATCAACCACTCACTATGGCTCGCGCGCTCAATAAGGTTCAGAAGCAGATATCCAAGAAGCGAGGAGGCAAGCCTAACGCCTTACATGAGAATAGTCGAGATGCAAAGCGCCTCCGACGAGCAGGGGCCAGGGAAGAGAAGCTGGCTCGACTGATGGATGCAGCAGTAAAGGCAAATCAGGTCTATGGTAAGTCTCGCCCACGATATTGAGTTGGCTTATGTATTGAGCTGTGGTTACCGCAGTCGACCGGGTGGCATGGTTCAAGTCAGCCCTCGAGGGATCTTCGGGCCCGTTGACAGACGAAGAAGTGCACCTCCTCACGCAAAGGTATGTGGCCAAGTTGATCTCGAAGTCCAAACTTTCAAATAACGATAGTCGACAGCTTTATTGACCGTGAGGATGAAGAACTTGCCGAAGCTAAACAGCAACGTCGACCCGGAAGACCGCCTACGAAGCAGGAAGAGAAAATCAGCCAGCGAAAAGAAGTTGAAGAACGCGAATTTCGTGCTGGGCTCTGGGTCCCTGAACTTCGAAACGAAGAAAGCCGACGTAAGGTTGAGAGATGGGCTGGGGAGTGGGGTGGATTGAACACGCTGGACTTTGTTCGCGTTATTAAGTCGGGCGACATCAAACCTTCCAGCTTCCCACCTAAAGCCCTTTCATGAGAGGAAGTGCATCCTCTGTACTGTCGGCTCTGCTCCGTCATACAGAATTGCTTATGTCCCTCCTTCCAGGATTTGGATGTCTCTCTCGGCGCCTTGATTTCACGCAAACAGTGTGCCAAGATCGATTATACCAATATCCGTTGGGAGCGGAATTCGAGCATCGCCAGTCCACTGATCGGGAGCATATTCGGCAAGCCTTTATGCATTACGAGCCTCTGACGTCGAAATATGCCAACTAGTTAAATACCATAAATCAGCACCGCACCTGCCCGCTGGGTTCGCACAGCTTCTACCAAGTGGAGGACTCGGATGTTCTGAGGTGGCAAATGGCAGCCTTCTTTGGAGCAGAAGACGTTCTGGAAAACTCCTTGGGATCTCCGCCGGCAGGGCGCATTGGCTTCAGAGCACGAAGTCAGAGTTCTTACGATAAGGGTTGAGTGCGTCGGAAATTGACGTGGATAGTATTCTGGGGCGACCCGATACTAGTGGTGGTTATGTTGTTCGCCGAGGCATCACAAGCCGCACATGGTGAGTTCAAGCTACGAATTGAACTCATCGATGCGCTGTACGGATGTTCAGATCATCTGCTTTCAATCCTTGTTTGATTGCAGGAGAGGGTCAGACTCGGACACTAGACAGACTGGCAAGGCTGGCTGATCGAGTCTCCTTTGGTTCTCCTCGTTGATAACTGACTAGTGAGAAAGGCATGTCACGTGGTAGCATGACTCGTTCCCAAAATTTATGGTGGAAACTTTCTCGAACTGCTCCATCTCGCTGTGTATTTGCATCTTCCGTCTAGGATTCTTCTTCTTGTCTCTCTATCCCCTAGCCACTGTATTTTTCTGCTTTCAACATGCTTTCGTTCCGGATGCTCGGCCGGGCACTGCCCAAAACTGTCCTGCGCCAACCCGCAGTCCGCTCCGTGTCGTCCATCACGAGATTCGCAACTCGTCGGCCGCAATGGCAAGCAGTGATGAAGCCATCATATCCCGCATTCTCAACCTCTTTTTTCCGGAGAGAGCCCGCTGGCCAATGTAAGCATATGTAACTACAGGCTTGGAATTTTGCTAAAACGAGTCACAGCGGACGAGGCTCTCGTTGCGAAACTGAACAACGAACGAATGCTCGAGCTCCAGTCGCAAAGCGATGACAGACTGGCCGCCATCAATGAATTTCTCGAGAACAGTCCCTTCAAGGTCCAAGACAAACCTGGTTCGCACGAGATTGTCCTGACCCGAGATTTCGGCAATGAGAAGTGAGAATATCCCGCCCTTGGGTGGTGACACGCCAATGCTAACTATAGCCAGAATCAAGATTCAATTGAGTGTCTCGGACCTCTCCGAATACCCGGCCGAAGATGAATTCGATGCCTTGGATGAAGATGGTGCTCTTACAGACGAACCGGATTTCGAGGCGCGAAAGAGAGGAATCAATCAACCCGGTCCAAGAGGAGGAAAAGTCGATGTCATGCCGGAAGATAGCATTGCACCGGCTGACAGAGCTGAGGGCGGAGAAGAAGTCGACGACGTGGCAAATGTCACGCCTGCATACCCTGCTCATATGACCATTACCATCACCAAGCCCGGCAACAAGGCCATTGAGATCCGAGCCGTTGCCCAAGATGGCACCATTGAGATCGAAAACGTCTGCTTCTTCCCCAAGGACTCGCTGCTCGAGGCACAGAATACGAAAGACGCTTCAGAAGCCCGCAGCCTATATGCAGGGCCGCCCGTCGAGGATCTAGACCCCGAACTCCAACAGATGCTTCACCAGTATCTAGAAGAGAGAGGGATTGACGAGGAACTGGCAAGCTTCCTTCCCGAGTACCTCGACTACAAGGAGCAGAAAGAATACGTCAAGTGGCTTGAAGGTCAGTCGAGATGCGCAGGCGAATTGAGTGCTTTACTAACCTCCTCGGAACAGATCTTGAGACCTTTGTCAAAGAATGATCCTCCCTAACCTGCGTGTGTCTGTAGTTTTGGGGACTTCTTCCAGCCCGTTTTACTAGATCCTCCACTTTGAGCAACATCCGTCATGTCAAAAAAAAAGGTGTACATTATGTTACAGGGACAAGCCTGGATCAACAATGAAATAATCAGATACCCATTTGAAGTGTTGGCCAACCACATCCAGTTCTTATCGCTTAAGCACTCTCAAAAGCAGATTCTCTCTCTGCAGGATCATTAAACCTTTGTGACTCGCCGCGGAATGGTAGCTACGAGCTGACGCTTGTGACGAATAGTAGGTATACAACTCTGATTGAATTACTGTTGCCACAGAGAGCACGAGATGTCCTTGCAGAGTACTCCGTACCCCAACCTCCATGGCTTGGTGGCCCATTGGCTGCTCTTCGGAGCAGGAGAGTAGCTCGGCAGGTGTCACAGCCGACACAATGGTAGAGTCCTGCACTCAATGACCGATTGTTCGCATGGATATCGATATGTGGACAAGACCTCGTGTCAGCCTCGGCTGCTTGTATGCAACCCCTTACCTCGTACCCTCAATGCGATACGACTCGATTTCAGGCCTTCTGCCCCCATTCCACCACGGCTCAGTTTGAAGCGGAGAACGAAGCTTGCACCACCAAAGCGTGGAGATGCTCGGCTGCACCCTCGTACCGACCCAACTCAAGTTGTGAGAGACTCCGTATACTACCTCGTATCGCGTATTGACCACTTGGCCAGGAAAGTCAAAGCAACCAGTCTCCTGACCCCTCACACTTCCAGATCGAGGTTTTCCAAGCTCTTGGAAGGCCACCATTCTCTGCGGAGATCTTCGTCGAGTCGGTGCAACTGATATCGCCGAGTTTGTCGCCCTCCAATGACAGACACTGCAAAAGAATTCAATCAAGGCGGGAAATCAGTCATCACTCCCGTACAAACGATGTGGATCCATGCGAGGGTTGGAACACCACTGGGGAGCAGCCAGAAGGACTCTGAATACGGAATCAGGATCCCATGTGCTACACCCTCCACGCAAGCTCTTTACGATCGCTTCTAGGTGCCATACACCTTCTCCAAGCGGCATTGGGTTGCTTCGTTCTTCGGCCTCTACTAAGCCCTCACCGCGCTTGGCCCCTCCCCCAGTTCATGCGCCTGGGGTGTGTGGAGAAAGAATCACACATCTGACTGGGACAATGCCGTACTTACTGGATAGGAGCATACCTTGGGATCCATTCTATCAAGCATGGAGAACCGAGTACGGAATAGCATATGGCCGCCTGAACCAAGATTGAACCCTGTTACAAAGTGGCTCCGAGGAACATCGCCTCCACTGCTAAGAGGCGGAAACCCTACATCCAGTATTGCCCATCAACTTTATAAATGCTGACATCTCGACGTGTCGTCACCTTCACCCATCCTTTGGACCATTGTCTTCTACCAAAGGTCTGCGGCTCAAAAGCGTCGCCTTTCGATCGATCCAAAATGAATCACTACCAAACACTGGGCCTCGGCCTGGTCGGGGTGTCAATCGTCTACTTCGTGGTCGCCTCTTTCCTTGCGAAGCGCTATCACGCTAGGAGGGCAAAAGAGCTTGGATGTCAACCGGCCTGGGAACGCCCTTACCGGTGGCCTTTTGGCACTGACCTGGTCTGGGAAATAATTCAGGCCGACAAGAACAATATTGTCCCCAACTATTTTCTGGACGTGTATAACAACAGGACTGCAAAAAGATCAACATGGCAACAAAACATGCTGGGAACCATGGGCTACGTGACATCGGATCCCAAAAATATTCAGGCGCTGCTTGCCACTCAATTCAATGACTTCGAGATTGGAGAACAACGTCGCGGCAACTTCTTCCCCATGTTGGGCAATGGCATCTTTACCACGGATGGCAAGGCATGGTGAGTGAACACTCCTTCATGGGTGTATATGTTGCGACCCCTGTTAATACGATTGAAGGGAACATTCTCGGACTCTCCTCCGCCCTCAGTTTGCTCGCCAACAAGTCGCCGACTTGCAACTGGAAGAAGTCCATGTCCAGGACATGTTCAGACATCTCACCACCGAAAACGGGTGGACGGGTCAGGTCGACTTGGTCCCACTCTTCTTTCGTCTGACGCTTGACTCTGCCACCGAATTCCTCTTCGGCCAGAGCGTGGACTCCCAAATTGCCGCTTTGCCTGGCTATACGACAAAGGCTCGGAAACCTGGTGAACTGGACTGGACGGCCTTCGCATCCTGCTTTGATGGCGGGACCAATGCGCTCGGCGTCCGCGGAAGACTGGCGGAGCTGTATTGGCTGTACAGCCCCAAGCACTTCTACGAGAATTGCAAAGAAGTCCATCGATTTGCCGACTACTACGTCAATCTTGCACTAACCACAGATCTCTCATCGTTGAGTGAGCAAAATCTGGAAAAGGGGCAAAAGAAGGAGAAGTACATCTTCTTGAAGGAACTTGTACAACAGACACGGGACCCGATCGAACTCCGAAGCCAACTACTTAACATTCTGCTAGCTGGTCGCGACACGACCGCCGGGCTCCTTGGATTCACGTTCTACCTGTTGGTCAGGCACCCCAAGGTCTTCAAGAAACTGCGCGAGAACATATTGGAGGATTTTGGCACGTACGAAGACCCCAAGTCGATCACCTTTGAAACGCTCAAGGCTTGCTCATATCTGCAAAACACCCTGTCCGAAACCCTTCGAATCTTTGCTACTGTGCCCTTCAACAGTCGCCGCTCAACCAGGGACACGACTCTCCCTCGCGGCGGAGGCCCAGACGGTAACTCGCCAATCTATGTCAAAAAGGGGACAGAGGTTAACTACTCGGTTCACATCATGCACCACCGAGAAGACATTTGGGGACCCGATGTGGAAGAATTCAAGCCCGAGAGATGGGTCGGGCGCCGGCCCGGCTGGGAGTTCTTGCCGTTCAACGGTGGACCTCGCATTTGTCTTGGACAGCAGTTCGCACTCACAGAAGCCGGCTATGTCATCGTCCGCATGCTGCAGAAGTTTGACGGCATTGAGACTTACGAGACTGATCCCATCGTGCGCCATGCGTACGGCCTCACTACTGCGCCCTTGCGCCTTCCTGTCCGTCTCCACGAAGCATCCGCTAACTGAGAGAGCTTGCACGGCGTCATAGCGGATAGGGACGCGGCTGCCTTCCGATAAGGCACTGGCAGTATCGAGCAGCAAGCGAAGCGTATTCCATCACATCTCGCTCTCATTATTTTAGACAATACCTCATCAAATATTTTTTACGGCGTCAGAAAACAAGGACCTCATCCGTTCATTATCCTTCAGTCTATCCACCAGTCGTCTGCAGGGCGCCCTGATGATATTGGTGTCGGGTACTCTTCTCGTCATTGCCTTGAATACGTTGTGTATGACACCAGCACCTGTCTATTCTCTGCCTATTCGCCCACCAATCGGGGATGAGAAATCCCCTCCCCTTCGAATCGCGGCTCTTGGGGCTTCCTATCGAGTGAGAGATGTGCTATCCGCTCCGTTGCTCAAGACCGAACAGGCTCATCACTTTGCTGTCAATGCAGAAATTCGCCGTGGATGGGGCGTTCTGCAGTGCCTGCGAATGTTCAGCGACACGGTTGAATGGTTGCAGCACCTTGTCGATGGCCAAAGTTTCTATTCTCCCTATATCTGGATTCCAAACGTCACGGTACAAACCTCCACCATCATCCAGAAAGAAGGAACGACTACAGCTTCGATGACATTGCAGGCGGAGCTCGGTGCTGAGTATTCACGAGAATCAAGCTTCCAAGTCACACCGACAAGCGAGGTTGCGACTGACTTGCGAATACTGCAGGTGACAATCGTACATGAAAGACCAGATCAGCGCAGAACTCCTGATAGAGGCGTGGTACTCTCTCGTCGAGACTCTACGCCGTCGGGCTGGGACAAGGAGGTCTTGAGAGCTAGGTATCTTGCCATGATTTCAGCGTGCGGCTCCTTCTTATTTGGGCTCTTTCGCATGCTGTACGACAAGTGGAAGGTGGTCAATTGGATCGAGAGACCCCACACGAGTCTACTGCACCGCATGGATGAACTGGCGACACTGGCAGCAAAGGAAAGCTACTACTATCATCAAGGAAACAGCAGCTGGAAAGGAAGACTTGGGTGTTATCGAGAAAGCAAAAAGAAAAACCCGGTGCAGCAGAAGGATCGGGGCAACAACATGAACAATATGGGACCATGCGAGCTGACCCTAGAAGTGCGTTCCAAGAACGGCCAGGTCGTGGAGGAAGGAAGCGCAGGCCCATCGACTGCCACCCACTTAATATCACCAAGCTCCGCGGGACTTCTGTCGACTACCACCCCAGTAATCTCCTCTGCTGGTCCAGAAAATAATTGTGGAAGGGGAGATTCGGGCCTGGAGCCCACAAGAGAGACCGGGCAGACTACTCCTAGACGTGGGTCGGACAAGAAGATCCAGGCAAGGGAGGAATGGCGCAGGGCTGCTGGTCGGTTCTATGCGTTCCTGGCATCTGGGGTGAAAGGAATCAAGGGGCTACTGTGGAAGGCAGAAGTAGAACCCTAACCACGCGCCTGAATTGAATCCATGTGTTCGACGCTCTCGATCTCTGCGTGGGCTGGGGGACATTGCACGCGAGGGCTACTACTGTAGGTGTTGTCCCAGAGAGTCCCAGCAATAGTTCTCTTCCCAGAGATTCGCGATTCTCAGCTTGACCAGGATTCTTTCTCGGTGCTGTTCATTGGGTCGGGCACGCAGCCGAGAGAAGCAGCACCGACATCAGGGCGCGGGCGCAGGCGTCACCTCGAGGCTCGAGCACGATTGGGCGAGGTAATGCGTGGGGTGTGGAGGGCCCATTGCGTCGTGTGGGTGTGGTTGTGTTTGGCCCCTCGTATGTTCTTCCAATGCATGTATGCGTCGTGGTGGTGGCGGTTGCGGCACAGAGCCAAATAATGATGATCCCTTCGCGATGACGTTTGTTGACGTCGCTTTGAGGTACCTAGGTAAAGTGGGTAAAGGTCCCAGACTCCCAGGCCAGGCACAGCCGAGTCACTTCGGCCGGGGATCATCGAGCGATCGGAAGATACGTGCTGAGCGAGTGAGGTAGACTGATACCTAACATTTCCCTACGTATCTATCACCAAAGGGAAAATCCCCAATAAACAAGGGCTAGAAGCAGGTTTTGTCGGTTGGAACAGTGACAAATTTTAAAACCACAACGTCCCTCGACTTCATTGAGTTTTCGTCTTGTTTCTATTTCCCTCCCTGTATTCTTCTCGAGGTACTCTAGTCTATCTCTTGGTGTAGTCACGAATACCTTCGTTGGCCGCCCGCGACGCCGCACGGTCGAAGTGATACCTGGCTCAACGCAACGGATTGTCGAGCCTTCGGTCCACACCCTGGTCCAAATCCACTGAGTAGAAGTTCTGTCGAACCCAACAATGCCCTCCCACGACGGCGGCATGTCCTACCCGGGCGTCCTCCTCCTCTCCGTCACGGGCATCTTCACGTTCCTCGCCGTCGTGGCCGCGGCCGTCTATTTCGCCGGCTACGCCGACGACGTCGCCGAGTGGTGGGCCAAGCGGTATTACAAGGCCAAGGCCGTCGCCGAGGTCAAGCTGATGGAGAACGTGGGCGAGGAGAAGGTGCAAGGCATGGTTAAAGGTAAGTCTTTGAGCCCCTTTCCCCCAAGGGGCTGTATACACCCTTTTGGTTATCGTAGCTGACGTCCCGGTGCTCTCTCGCGGGGAAAAAGACTCGTTGAAGAAGAACCCCGTCATGGGCGAGGACGAACTCGAACAGGTCTCGGGTGGCTTGGGCCAGGAGGCGGTCAAAGAGGGCCTCGGCGGCGTCAGTGGCAAGCTGGGAGGCTTGGGGAAGTTGTGATCCCAAAGTCGGCAAATTCCCTTCCCTTGACTTCTTGATAATTTATGGGGGGCTGAAGGGGCGTTGATGTGGCTGAACCTTTGGACTGCGGCCTGGACTGGAATCAAGACGAGGTTGCAGAAGGTGGACGTCTCGCGGGACAGGTGGTCAACAAGGACTGGAGCGCCTGGCTAGAAAATCGCGGGACGAGGACTTGGAAAATCGGATTGTGAGAGTGCTCGTGGGAAAACCGAACCAGACGGATGGAATCAGGTGTCGACCGAAACAGGCGCAGGCGCACACATTTCTCTCACATACACTCCCAGATTTCTCACGATACAACAAAACGCTGTCGAGCAGTAATCCAGCACTGGCGCAATAAAAACAGATTTAGATATCCATCTGCCTTAGATCTTGCAACTTTCGAGCAGACTTTAGCATTCTCACCAATAGCTCGGAGTAGTCCCATCCAAGCGCGCCGGCCGCCATGGCTGTGAGACTTGCCTGGTTTTCGCGGCCGGGTCGGCCTGGACCCGTCATGTTGGGTTTCATATTGACATCGAAGATTGCAAACTTCGAAGCCGTTGCCTCTGTGAACTGCCTCACATCGATTCTTATCGGCGCAGTCACCCGCAGCAGGCGAGCAACGTCTTCGCACTCTTTGCTGGTCTCTTGATACCGGGGGTTTCGAGCTTCCTCGTGGGGTGTCAGGACTCTGGAATTGGCCGTCACCGCTACAACGCCGTTGTACGGCGCAATTCCATCTTCGTGGTTGAAGCGCACGACGAGGGGCAGTGCGTAGTAATCTGGATGGTCCTCGGACGGCGGCATGACGGTGACGGTTGCTTCCTGGCCACAGAGATATTCTTCGAGCATAGCGATCGGGCTTTCTTTGAACAAGGCCGATAAATGGGCAGAGAGATCCGGCGGGTTGCGGCACACCTTGACACCGTGGCTTCCTCGGCCACGGATCGGTTTGGCAACGATTGGGTATGGCAAGGTCTCAAGGCTGAGAGATGATGTGGAGTTTAGGGTCCACGAGCGAGGCATGCTGAAGCCGCCATGCTTGCGGAGGAAATCGTTAACATAGTTTTTGTCGTCGTACTGCTCAACAAATCGTGGCGGTTGACCCACTACTCTCACCTCAGCTGTGTATTTATCGAGGGCTGATGAGGTCTGCAGAGGGTGGGAAGCAAAGAGAATCGTGTTTGCCCATAGGATGTTCGCGCCTCGCTCGATGGCGGCCCGAATACCGCTCTCTGTGTCAGGAAAGCACCAGCCCTCATCTCGTCTTGGGTCTGGACTCCTCTCCGCAGAAATAACTCTCACATCCTGTCTGGAGGCGAGAACGTAAGCAATGTCGGCCCCTGAGTCTTGATACCCCCCGGGTTTCTTTGGTTTGCGGACACCGTTGACGACTGGAGGGTCGCATGCTTGGTAGAGGACCGCAACGCGCAACTCAGTTGACGGACTATGTACCATGCTGATAGCGCGCGCTGCCTGATCAGCCGGGAAGCAGCAAGATGTGAACAATCTCTTGGTGGCTGTGTTGAAAAGCAAGAGTCTCATCTTCAAGCATCCCCTTTCAAGGCATTGCCATCTCTTTGGACTGGACTACTTCACCACCACATCCGAGATTGATCTCATCGCAGCGCTCTAGAAAGGTTGCGGATTCATCAGCAAACCTTAGAACAGCTTCATGAGTGACCTACCGTTGCTACTGCCAGGCACATATGCTGCTTAAGTGGCGCATCTTCTCTGGGTGAAAATGCAAACCGCGGGTGGAGTGGGTGCCATGGCTGCTTCTCCAAGGAAACTTATGCGGGACAAGCTTCCAACCACATGCCTCTCCCCAATTGATGCCTGTTCACGATTCACCGACTTGTGCTCTCTTCCTCGCTCTCTCATTATAGCTGAATGGCACCATAGCTCCTTAACCCATCCCGACGTCTCGCAGTCCTACCAATCCATGACCACCGAAAGTTCCCCAAGAGACCGCCTATGGTCACGGCGGGAAATCGAGGGCCTGATAGCAGAAGGGAGGAAGATTATAATCCTCAATGGACGAGTGATCAAGGCTGATGCCTGGCTCCCTTTTCACCCTGGTGGTGACAAGACCATCCTGCATATGGTGGGAAGAGATGGAACAGATGAGATCCGGGCACTTCACTCCCTCGAGGCGCAGGCGCACATGCAGAAGTTCGTGATCGGGAGAATCCAGGGGAGATGGATCAACTTTCTGCCCCCAATACAGGGTGGACATTTCAGACCATACGTCAAGGGTCAGGAAGACAACGATGCAGAAGAAGGAGAGGACTCAGACTTGCAGACCGATGGTGCTCTCAGCTCTTGCAGTGACAGTAGTGCACCTCCGTCACCCATCTTCGACCCCGTCGATGCTCGAGAACGAGGGACGTCGTCACCGTCCACTTCCTCATTGTCTGAGAATGAGCAAGCGAACGTCAAGGATGACCCTATTCAGATGAAGCTCTCAGCCGAAAAGTCCTCAGACATGCTGAAGTACCCATCACTGGACCACAGCTCACAAGGTCGGATTGTCGCCAAGTACCGCGAACTCGACGCTCAGATGCGGGCGGCTGGCCTTTACGACTGTCCATACGGTGCCTATGGAGTTGAGTGCTGCAGATATATCCTCCTCTTCGCATCTTCTCTCCTCGCACTCCACTACTCCTACTACGCCATCTCGGGGGCCCTTCTCGGCCTTTTCTGGCACCAGCTCGTGTTTACCGCCCATGACGCTGGACACATGGGCATCACACACAACTTTCATGTCGATACCTGTATTGGAATCTTCATCGCCGACTTCTTGGGTGGCTTGTCCATTGGCTGGTGGAAACGCAATCATAACGTCCACCACATCGTTACCAACTCACCGGAACATGATCCAGATATCGAGCACATGCCCTTTTTCGCCATCTCTACCCGGTTTTTCTCGTCCTTACGTTCCACTTATTACGACCGGATCATGCAGTTTGATAGCATTGCAAAGTTGGCCATCGCGAAACAACATTGGTTATACTATCCAATTCTCCTTCTTGGCCGCTTCAACCTCTACCGCCTCTCCTGGGAGTATCTCTTTCTGGGTCAAGCCCCAAAGAAGGGACCGGCGTGGTGGCATCGCTACCTGGAAATATTGGGGCAGTTTGTCTTCTGGAGCTGGTTCGGCTACGGAATTGTGTATTGCTCCATTCCTACAGCTTGGGACCGCTTCGTCTTTGTCATGATCAGCCACATGGTCACAGCACCGCTCCACGTCCAGATCACGCTTTCCCACTTTGCCATGTCCACCACCGACATGGGCGTGCATGAGTCCTTCCCCCAGAAGATGCTCCGAACCACCATGGATGTCGATTGCGCGCCCTGGCTTGACTTTGTCCACGGCGGATTACAATTCCAGGCCGTCCATCACCTATACCCGAGGATCCCCAGACATAATCTCCGAAAGGGGCAAGTTTATGTGCGGGAATTCTGTAAAGAGACAGGAGTTCCATATGCAATCTATGGCTTCACGAAGGGGAACAGGGAAGTTCTCGGGAGGTTGGAGGAGGTGGCGAGGCAAGTGAGAGTTTTTGAGGAGTGCAGAAAAGCGTGCGCGATCGAGGTCGTCGAGGGGAAAGAACATGCTCACTCTCACTGAGGGAGAAGTCTGGACCCTGAACGGAAAGATGTGCTGTGTTGAAGCTCGGATGTACGGGTTTGAATCAAGAAAGGAATGGTTGATATGAGACCATTCTTTATACATAGATAATGATGAAACGAGACAAGTTGTAAATATGGGCTGGATTACTGGGGGTGGAAAGAGAGGCGTTTAGATAGCTTGTTTTCAGATACCAACAAGACCACATGCTCCTCGAAAGGGAGGTTTCAAGCGACCTAGGTTTTTTTCGAAATCTTCTCTCCACTCCTCTAGTGACAGTACAGCGATGCGCCCTTTACTCGAATTCCACGCCCTCGATGGTAATCCGGAATCCGAAGGCACTTCTCCCTCCCTTTCCTCCGCGCCCGCCGTCCCCTCCCTCCTCCCTCTCTGGGCCTCTATGCGCCGCTGCCCCGCTGGGGAGGCGAGTCGCTGCGAATCTCCCCCTGCGCACCGGTTCGAGCCGCTTCTCCCGGTCCCTCAAACACTCCTCCACGCCCATCTGGGCCGGGAACTGCGCGACGGGCAGCCTCGCGAGCGAGAGCGAGAGCGCGGCGTACGACGTCCACGGGGAGACGAAGCGGGCGTCCCCGCCTGAGGGCGCCGGAGTGGTTGGGGCGGACGTGATCGTCGTCGTCTCGTTCAGCGTCCGCATCGTTGAGGACGAGGCGAACGGAAGAGAAGATGGAGCAGTGGTGGTGGTGGTGCTGAAGACAACAGCACATTCGAACCGCTCTTGGAGGGCTTTAAGTTTCTCAATCGTCTCCGTGGCCCTGGAGGGTCCTCCGGCCGTGGTGCCCGGGGCTTCGAGCTTCGCTGTGGCGAGGTCGGATCGGTCCTGCCAGTAGAACGCCGTCGCTGAGTCGATCACGATCACGCCTAGCGGCCGATGCATCGAGTGATGCCGCGACCCGTCAAGGAGGTATGTGTGCAGAGACGAGAGGATGGAGATCAGCTGGGCCGAAGACTGCGGCCGGAAGACGTGTATGTGGTCGAGGGACGAGCGGATGGTTTGTTCGATGTCCGAGTCTGGAAAGGCAGCGGAGGGGTGTTTGCCGGACCGGTGATTTTGGATGTAGTGGTTCGTGATCTGCGCCAGCCGTGCAGCGGAAAACCGGCCGTCGGCGTCGATGTACACGACCGTCGATGCCTTGCCACCCAGGTCTCTGGGGAGGACCGCCACGGCGCACAGATAGCAGAGCAAAGAAGTTTTCCCGGAGGCGGACCTCAGACTGGTGAGTTCGATCGTTGCAGGTTTGGCTTTCTCCGTAGGCGCCCGTTGCTCCAGCCTACGGGGAGAGATCTCGGCGTCATCCTGGTCTTCTCCGTCGCTTCTGTTGTCCTCGAACACCGCAGGTGCTGCTGGTGGTGAAGACGGCCATCCTCGACGAGGAGGGGTGTCTTGGACGGCTGGGTAGTGGAGTGATTCGAGGAGATTGTCCAGCGGGGGGACTCCTAGAACAGATCCTGGTCGAGGATCTATCGTACATCTGAGCTCTGCCAGGAACTGTGATCGAACAGAAGACAAAGATTAGATATGGACATGGCCATGTGCCATTTGCAGTCTTGGGGGATGGGGGTTGGATGGACCTGAACAAGGCTGCGGATTGCAGGGTGGAAGGGAAGGTGGCGCGGAACTCGTCAAAGATCGCGGATTGCTGGAAATTAATTACCTGCTCGAGACTCTCTTCCTGGACCTCTTCGAGGAGGCGAGCTCCGTATAGTTCTGCCGACATGATGCTGCCATGGTACACCACCGCGAGGTGAATCTGTTCGTCGTTCTCGATTGAAAAAGATGATCCGAAGGGATTGATCAACATTCTATTATCACAAGAAATCCGTCTCCCTCCCAAGAAATGGCTCCGCCCGAACAACCCTTCCCCGCCTCCGAGCTCGACCAGCACGTCCGCTCGCACACGGTCAACTACAAGGAGAAATCCCGCAAACTGCCTCAGGACTTTGACCTCAAGCGGGATTGCGAGTTGATGGAGCTCGTCCAGTACAGTTGTACCACGGTCAAGCAGCAGTATGAAAGGGCGCTTGCGAACGGGACAGGGACAGCCAGGATGGAATGCTTCCCCATTGTCAGGCTGTTTAGGAAGTACGTGCTCCTCTCACTCTGTAAGGAATGAGGTCAGTTCTGCGGATGCTGATGGCTCTTTCATCATTAGATGCGTCAAGGGCGGGAAGGTATTTCATGTCGAGACGACAGCGTGGGAAGGCCAGCATGCCTGGAAGCCACCTGCAAATACACAGCCAACAGCGCACATGAACGTTAACGACCAAGAAAAGGCTGCCAGAGACGACTCGCCAGGAAATATGTTTACGGCCTATTGGAACTCGTTTTGGTCCAAAAAGTGAATCCTTTGGTTCTGCCTGGGGTATCATATGCAAATCCATCCCTTCCAATATGAAAGACCGACCAAACGCCAACGCTGCCAAAGCATCAAGGGTGCTGGGAATCAAAGCTGCATGGTCACATCACCTCCATGCGGTCCTGAGCTGCTCGGCTTTTCGGAATGAGAATTTTTGCCCGGTGCTCGCCTCTTGACCATCAATTCTTCCGGCATGCGATACGCCTTTTCGCAATTGACAATCGGTCCTAGCTCAAAACCACCACGTTCCTTGGTCAGCAAGTCGCGCAGCGTTTCTTCGAAGACTGCCTCTTCCGACAAATCGACCCCAGTCTTCCACCTCTTACGGCGAATGATCGTGGGAGGTTTCTGCTTGGAAGATATGGCCTCCGTCTCGAGCGGATGAGCAGCATCCAGTTTGACGGCCCCTGCAAGCTTCCGCAACGCCTGCTCACCGAGTTTCCCTTCTTGGGTTGCCAGTTCTCTCACCTTCCTACTGTCGGATTGTCGGTCCGGGTAGACAGGTGTGTCCCGATAGGTATGTGCAGAAGGCAGCTCAGGCAAGCCCCTGGTTGTGAATGAGAATTTTTTCAGCTCTCCGTGCCCGTCCAAGCCAGGGCCGAGGAATGATGCTGGGAGTTCGACGACATTGTGGAATTCATCTTCAGGAGGCGGTGTTGGCAACAAAGGAGGGTTAATGGAGGGTTGGGTCTGGTATGGGCCGAGTTGGTCGTCCGGGCGAGCGATGTCGAGGACATCAATGGCGGTCTCGAAATCGGGGGCGATGGGACAAGTACGCCGGGCAGCGATCATGGAACGCCGGACCTTAGAGAGGAATTGGAGCATGACTGTCAAAATAGTCAGCATACATGCGGCGCTGCGGCATAGAGCAACCTACATTCGTCCATCGCTGCAGCCATGGATTCCAGCGCCACCGACTCAATCGCTGGATTCGAAATGCCTTGTTTCTGCGCCTCCTCTTCACATATCGTCCTTATACACAGCACTAGTAAATCATCGACCACCTCTTGCTCCAACAGTGCTGGTTCCGAGGTGGGCAAGGACTGAAGTTTGTGTCGCATGACATGGTGGTGATGATATGGGATCTTCTTCTTTGGGGAGGTGGCGAACATTTGCTTGTACTTTCAGTGGAGTACTTTTTGAATATACGGCAGGGGAAGAATGTGCTATTTTCCGTGACCTCAGTTCTGTATCACCTTGCCCGCGACGGACCTCGCTCTCGGGTATGGGGGAGGCAGCGCAGGGCCATAGTTGACTACGCGAGAACCCAAGAGAGAAGGTGAACCGACGAGGCTTAGCATTACATAAGGTGCCAAGGCTGCTTTGCGGCCCTCAACCTCAATTGGACTGCGGATCTTGAAGGAGCTTCACAAGCTACCGCTATCAGACCACCACTTGGCTTAGCTACCTTCTGCTCCTCTTCCCCCTTTCATTCCTCTCGCACCCCCAACCTCACCTCGCTTCACGTCTCAAAGTCGGGGTCTATCAGCGTTTAGACGAACTGAGCTCGAGCAGAGCCAGACCAGAACCATGGCAATCAAACCGATTACAGGAGTGCGTTCCCTTCCTCCCCTCCTCAGCAACACATATTTCCCAACAACAAATGCAACAGTCGGACTGTGCTTGGCTCTATGAGAAGCTAGCAAGCTAACAATCGGTGACTTCCGCAGATGCTTCGACGAGGCCTCGTCTTGGATATCAGCATTGCGATGGGTACGATCCTCCCTTCAAGCTTTTCGTTCAGTCTGGCAGGACCGGTTTAGTCATTCCTTTGCGTCCGAAAGAGATGGAACACGCGGAAATTCATGAGTTCTTTACATCCGTCACTCCCGAATCACAGGACGACGTGGACAATGAGAGATTCGAGACGAGGATTCTGTACCAGCAACCATACCAGAGCATGCCACTGATCAGGTGTTACAATCTAGGTCTCGGCACGACATTCGGCTACCTCTGGTGGTATGGCTACCACCTGCCCCGCGTACGAGCGAGAGACAACTTTTACGCAAGGCTCGAGGACCAGCGGGCGAGGGAAGCCGGCTTCAAATAAACGCCTCGAAAGGATCCATGGTCCGGTGTTTGTTTGGTGCGCTGTGCTAAGATACAACATAGGAGGCGGCGGATTGTCAGTGAAAGGCCAGTTCCAACGAAGAAGGCTCTGCTCTTATGGAAGCAACGTCGGCAGAATTGGAAGATGGCAGTGCGTTGAATCGTCGAGACCGAACAGTGTGACGAGGCAAGGACCGGGGGAGGAGATGGAAAATGCCTGATGGCGGCTCTGTACATATCAAACGCCTGGCACTCGAATGAATAAAAAAGAGCTAAAGTGATCACAAGCAGGAAAGTCCGTGGATTGCGTTATGCTCTATGCTCGTTTGATTTTTCCACGAGAGATATCTATCATCCTTGCGGTGTTTCGCCATAGTGCGTTCATATTACAAGCCTCCAAAGGTATCCGGCAGACGTCTGTGTTGCTCTCCCAGTGCATATGGCTCGTAAGTCGACAAGCATTATCTTTTCGCCTCAAAAGCGACGCTGACACGGGACTGTAATCCTACACTCACTTCCTCTTCCTCTCCTGTCTGGCTGCCCTCTCCCAGCTCTCCTCAAAAATGCACTCTTTCTTCTTCAACGCTCCCGTCTTACTTGCGGCGTCGGCACCAAGGTTCAAATATCTTACCACCTCGACGCTGCCGGTGCCCACGCCCATGGTCTTGCCTACAATCACACTCTCGCTAACGCCCTCGATCCGGTCGACCTTGCCCGCCGCACCGGCATCAAAGACGTGGTCTGCCGTCTTTTCGAAACTGGCCAACTGTAACACCGAGTCTCGCATTTTGGCAAGCCCGAAACGTGTAATGCCCAGAACCTCGCCTTTGTAGGTCATCACGTCGGCCAACAGATACATATGCCGCGGATCGATTGACAGACCCTTAGTGACTTCCTGAATCTCGGTGATGATTTTGGAGCGTGCGGCTTCAATGCCGAGGACCTGAAGAGTTTCCATCACAGAGTTTGTTTCGGTATGATACGGGTCGACACCTTCGGTATTCATGCAGTAGCGGAGGCCGTAGCCTTCGACCATAACTTTGTGCATCTGGACAGGCGCGGTGTCCTTCTGCGGCACGGACTGGGGGGAACTGGATGGTGATGGCTCTTCGAGTTTGACTTTCGAGGAGGACGGTTTAGACGAAACAGTGGCTGTTTCGCCGGCGGCCTCATTTTTGACTCCAGCGTCGGTGCTAGAATACGCCTGCTCGGTTTTCATCCCTTGTGCCAAAGCTCTACGCATGGCCTTGATTTCATCTGACCTTGGATCGTCTTCTGCCATGACCACTGCCCGGGTTGCCTGAGGATGGCCAAGGACGTGCACGTTCGGCAAGATGCGACGCAGAGTCTCAAGGCGAATGAGACGTTCACTCTGACCTTCTTCATCAGCCTTCGCCGCGGACCCTCTCTTTGCCGATTTGATTGCAGATTCCGTAAAGAGTCTGAGCTTATCTTTGCGGAGAAACTCGATCCTTAACTTGGCAGATTTGAGCTGTCGATGTTTCTGGATGGCAATTACAAGGTCCTCCACTGTGAGATCCAGACCGAGCTCGGTAATCGTGTCCAGTGAGACCTCGAGGTCGATGCAACTTGGTGTATCCACAAAGTGGCGGATTTTGATGAGAGATGTCACGTCTGCCAGAAAGAGGCTTTCAATTCGACCTTTGACGATACGGGCAAGGCCTTCAGGTATCGACAGATCTCGTCTGCGCTCCAACCGGCAAGTGATGACGGGCGTACTGATCTCCCTTGAGGCGTTGATGATTTCCTTGATTCGAGGAACACCCGCTGTCAAACTCATACCAGCGACACCGGCAAAGTGAAAGGTTTTCAGCGTCATTTGGGTTCCAGGTTCTCCTATGGACTGTGCACCGACAGCTCCGACCGCATGCCCGGGTTCCACACGCGCGCGCTCATATTTCTCCAAGCAGAGGTTCACAAAAGCTTGTAGCGTTTTCTCGGAGAGTTTGGACGTGAGTTCAAAGCGGTCTTTCGTGGATGGAGGCGGCTTCCTCCGTACGCGATCGTCCATTGGGACGGACTGTTGGTTCTTCGAAACTTTCCATGTGGTAGGAATTGCGCCTTTTCTGCCCGAACGTCGTTTCTGCGCAGGTGTCCCCTCTCCCACATCGTCTAGCTCAGCTTCAGCTTTTCGCTTTCCCTTAAAGCTCGATCCAGAGGGTGGCAAAGCAAACTGATTTTTCTTCGCCCTTGCCTCATTGAAGGTGTGGCACTTTGCCATAATAAAGTCATGTATTGACTGCAGGAATGCTCGGTTGCTCTCATTTTGGTCAACCAACCTGTCGTCATCAGTGTCATAGTGAAGTTCAACACTATTGAGGCCGACCCTTTTCAGAAGACCTCTCTTTGTCGAGAGGATCTCTTCCATGACACCAAATATCTCGGTATCCTTCAGGCCTTGGTCCTTGATATCAAACGTGGTCGCCTCGACATGAGCGTAGGTGCGTTCGAAGTCGACTGGTTTAGCACTTGCCTCCATATCGACGGGATCGAGATCATCATCTCCGAAACGAAACTGTACAATGTTGGAAGCGGAGTTGCGGACCGTGCGGTCGTAGTTGGTAGAGAGATCTTCGAGAGACTTCATCAGTCGCCTGGACATGTAACCGGTTTCTGCTGTCTTGACCGCAGTGTCCACAAGCCCAACTCGACCACCCACTGCGTGGAACAAGAACTCGTATGGCAAAAGTCCACTGAAAAAGCTGTTCGAAACAAAGCCTTTCGATGGAGGCGATCGTTCATGCTTCAGGAAATGCGGTAATGTACGGTCCTGGAAGCCATCGGCAACACGCTTTCCTTCAATATCTTGTTGTCCTAGAAGAGCTGCCATTTGAGCCACATTGATGTTCGAACCCTTGGAGCCAGAGACAGCCATGACCATTGGTGTGTTGTTCTTGCTGAGTTGAGAGGTCAGAATTCCTGCAATGTTGGTTCGGACCGTACTCAACACTCGGATCTGCTCTGCTTCGAGGGTCCCTGCGTCGTCCAAACCGGCTTTTCGTTTCAGCTTACCTGCCTTTGAAGCGCGGACAAAGGAGCTACACTCGTCGAATACCTTGGCTATCATTTCAGCCTTCTCCTTGACGAGCTTTTCGGGCGGCGTGACATCACTGATGCCAACAGTGAAGCCTTGGTTGCCGAGCCATCTTGCGCAGAGTTTCGACAAGCGATTCATCCCCTGAGCGGCTGCATCGGGCCCGAAGTCGCGGTAGAGAATGTAGAAGATCGAGTTTTTCTTTCCAGATCCTACCGTTGCCTTGTCCATCCTACCGCAAAGCACCTCTGAATTACGGATGCATAAGAAACTATCATCCTGAAGGTCTCGATGTAGGCCAGGGTGGTATTGATTGTGGTCTCGGCAAGCGGCATCAAGATTGACTGTCACGTTCGACTCCTTGTTCGGCCGTATCAAGACGCTAAAAACCTGCTTGCCTGTCCAGAGTGTCTGAGGCTTGATAATTGCGGGTGGGGGAAGGTCGAACTGTGTGTCGGGCTCCAGCATCCCACAGCACATTGTCACGAATGTTTTCTTGTCGAAGAACTGGTCCAGGCTGCTCAAGAGGAACGACGCGGTGATAAAGTCCTGAATTGCCGAAATAATAGGTTCGCCATTTTTGGGTGTCACGATGTTATGCTTGACGCCCATCAAGAGCATTGCCTCCGTCCGAGCTTCTTCTGTCTGGGGGACGTGGAGATTCATTTCATCCCCGTCAAAGTCGGCGTTGTAGGGGTTGCAGACGCATTCGTTCAATCGAAACGTCCGATGTGGCCGAACTTTGACGAAATGGCTAAGGATACTGAGTTTGTGCAGGGACGGCTGGCGGTTGAACAAAACCACATCTCCATCTTCGAGGTGGCGCTCAACGATGTCTCCTTCCTTCAGATGACTCGCAGTGAGCTGATTGTTGTATTTTAGAGAGTTTTTGAACCCTTCTTTCTTAATCACATGGTTTGCCCCTGGCCAAACATCAGGCCCATTACGTACTCGTTGTCGTAGTTTTTCAATGTTGAGCTCGTTGACCACTTCCGGGTACGTCATGTTCTTTGCCACGAGTATGGGGACTGCGACTTCATCAATGCGCAGGTTAGGGTCCGGGGAGATGACAGTCCGCGCCGAGAAATCGACACGTTTGCCTGAAAGGTTACCTCGAAAGCGTCCTTGCTTGCCTTTGAGACGTTGGACGAAACCTCTGATCTGTTTGCCAAATTCGCCTTTGGCTAGACCTGGTACGTCACTGTTGATGTACATCGCCAGTTGCAGAGACAAATAATCCCAGTGTTCCATGATTTGCGAGGTTGGCAAACCCTTCTCCAGAGTTTCGCGCAGTGCATCATTTGCAGCGACAATGTCCCCAAGCTTAGCGGTGATGTCGTCTTCTGTGCTTGAGGCCTCTTGTCCCACCGACGGTCGGATACACGCAGGAGGAGCAGGGACGTATGTCCAGAGGAAAGATTCTGGTTTCGCAGCGAACAGCCCGAGCAGTTCACGATCGGCACGGCGGATTCGTTTGAACAGGCGCAGGGCTCGAAGAGGGGTCAGATCGTCCATTGCCTTCTTGAGATGCTTCTCAAGTTCCGAGTTGGCAAGCTTTGCACTCTCGAAAGATTTGTCGAACGCTACCTTTTCGGGCGGCGGTACCTTTTTCGCTGAGGTAGAGGCATTGTAGGACTTGAACTTGTCGTGGGTGATCTTGAGAGAATGTGTTGTGGCTTTTCGAACCAAGCCATTGATAGCGCCGCATTCGAAGCATACTTTCGTCTTTTTGCACTGATCCGCAACCCGTCTGACAATAGAAGTCTGTTTCAGGGTATCATTTTGCGATCTGCGGATTGCGCTCAGGAATTTTCGGCGGTCGGCTTCGGAGAGAAGAATGCAGGAACAGTCCTGAAAAGGTCAGTATTTGGAGGCGACGTGCTTGAAATCATTGCATGCCTTGCAAATACTCTGTAGAATCTGGATCACTTTTCTAAAGTATCCAACGTGATAGACAGGAAGGACCAGTCGGACATGTCCAAAGTGGCCGTTGCACTCTTGCAGATGTTTCCCGCAGGTTTCGCATGCGTTCTGCTTAGACGAAACGCCCATGCGCCTATCAAGGGGCCCATATTCAGCAATAGCACGAGTTCCATCTGAGCGTGTCTTGTCGAGATCGAATAAGCGGCGGTCGACAAGTTCAACGGCAGACTGATTGATTATGTCTTGATCCGACCTAGAGACATCAGAATCGTTCCTCAAGTACCACCGAGTTCAACCGTACAAGACGCCAAACTGAAGTTCTTTGATCACCTTCGGAACGTCATTTATCACTTGCTCTTTCCCTAGGGTCATATCCTGGACCTGCGTGGCTGCAGCCATGTTGCCTTCTCTATCACCGCAGGGAACGGCGTGGGGATGCGGTACACGGAGGGTCAGGCATCGGCGCGACTGCTGGTTCTCAGCTCAAAAGATGAGCCCTCGCTGAACGTGGCAGAAGATCTAGAGTTCGCATGCGGGATCAGCGCAGTGCAAGTTGCGGCGTGAATCATTCATTTCTGGAGGCGCAAAGAAACCATGGTGGGCGACCGCAAAAAGTTTCTCCAACTTCACCCCACTCTACAAGGCTGAGTAGCCTCACCCCTCCGAACCAATCATGATCATCATTAATCATAACTCGCACAATCACGCAGATGTCATCAGTATCGAGGTTGCTTCTACTTCAAGTTGACAGTCATGTCCTGAGACCTATCATCAATTCCAACGAGACCCCCGAAACTCCGCGCTGCCCCCAAAGACCTTGCCAGTTTCACTCCGCCAATCGATAGCTGACCATGGTATCTACCTTATGGTTGCTGGTGCTGAAACTGCGTAGTTGGACTTTTTCTGCGTTCTTGATCTCCTTGGCATCGCTGTCTCCCCATTCAATAGGGACATCGGAATCTGCATCAGCGTAGACCAACACGTTGAAGGTGCAGTTCCCGTCCAGCACCGGCAAAAATGTGACAGACGCTGTGATCTGGCGGAAGATGGCTTGAATCTCTTCCTGTATCTGTGTTTCGGTCTTCTCGGGTTCGATCTCCTCTGTTGCAGCTTCACTGTTTCTTTGTCAGACTTATCCTGGAGCCTCGTCGGCGCGTAGCTTACTCGGGTGCTGTGTTTTCCTTGTCTGCTGCCTTCTTGGAGGACCGCTGCTTCGAAGACTTCCCCAAGATTTGTACATCGAATTGCCACCTCTCGACGTGTTCGCCCGTCTCTTTGCTTGTGATGACCACCACCAACTTCGAGATCTTGCCTCCGACCATCCATTTGTTCAGTTGTGACATGATCTTCTTGATGTACGCCTTGACCTGGTCGTCCGAGGACACGAGCATGTTGAGTCCATATTTCTTGACCCTGCAATCCCTAGTCAGAGTTTTTCGCTAGGCGTTTCGAAGCGCTCACGGTGTAAAATCCTCTGCGGGATATACGCCTCTCTGGAACCTGTAATTTATGATTATTTCATCCTCTTGTCTTTCAGTTATATGGCTCACAGTATCGTGTTTATCGAGTATTCGAACTGTTTTCTCAGTTTCGGCGCGTGTGAAATCAGGGCGGCTTGCACTTACGAATTCTGCGACTGTCTTCGATGACCCTGCGTCCGTTAGTACATCATCGTTATTGCGATCAATATGATCTTACCTTTAAGTGCAACCTTGTGCAACTGCGACTTGTCTTTCTTGTCAACCGCCATCTTGCTCATGTTGGGTGTTCAGTGCCACAGTGCAGAGTAAAGTGTGGTTGATGTTAATCCGGGGGTTTTGTGTTGATCCTGATTGTTGACCAGGCAATAATCGTTAACCTTCAAACTCGTAATTTTTACCCTTAACACCGGCGAGTTTTTCTAGCACCTCTGCAGCGCAGTCAGGGTCAATGTCCGTCAACGCTCCAATCGTTCTGACCCATGCGATCATGGCTGCAGATCTTTGCACGGCGAAGAGCTGCGATAAGCACCGCTTCTGCCTCAACGTGGCATAAACAGGGGTTGCGGTCCTTTGCAACCTCTGCTTTCCGGCACGCGCCAAACAACGGACCTCCTGGCGACCTCGAAACTCGAATCGCTGCCATTCCGATTGAGCGATACCGTAACTTCTGCATCGTTGCGCATGTTGACCATGGCAAGAGTACACTGAGCGACCGACTTCTGGAGCTGACCGGTACCATCCAACCGGGCTCGAACAAGCAAGTCCTTGACAAGCTGGATGTAGAAAGAGAACGGGGCATCACTGTCAAAGCTCAAACATGTTCCATGATCTACAACCACAAAGGAGAAGACTATCTGCTGCATCTTGTGGACACTCCTGGACATGTTGACTTTCGTGCAGAAGTCTCGCGAAGTTATGCCAGTTGTGGAGGGGCGCTACTGCTGGTGGACGCCAGTCAAGGTGTCCAAGCCCAGACAGTCGCCAATTTCTATCTTGCTTTCGCGCAAGGCTTATCATTGATCCCAGTGATCAACAAAGTCGACTTACCCCACGCCGACCCTCCGAGGGCTCTGGAACAAATGCATGATGCCTTTGAATTGGATCCTGATTCGGCTGTTCTGGTGTCCGCGAAGACTGGGCTGAACGTGGAGAGTGTCCTCCCGGCTGTCATCGAAAAGATTCCAGCGTAAGTGGCAAGACATGTTCTCATTGGGAAGTATTTGCTGACCATGACAGCCCTGTGGGAGATCAAACGAAGCCGTTGCGACTGTTTCTAGTCGACTCCTGGTATTCGAGTTACAAGGGAGTTATTCTATTGGTGCGCATATTTGATGGTGAACTTCGTGCGGGAGATCAGATCATCTCTTTCGCGACAGGCCTCAAGTATACTGTGGGCGAGGTGGGTATTATGTACCCAGATCAAACCCCTCAAAAGGTCCTTCGGGCTGGACAAGTTGGATACGTCTACTTCAATCCCTCGATGAGAAAGAGTAGCGAAGCCAAGATCGGAGATACATATACAAAGGTCGGATTCCAAAACCAAGTCAAACCACTGCCGGGCTTCGAAGAACCCAAACCGATGGTCTTCGTGGCTGCATTTCCAGTGGACCAGGGCGAATTTGAACACCTTGAGGACAGTATCAACCATCTCTTGCTGAACGATAGAAGTGTCACCATCCAAAAGGAGTCATCACTAGCACTTGGTGCCGGCTTTCGTCTGGGTTTCCTGGGAACACTACATTGCTCCGTGTTTGAAGACCGACTTCGACAAGAACATGGGGCAAGTATCATCATCACTCCGCCCACAGTACCGTTCAAAGTACTGTACAAGAATGGCAAGGAGGAAGTCATCACGAATCCGGCTGAGTTTCCCGACAGCGAGGAAACACGCAGGAATGTGGCAGAACTCCGCGAACCCTACGTCCTAGCAACCCTGACCTTCCCCGAAGAATACCTGGGAAAAGTCATGGAACTCTGCGAGGCTAACCGAGGAGAACAAAAGTCCATGGAATACTTCACGTCCTCTCAAGTCATTCTCAAGTACGAAATGCCCCTGGCTCATCTCGTGGACGATTTCTTCGGAAAACTGAAGTCGGCCACGAAAGGGTATGCTACCCTCGATTACGAAGAAGCCGAATGGCGCGTCAGCAACATTGTGAAACTGCAACTGCTTGTCAATAAAGAACCGGTCGATGCTATCTCCCGCGTCATGCATCACTCCCAGGTACGGCACGTAGGGAAACAGTGGGTGGAGAAATTTAAGGAACATGTTGACCGGCAAATGTTCGAGGTGATAATTCAAGCTGCCGTCGGCCGACAAATCATTGCGCGGGAAACATTGAAACCGTTCAGGAAGGATGTCACTGCAAAGTTACACGCAGCAGATAAGACGAGGAGGATGAAGTTGTTGGAAAAGCAGAAAGAGGGAAGGAAGAAACTTAAGGCTGTCGGCAATGTGGTTATTGAGCACTCAGCGTTCCAGGCATTTCTGGCGAAATAGAGAGGACGAAATAGAGGCTTCACATGTCGAGAGTACTATCATCCCCGAGCAAAGCCAGCCTTTTCTTTTATCTTCTTCTCACCTCTCACATGGCTTTTTGTTTCAAGGCACTCGTATCGGCTTCATGGCCCGCCGTTCTATAGCCACATATAGTTCGTGACTTTGAGCAGATTCTTAACGGGCACTAGTGATCTCTCATTGTCTCTGAAAACGGTGACGACTGGAGGACGAACAGAACAGCAAGCAAACGCGGCTGGATAAGAACTACGAATTTCCTTGTAGCGCTACTCCTTCTCAGCTGGGACAAAAGATCATGCCAATACGCAAGACTTTGTCGAAATCGAATGGAGGAAGATTAGGCCCGGGTACCTGCGAACTGCTCCGTAGTTGAGGGGATAAGAAGCAAGCCGCGTTACTTGTGAGCTCTATAGTTGTCAGAAAAAAAGCAGTTCAGATCGTCATCGCCTGCTTCAGGTGGAGAAATGTCATGATATTTTGAAGGCAGTGCTGTCTGGCAAGGATTCAGATATCAAACTTCGCAGCAAAGTGGCAGAAGCTCAACACAGCAGCTATTGATCAGACCAGTATGCAAGTATATCTTTTCACACATGAGGGAGAAAGTCACTCCACCTGACACGCTCGTAAATCCCTGCCGGCGCTGAACGCAACGATATGATTGTCTCAACCACAACGAATACCCGTGCTGTCGCGTAAGCAAAGAAGATGAAATAAAAGGGGAAACCCAAATCCACCGCGTACCAGAGAATGATCGGCCCCATAGTCGCGACAACGCTGGACACTTTCCAGAGTATGCTCTCCACTGAGCTAGGAAATGAGTAGTTCCATGCAGCAATATGCCATGCCCCAACCCCTCCAACGAAAACAATCAACATGGCTTCCCAATAGACACCAATGGGAGGATTGTCATCAAAGTCCACTTGGCGTATATGTAATTCTAGCATCAGCGAACGTTTTTCGCCCTTTGTGCTCTCGAGCATTCTGTCGACATCTTGGGCGCTGATCGAGGGGCATGAGATCTTGCTTCGTACAGAAACACCGCCGGGCTTCTTCCACCAGCAGAACAAAGTGATAATCGTGTAGCTGACAAAGCACAGCGTTGTGAGTTCGAACAGAGCGAACTCCAGCCGTCCCACGGCGCGGCCAATGCATTGGAGAGCAAACCAAAAAAGTTGCACAGCAGTAATTGCTTTTTGGAAGGTGTCCTCACTAGCCAGACCGTCTATCTCCGAACATTTAATCTCTGGTAGAACTAACAACTTTTCAGTTGCCAGCCACAGTATCTCTTCCGATCTGACAATGATCTGGCCTTCATTTTGGTACTCCAATAGGTATCCGCCCATGCTGGCGAAGAATGAATGTTTCATCGTCCACCAGCCAAATCCATGATGCTGCATCGTCCGGGCTTGGATGCGAGCAAAAATATACTCATGGATGCCCCACAAACATGTAAATTCCGGGGCAAAAACGGTCAAGAGTGCCCAAAGGATCTTGTGGGCCATGACAATCCAAGCGGACTTGTAGGGAGAAGCAATCGTGAGATGTTGAATATTCCAAGTGCAGAGTATGATTGTAAAGGCGCAGGCCCACACGAGTTCCACGGTGCCGCGCACAGGGCTGATAGAAACGAAGCCGACATGCTGGTGGGCGTCGGTAGGCAGATTGTCCGCTGAGGTCACGGCCATTGATGAGAGTAGTTTCAGGAGTCGTTGAATAAACTTTACTTGATCATATCGCAGGAAGAGAAGAAGCGCTTTGCATGGCGATCAGGCTGGCACGGGGTTCATATACAAAACATAAGTAGACGGCCCTTACTCGGTAAGATACACTGGTGGCAGTGCCGAATGTGTCTAAGCCACGGCCCTTGCGCCCGGTTTGGGTGTGACTGTTGAATGTGAATGCGCTTGGATAGCTGCACTGCCCCATTTTGGCACAAGGCAGCCAATTGAATCTGCATAAATGTATTGGCTTGCACGCTGCGATTCATTATCGCAAGCTCTGGGGAATCGTCGTCGTGTGGTTTGGTGTTCACCTCGCTGCCTGAACCTGGAACGCGGACGGAGGAAGGTTTATCCGATCAGCCACAGTACAGGGACAATGCTTGGCACTGACTAGGCCATTTCCTCTTTCGTCAATGTCAACATAGACAAACAATCAGCGTTCTCCATTGAAGCGGCACACGTCCAAACACCTCAAGAGAGCCAGTTCAAGATGTCGGCGGAATCCCCAGCTCGACCAACGCGTCGTGCTGCGCGCAAAAACGTTATAGTGGTGGATTCTGACGATGAGTTGAGCCTCATTAAGGAAGATGACGACGAGGAGTTTACGCCTGCACCGAAGCGAAGCCCGCGCAGGTCCACGAGAAGACAGACAACTGCAAACGTCGATGCATCGCCAAAGAAATCGGCGCGTTCGCGCAAGTTCAAGACTGGCGAGGGCATCGAACCTTCGCAGATATTCGATCCAGAAGAGACCATGCCTTCTAGCAGCCCTACCTCTCCAACGAAGACTGCATCGCCCCGAAAACGAAAGAGTGTCGCTCCCCGAAAAAGCCGGAGATCCTCAGTCGCACCCCCTCTACCTGAACTGCTCCCTCCTGATAGCACCACCAGCAGTGCACACGACACCTTACCTGGGACACCACTGAAGGACATCACGAGCCAGGCATTGAACATGAACGCGCCGCTGGAGGCGGATCATGAATTGCGCAAGCCGATAAGACCGGCAGATCCAATGCTGGAGAAGCCTATGGACATTGTTATACGGGCAAGAGCACAGGCTGTTCCCATTGCGGAAGAGCCCACGGGACCCAAGTCAAGGATGGTCATTCGACAACTAGTCATGACAAATTTCAAAAGCTATGCTGGGAGGCAGGTAGTGGGGCCCTTTCATGCTTCATTCTCTGCAGTCGTTGGACCTAATGGCTCTGGAAAGTCCAACGTCATTGACTCTTTGCTTTTTGTCTTCGGTTTCAGGGCGAGCAAGATGAGACAGGGTAAAATCTCGGCGCTGATCCACAACTCGGCACACCACCAAGATCTTGATTTCTGCGAGGTTGAGGTCTACTTTCAAGAGATCGTTGATCTACCAGGAGGGAAGCACGAAGTGGTCCCAGACTCGGAACTCGTGGTCTCTAGGAAAGCATTCAAGAATAACTCAAGCAACTATTACTTGAACGGCAGGACCACCAACTTTACTACAGTGACGACATTGTTGAAGGACAAGGGTATCGACCTCGACCACAAACGATTCTTGATCTTACAGGGTGAGGTCGAGTCGATTGCGCAGATGAAGCCAAAAGCTGCGAACGAGCACGACGATGGACTGTTGGAGTACCTTGAGGACATCATTGGAACTTCGAAGTACAAGACGCCTATCGAAGAAGCAGCTGTCGAGCTTGAAAGCCTCAATGAGATTTGCGTTGAGAAGCAAGGCCGCGTTCAGCATGTGGAAAAAGAAAAGAATAGTCTCGAAGACAAGAAAAACAAAGCTCTGGCATTTATCCGCGACGAGAACGAGCTGGCAGAAAAGCAGTCAGCCCTGTACCAGATCTATATTGCCGAATGCGAAGACAACACCAAGGTCACAGAAGAGGCAATACAGCAAATTCAGGAACAGTTCAATGCCGAGCTAGAGAAGCATGCTGGTAATGAGGATGCCATCAGAGATCTCGAGAACGCTTACCACAAAGCTGTCAAGCAGTATGAGCGAATTGAGAAGCAAGTCCAGGACCTGAATAAAGAGCTAGCTAAATTCGACAAGGAGAGTGTCAAGTTTGACGAGAAGCGCAAATTTATCAGCGGAAAACAGAAAAAGGCAGAAAAAACAGCCACCTCTAGCCGGTTGGCTGCATCTGAAGCTCAAAGTCTTGTCGAAAGGCACGCGGGCGATGTCCAACGTAAAGGTGCGGAAGTCCTTGAACTTGAGAAAGAGATGGAACAAGAGGAGAAAAGGCTGGCCGTCATCAGGGATGATCTCAAAGGGAAGACTCAGGGCTTGTCCGATCAGATCGCAGCCAAACAAAAGTCGTTGGAGCCATGGAACGCAAAAATCAACCAAAAGCAGTCAGCAATCGCCGTTGCCCAATCCGAGCTTGACATCCTCAAGGACAAAGCTAACAGCGGCCAAAAATCCATAGACCAGGCCAACGAAAGGATTGCGAGCATTGAAACAGACAAGACCACGAAGCTCGAAGAAATTGAACAACGAAAATACGAAAAGGCCCGACTGGAGAAGGATATTAGGAAGATCCAAGATGCTTTGCAGAAACTTGCTGCCAGCGAGCCAGAAGTCCGGTCACAGATTTCGTCGGCTCGGCAGAAGGCTGATGAGGCACGTGCGAGCCTCGCGACCAGTCAGAACCAAAGCAACGTGCTCAAGGGCTTGTTGCGCCTTCGGGATTCGGGTCGGATCGATGGCTTCCACGGTCGCCTCGGCAATCTGGGTACTATCGATGAGAAGTTCGACGTTGCCATTTCCACAGCCTGTCCGTCACTGGAAAACATGGTCGTCGACAATGTCGAAGTTGGCCAGCTGTGTATTGAGTACCTCCGAAAGAACAATCTAGGACGAGCCAACTTCATTCTTCTCGACAAACTGGCTCAGCGCGATCTGTCTCCTATACAAACTCCCGAGAATGTACCCCGACTCTTTGACCTCATCAAGCCAAAGAATGAGCGGTTTGCCCCTGCTTTCTACAGCATCATGCAGAATACGCTAGTTGCGCAAGATCTCGAGCAGGCAAATCGTATTGCATATGGTGCCAAGAGATGGCGGGTGGTCACTCTCGACGGTCAATTGATTGACGTCTCTGGCACTATGAGCGGCGGTGGAACTCGTGTTGCACGAGGTGCCATGTCGTCTAAGTTGGCTTCAGACACTACGAAAGACCAAGTACAGAAGCTCGAGAACGAACGCGATCAGCTGGAGAAGCAGTTCGAGGCCTTCCAGACAAGACAACGAGAGCTCGAGGCAAGCCTCAGAGAAAAGCAAGAAGAAATCCCTCGGCTGGAAACTGCTATTCAGAAGACCAATCTCGAAGTAGAGACCTGCACCAGGAATATTGCAGACGTACAGAGACGAATCCAGGATCTCACCACCGAGCTAGCCAGCACCTCAGTGGACGACTCTCAGATTGTACGTCTCCAAACGCACATCGAATCAATGAACAGGGAGCTTGAACAGTTGCACTCTGAGACGGCTAGTGTGGAGGCCGAGATCCAAGCTTTGCAGGACAGGATCATGGAAGTTGGTGGCATTCAGCTCCGAACTCAGAAGGCTCGAGTCGATGGCCTCAAAGAAAGAATTGACATGTTGAATGACGACATCTCCAACGCAGAAGTAGCCAAGACGAAAAAAGAGAAGCTTAAGGTCAAGAACGAAAAGACGAAGTCGGATGCAGAGAAGGAACTTGAATCTCTATCCAGAGACCTTGAGCAGCTTGAACAGGATATCGAGAGACACAAGTCTGCTGCCGCGGAGCTGCGGGCCCAAGTGGATAAAGCTGAAGAACAACAAAGCAATATGAAGGACGAACTTGGAGATTTGAAGAAGAACCTTGATGCACAAACGGCCGAACTGAATTCGACAAGGGCTGTTGAAATCGAGATGAAAAACAAGCTCGAGGAAAACAACAAGGTTCTGGCAGACAACCAGAAAAAGAGTCGTTATTGGACAGAGAAGTTGTCCAAGCTTACATTACATGACACTGCCGACCTGGAAGCTCTATCTCAAGATCAGGACCGTCAACAGCCCCAGCGACCGGCGGATGAGGACATGCCTGATGCACCTCCTGAAACAGACCCGGACGCAATGGACGTCGACGAAGGACAGCATGAAGAGCAGCCCAAGACCCCTTCCACCCCGGCACGAAGGCAACTGCAAACATTTACCCGCGACGAGCTACTTGACAAAAACAAAGATCACCTTGTGGCGTCAATTGCGGCACTCGAAGAAAAGGTGTCCAATGCCTCAAGCATTGATTTGAGCGTCATAGCTGAATACCGGCGTCGATGTGAAGAGGTGGCTTCCCGGACAGGCGATCTTAAGAATGCAGTGAAGTCCAGGGATGCGGCCAAAACACGTCTTACTGATCTACGCAATCTTCGCCTTACTCAGTTCATGACGGGCTTTACCACCATCTCTTCGCACCTGAAGTCTATGTACCAGCTCATCACGCTTGGAGGCAATGCCGAACTCGAACTTGTGGACAGTCTCGATCCATTTTCCGAGGGCATCCTATTTTCCGTCATGCCTCCCAAGAAAAGCTGGAAGAACATTGGCAACTTGTCTGGTGGCGAGAAGACATTGAGTTCGCTCGCCCTAGTGTTTGCACTCCATGTGTATCGACCTACACCTTTGTACGTCATGGATGAGATTGATGCGGCTTTGGATTTCAGAAACGTAAGTTGTATACCTAGTTCGGTCATTGATGGGTATCAGAAAAGGCTGACTCAATCTTTTTACAGGTGTCAATCGTCGCGGGCTACATCAAAGAGAGAACCAAAAACGCACAGTTCATTGTCATTTCCTTGCGAAACAATATGTTCGAACTGGCGGAGCGACTGGTGGGCATCTACAAGGTAAACCATATGACGAAGAGTGTCACAGTGGAAAACAGAGACTACTTAGCTATGGGAGGTCGGAGGCAAGAGCAGCCCACGAGTGACGGTAGAACGACCACTGGACAACCAGGCCAAATTCGGTGAATGGCACTCGACTCAGTGATGGAGATGAAATGAAAGTGCCGAGGCGGCGCCTTCGATCGACGACTTTCATGACATCATTTCTGCTATGATCTTTGGATATTGAACGCCTGTATGATGGAGCAACGTTGAAGTTTTGTACAGTTGGCATACGGGAAGCAAGTTGAGCGCTTGATTATATCGGTTGAATGATACTCTATATGGGGAGGAAGTCTTGCCTATATTGACCAGCTGTAATCATTCATGACAGGAAATCGGGACCTCTTTCGTTGAAGATAGTAGCCCGTGCGCAACAGTGCGTGGAATATACACATACGACATCTCACCCTCGTTCCAAACAGAGCCCCTTTGCACCCGCGTTTCGAGAAAAGGTCCATGGACGACAAGCAGAGCGAGGGACCCGTGTAAAATAAGCGATCCCTGTCGTCTCGCCGTTCAGCGGGCCGTGCCTCGTGTATCCGCCTTCGGAGGCGTGACAATTTCGAATGCGTTGACTCCCCCAAGGCGCCTTGGTGGACGATGTGCAGTGCCAAAATCGTTAACGATGAACGCATCTTTCAGGACTTTGAAAGTTTTCTCCGAGGGATGGTTGGATGGGGATAGTGAGCCCTGAACAGACACTTCCTTGATGTATTTTCTTCGGGACTGGGGGCTGTGTTGTTTGAACCGAGCCAACCAACATATTGAATGCGGTGATGGAGATATCGTTCAGCCTTGCCGGTTCAGCCCTGCGCCTACGTACTGTACCACCAAGGTGCGGTCCAAACGAACCCACCTAAACTTGCACACGAAATTCACACCTTTATCACATTACTCTCCCCAATTTCTGCCACGCAAAGAACCCCTTACCTCGACAAGGGCGAAATCGAGTTCGAATCCGACGACTTGCCAGTATTTATCTAGGTCCTGTCAGGTCAAATTAACACCGGGTTAGCAGGCAGCAGGACCCCGATTCGATCCCTCCTCCCTCCTCCTCCTCCTCCTCCTCCTCCGACGACGACGACGACGACGACGACGACGACGACTCAACTTATATATTACCCCGTAGTAAAGATTACCCGTAGTAAAACCGGCCGAGAAAAACCAACCCGAAAGGGCGAGTTTCGCTTATCACGAACCAGAGTTGAGCTGCTTCGTGTTTAAGTTTTTTGCTCCTCCTCGGAGAGGTTTGGAGAACAGCAAGTTAGCCGGAGATCCTATCTTCTACCTCGTTCAAGACAAGAGATGTCTCTGCCTAACACAAGGTATTGCTGTTCGGTACCGATCCAAGGTCCTTTATCACCAAGAACGTTGCCATCTTCGAAATAAAGAAGCTCCCCTCTCTCCATTTCCAGAAGTCCGACATTTCTGCCGTTGAACCTGGATTGGCAGATAAGGTCGGAGAGGTATCTTATGCTTATGGCACACAATCTGCTGTCTGATTCGAGACGGTGGAACCATATAAGTAGAATTTCGAGATGGAGTTCTCTTTTGATGTCGATGGTATAAATCGTCCACCGGAGGGAAAGTGGCATGGCGGTGGAGTTTTTAACTGTTGATGACGGCAAGCTGGACCAAAGCTTGGGGAATTGGACGCCACACGCACAAGGCTTGTCCTGACTCCCCTGCTCGATGTCGATAGCTAAACCTTGCCGTGCTCGCTCTCTCCAAGCTGGATCACGTCTTTTGGTTGAGAGTTGTTGAAGCACGGCAGGGTACGCTTGATTCGTATGTTAGAGCGTTGATATCCTTCCATATCCTTGCGGCAGGGACTTCGAACGTAAAGTCCCACCAGAGGAATGTCTTCATCAGCTTTTTGAATCCGTCCCAGTCAAGCTGCCGATCGTCAACCAACCCTCGTAGTTGCTGCAAATACCATCCTCGAGCTTTTGTGAATGTGGCGGCTATCGTTCCCATGAAGACAACCCACGTCAGCAAATCGCCATAGACGGCTGATTTCCAAAATATGCGCAGACTAGGGGCTTCTAGAACGGCACGAAGTCGACGGGCCAGGCGGGGTTTGACGCCACTGCTGTATGGCAGTGGCAGTATCACCATGTCGCAGAAGATCAAACCCGCTATCCGACAGAGCTCGTAGAGGGCTTCAAATGAGTCCGTCTCCGAGTCTGTGGCCGCGGCCAGGCTACAGAAGCCGTGTTGAGTCTTGTTTCTGGCGTCGACCAGATCGGACAATGCAGGGTGTCCTTCTGCACCTCGGTGATACTGGTCTAGGGCAATGGTGACTTCGCAGGCTTCGAGATACAGCCGATGCACCTTCACGTCGATAGAGGCCAGCAGCGTCAAGCCAGACCCCAGGACCTTCGAGAGCCCTTTCGCATGCTGATCCGGAATACATTTGCCCTTGGCGACCAGGTCTTGGGACCCATGCATCCATGGATATAGCGGACGACTGCCCTTGAGGGTGGACACATAAATGTCAACGCTACGCGCCGTCAGCCAAGACCAATCCAAGTGGATTTCTCGAGCACTTACACCTCGACCATATATGCTAAAGCACTATTCTTCGTTAGCACTGGAAAATCACACAAGCAACGGTGTATTCCCGACTTCCCAGAAGAGGTGCGGCTTCATCATCCCGGGGGGGGGCTTACTATGACTTCAAACCCTGCAGTCCTCCCTTGCGTTTGATAAGCATATGCACGGCCTGAAGATGTGTATCATTCAGTTTGACCCTTCCAACAGGTTGGGCCTGTGCGAGCGGTGACTTGGGATGAACCTCCTCTCCAGGCGGCTCGTTGACGTCTCCAGACGAAGTGACGAGGTTCAGAATTGCCATGATCAGCTCATCTGATGGCTCTGATCTCCCATTGTTGATTGATTGGAGCTCTTCACGGATGAGCTTGACGGCGGTCATCTGGTGCTCGAGTCGCTTCAAGGAAAGATATTTCACCGCCGTTTCATCCTGACAAATGCTCAAGGCTGCCCCCGCGGCACCCATAACTTGGCAATGAAACAGAAAAGGGTATTGTACCGCCGCCTGCCTCCAAGAGTTCTTCGTCACCGCCAGCTGGTTGTCCTCGGACTGGACCATCTTTGGCCAGACAACTTCGTAAGCTATGCCGAGTTAGCCCAGCGGTCCTGAAGTTGGGCTGGTCTGATATTCTCGGGCTGGGAGTGAAACTGTCTGGCAGTGCTGTAGACTTCAATTATATTCGCAATTTTACTCACCATCTTCTAGGACAGCAAGCAGTCGACAAGGAAGATTGCTGCCCGCGTACGAGCCGAACGGGTCCTGCCTCCCCTGGCCAAGAATTGCCCACAAGTATCTCTGGTCTTGAACGCCATCCCCGTGAGCATGGCCGACCTGAGGCCTGTCATTGTGCCCGTGACCCCATTCAGATGGACGGTGGAAGACCGCGTCGCTGCTATGTGTGTGAATCCATCGTGATATGGCATTGCTATCCTTTGTCGTAATGGACGATGCACGGTGACAACAACTACAATCGAAACCCTCTCCCTCATCAACTTCCTCCTCGCGGCTCTTTTTCTTCCGCTGCTGTTTGGCTCTGTTGTGGGTAATCCGTGCTGCGTGAGATCGGGCCGCTGAGTCTCGCAACTCTTGTGCTCGGCGAGATTCTGTGCCTGGGGCAGGCTTCACCAGGAGGAATTGGATCTCCACCATGATTTCGACACGAAAGAGGTTCGAGCGGGGAGAGACAGTTTCAGGGGAGTTTCCTCATCCTTTTTTTCAGCGCGGGTTCCCCAATTCCACGTGTTCATATATACCCAGCGGACAAGCCGTTACATCTTTGGCTTTTTCTGGCAGGCTGAAGCACAAATAAGGTTGGAAAGAGCAAGGGAGGGGAAGACCCCGTGCCTTAACATTGCAAGTGCCTCGCTTCTTACGGTTGTCTGGGGGGATACCAAGCGAGAAGCTGAAATTGCCTAAACCAATGCCGGTAAAAGGGTTCGCCTACCTTATGTAATGGGGCGCTCGAACGACGAGATATCATTAGAACGGGCAGGATTTACCTAAGAGTTCTTGTGCCCAGAAACCGGCTAGGAGCCTGTGATCCCGTCCGAATCTGTACGCTTAGATAAGTGTGCAGGTAAGTCGTGGCTTGGGACCTCACCACAGAGCTGGACCTAAAGGAGGGTGGGAATGGATGGGGAGCGTGGCTGCATGCTGGACCACATGCCTAAGACGACAGGACCCAAGGGCGAGCACAAGGATTTGTGTGCATAAGTATCCCCTCGAAAATGTAGATTATTCGAGGCAGTGGGTTCTTCCAAGGGTGGCCATCCCGTACCAAATCCCGCGAGGTCTGTACTTGAATCCGTGCTTTGCCCCAGGACCCGAATGTCACAGGACACAGAAGTACATCAGTACACCCAGACTCGGAACCCGGCACAACAATGTTTACCTCTCCCTCCAGGACACCCCCCCCAGTTATCCCCAGCGGGCGCCACGATCCCCTAATGCAGGGCCTCGCGGATGACTAAGTCCAACCCCACAAACTTCTTGCCTAAAGGAGTAATGGAAGTTACCAAGGTGGGATGATGATCTTCAGATTGGAAGTCGTCGTTGCGTGTGGTCTACACAGTAGAAGGATGTTCGTGTAGCTTGGAGATCGAGTGTGTCCTCAATGAAACTTGTAGGGTCTATGGCAAGTCCACAGTCACATGGCCTCTACTTTGCCACCTAACCATGGACGCCACTTAATTCGGCCCTCTCTAGCGACTATCACCCGGAAACAAGAATGTTTGGGTATATAACCGAGTCGTTCAAAGGTCGCTGGATTCCACCCAGCAGTTTGTCTTCAGCGCACCAATCACTTCCTCTCCCTGGATTCAACCTGACTGGACATCTGCATGCGTATTCGTCCTTCCACAATCGTTGTTAAACCACCGGGGCGAGCTCGTCCCAGCGCCGTACGATATCGTTCTTCTCCTCCACTGTGGCCTTGTTCCATTCCTCCTCGCCCTGCGCCATCCTCGCCGCGTGGATATACTGGTCAAAATCCAGGGCCTCGCGCCACCGAAATCCCTTGTGGAGTCCCTTTAGCGTGTACGCTGGAAACCCAAACAGTGCCGCCATGGCCTTGAGGCCAAGTCCACCGGCTCCCAGTCCGAGACCCTTGGTGAATCCTACGATGCCCCCGTCTCTGGCGCCGTGGAGCGGGAGCAGCACCACCCCAGTGACGGCGTCGGACAGCTGGGTCTGGAACTCCCGTGCGCCGTGCTCGAGTCCATGTTTGAATGTCTTCACCCGTGTCGAAGGAGGTTGGCGGACGGTCTTGTCGCCGTACAGCTTGGGCGCGTTGTGGAACCCGAGCGCGATGGACATGGTTAGTTTGGCGGGGAACTTGAGGCACACGTCGGCGATGTTGGTCAGCGAAGACGCCAAGTTGGACGATATGTCAACAGAAATGTCTGCCATGGTTTGCAAAATCGGGCTTGATCCGTCCCTTTGAAGGCTTTGACCCTCACGTCGGGCACGGCGAGAAGGCGGTCGACGGTCAAAAGAGCCGCAAAGCTCGGCTTCGAGTTGTTTGTTGACGGCTCGTCTCTGTAATAATTCTGAAACGTACGAGGTGCGAGAATCAAGCGGTCGGAGTGCCCTGTCGTTCTCCAAAGGAGGGGTCGGCGACGACGGCGGCGACGTCGAGGAAATCGTCAAGGGACAAATGCTGCCTGGGGACAGCGAATCACAAGCCCCAGCAGTTTCCGGCTTGGGTGTTTGAAAAGTCTGCACCAAGTTGATTGGCAATTCGACGAATTCTTGGGTTAATCGCCCAACAGCACTGACTAATGTGGACAGGGTACCGGAAATCGGGCCCCACGGCCCATGCTCGAGCTCGTATTCCTGAGATCGATATCTGCCCTCTGTTAGAAACGGCTCTATCCTGTTAGAGACAGCGGCCTCTCGTGCGGTCTCTCACAGTTCGAGATCATCCTCCTGCAGTATTCCTTCCTTAATCAGGGTGGTCGCGCAGAGCGCACTGAGTCGGATTCGTGTATTCTTCACTTTCCAAATTCCTGCACGACGTGGGAGAATCGAGCATCGCAGTTTGGCCGCCGGTAACTTGGCCTGGAAGATCTCAGCACCGGTTTCACTTCCGCGCTCGTGTCGCATTCGTTCCCTTAGTCTTTGAGCGGTCGCCAAGGTGGAAGGCAGCAAGGCCTGTGTAATGGCGGTGGCCAGCCGCTTTGCTGTTAACGACTTGTAGGGAACGGGAAGTGGTCCGGCGCCGGCTTGGGCGACTATCTTCCCCCAGAAGAACTGGTCCCCAAAAAAAGGTACTATGACCGTTGGCTTTCCGGCCAAGAGACCGGCTGCCGTGGTTCCGGCGCCTCCATGATGCACGACTGCGCAGACTTGGTCGAAGAGCCAGGTGTGCGGAATATCGGATATAATATGGACGTTTTCTGGTACCTCTCCGCTCCCAAGGCCGGCCCATCCAACCGAGACCAGTGCACGAACACCTGCCTCTGCAATGGCGTCAAATATAATCTTCGTCATCTTTTCGGGATCTTTCACGACAATGGAGCCAAACCCAACATAAACTGGAGGAGGACCGTCTGCCAAGAACTTCAATAACCGTTCAGGTACTTTCGGTGCAGCGGCCAATGGCGGTAATTGGAAGTATCCGGCCACAGAAACATTGGAACCCCAGTCAGGAGGCTTTGGCAGCAGAGCTGGAGACCTAAAAGCGTAAGCACACAATTGACTGGATTGACATAGCTGCTTCTTACCACGCATAAGTGAAGGGTATATCATCGCTATGAGTTATCCCGGAAGCCCAAATAATGCTGAGAGGTTCTAAATGGAGACATCGCTGACGGAAGAGATTAATGACATCTCCTAGACCATGCCAAATCACCCTGTTGACAAGGACATAGGATAGCATATTAGCCAATCCTTTGTCCAAGCTTGAAGAGCGTATGATTGCAAGTGGATGAGGGAATGTTTGCGTTGGCGTCCATGGCATACTGGGAGCTCGATCATTAGTTCAAGCCCGGACAATTGCCTCAACAGGGAAACATACGTAAACATCAGATGTAATGGGATCCCTAGCCTCTCTGCGCAATGCACGTGGGCAAAGCTCGGGGGATTTGCAATAATAACGTCTGCAACGAAAGGCCTCGCGTTCGGCCGACTGTGACTCCATTTTGAGAGGCTCGCATAGTCGTCATTCGTTGGTCGTGGTCCCATTCCGTCGCCTGCCTCGATACATGATCTCCAGCATCCCTTGAGAATTTCATAGAGACACCTTCGTTGCTTCAAAACCTCACCGCTGCGCAGGCTCTCGTAGTGAGGGAGGAGCCCAGGGTTGTTGACCATGAATCTCATCAAGGCTTCGGGATTGCCGCCGATGTTGAAGAACTCCAATCCCTGTTCTTCGATGAATGACTTGAAAACGGCATGTGTGGCGATACGGACGCGATGGCCGTGAACGTCCCGAAGCACCTTTCCCAGGGCGACGAACGGCTGAACATCGCCTCTTGATCCTACGATCTGGATCACGACGTTTAGCTGGGGAAGCGGCCGCGAAGACCCTTCCGAGGAAGATCCATCTGTATCCACAATTCTCTCCAGGTGGCTCTGAAGCTGAGGATAGAGATGGTCAGAGTTGATAGTGTTAGTCCGTGTGATGTCAATATTGATGCGGCCATTTTCTATGCCACCGTCAGATACCAAAGAGGAACTCTGGTGAGGGGATTTTACCGTCTATGTCTGCCCTGGTCGTGAATCTGTTTAGTGGGGAAAGCAGTGGAGGAGGCAAAGCAGGCGCATTCTCATAGTTAAGATTTGTCCGATCGGCAGCGTCGGCGCACAGGCTGGCTTGAGACATCTCTTTAATCCATTGAGGGAAGATAGCACATTTTGTTGTATTGCGAGTCCGCGAGAGGCGTTTCCACGCTCCCAGAGTGTTTCGCAGGCTTGCAGTGATGTCGAGAATTTTGCTTACCTCTTAATTTGCACCCATCGTTGGATCCGGCCCATGGGAGAGCCCGGAAGTGTTCACGAGACCTGGCTGGCTGCAAACAACTAGAAGGCATCAGATCTGGTCCGATATACCGAGCTTGAGCAAATATGGTTGATTAGATGCTTTTTGCGGAGGCGGCGGGAGTGAGCTCTCGCAATCATCACCTGAGGTCGGTTCTGGTCCCCGAAACCTACCTCAGGCAACTGCTGCCGAGGCAGTTGGCGGTATTGCATCTTGAATCCTCCAAGCACACCTGATCACCACATAAGTAAACGAATTTCAGCGTTCAGCACCTTCCACGCGCGTATAGCCTCTTCTTAAGCAGGTTGTACGTCTCTAGGTACAGAGTACGTAAGAGAGCAAGCCAATGGGACCCCTATTTGCCGGGGGCAATCAGTGATTAATTAGACGTGACATTAAGTCCATTTTGGGTTTAGTGTCGTGGATATTTCGGGTATGGCGCGAGGCTTGGCTAGTCGCCGCTTTTATGCCGCCATGAGAACACCCCGCCTTCCCTCTTCCTTGTACAATCCCTCTTCCTCGAAGTCGATTGTTTGCCTTTCATTCCTCTGCTCCAAGTTGGGGTTATAAAGTCAAGACCCCCGACGTGGGCTTCGTGAGGCACTGTGCTTGTCATTTCGGGGAGTGCCCGAGTGGGTTCTTCAAATCTCCCTTTTGAGACTCTCACAGATCGAAGGGAGCATTTTGCGAAACGACGATAGTATGGTAATGCCGATGCAAGCCTCAGCGCAATCAAAACACGTTGTTGGCTAACGAAGCTTCTGTCCTGGAAATTATGTACCTGGCATTGACGGACGGCCGTTAGCCGTGTAAGCGATCCTGTTGCGCAGTCTTCACAAATGTCAATCACTGCCCTCCCCAGCATAGCTTTACACCAGCGGAAGTAGTGCGAGCTTCGTTCATTGTTCTAGCGACCTCGCCGAGCAAAAGCTTGATCGTCTCCTTTCTTATCATTTGCCTTGCCATATCTCGGACGTCGGTAAATCGCCAAAGAGGATCCAATGTCCCTGCCCGACTGCGTGGTACATGAGCCGGGTCCACGTGGAAATCTCGAGCTCCTCCTTTCATAAAAAGGTCGGCCAACAACGTTGCCATAGGCTCTCATTCTTCATTCTTCATTCTTTTTCGCCTGTGTGTCATCATGTCTATCTTATACATTCTTACTCTAGCGGTTGCCGCCTACGCCCAGGTGCAAAACTCGAGCACCACTGACGTGTCAACCGACTCGCTGTCGAAAAAGCTCCAACCCATCAATTACGGCGCGTTCACGCAAACCGCCACCTATTCAGTGGCTAATCAACTTGGATTCTTCCAAGCCTATGGTCTCAATGTCACCTATCTTCAAGTCCCAAACTCGACATATGGGTACAACCAATTACTTAATGGCGGATACGACATCATGACGGGGACTGTCGACAACGCTGTCAACCTTCGCTTCAATCAGCAGCAGCCACTCACAGTCACGGGTCAACTCGACGGCGGACCGGAGCTGACGATTGCATCGATCCCTTCCATCACTTCTATTAGTCAACTCAAAGGCAAGGCCTTGATGGTGGATTCTCCCGTGAGCGGATACGCGTACATCCTTCGAAAAGTTCTTGCTTTGTATGGGCTTTATCTTGAGAACGGCGACTATACCTTCCAAGTAAGTTCCAGCCCCTGCGATTCCTGACTGGTGCTGACCTTGTTTTCAGGTTGTTGGTTCGACAGTGATCCGATATGCCGACCTTGTCAACGGTTCTCTTCCTGATGGTACTCCCGTCTACGCCACAATCTTTACGTATCCCTTCACAAGCGAAGGAAGCGTCCTCCCTGCTGCACAACGGCCTAATATTCTGGCTTCAATTGTCGACTTCATCCAACCATTCACTTCCTCGGCATTTACCATCCGAGAGGATGCTCTCAACAACTCCACGCAGCGTGCGCTTGCGAGGAAGTTTACATCAGCAATGTACGCAGCAAACAAGTACCTAGCGAGCCCTTCCCACAAAACGTGTTCGATCAACTCGATCGCGAAGCAGCTCAACGTATCAACGGCCGCAGCCACTTCTGCGTACAATTCTGCGACAGACCCATTGACCGGCGAGACGTCATCTCCAGGCGGAAATTTCACGGTCAACCGTCAAGGCATATTGAATGTGATTGATGTCCGGAGTCAGTTCGGCGGCTTCTCGTCGGTGCCTACAGGCTTCAGCTATGCAGATGCCATCATTCCGGGAACGGGTCAGCTCATCGACTACTCTCTCCTGGATGAAGCATTGAGCTCTCTGGTCTCATATACGCCGTCCAGCAAATGCTGAAGTAACTAGGATGATTCAATTCGACGTTGCAGAGGCTGCGTTTCTTATAGACATAGATTACCGTTTGTGGCGCAGACTTTATACATAATACATCATAGTTTAATGCCAACTGTCCATGTTGACGGAATGGAGAAAAGTTCCCAATACCTTGACTACGAAAACCCCTTCACGTGGAACATGTTGTGCTGGGCCTGGACCTCGAACGAGTTGCGAAATCGGAGATTAGGGAAGTGAAGTGGAGTGTGTTGGCTCCTGGTTCCTGGCTCTGCCCCTGTTTCCCCGCTTGGGGAAGTCGAGCTAAATTGTCAAAACAGGTATACCAGGCTATCAGACTGAGGGGACTGGAATTGGGGCTGGAACAAGAGCAGGAAAGCAGCTCGTTTTGAAAAGGGGTCAAGCCCGAGCTCCGTGGAACTAAAGCACAAGGATAGGCGGCCTATACACCACATCTAGGCAAGCCCTGCGCGGATGCCATCCCGGCAGCTTAGTTGCTCCAGCTAACTGTAAATCATCTCCTGATACTGCACCACACAGACTTCTACAAGGATATTTGACAGAGCGGTGCAAGGCTAGTATAGCACTAATAATCTTCCTTTCAATGAGTCTGGAAAAGATCTTCGTGACTTATCCTTGGTTCCAACTCACGGCCGAGGCGTGAATGAAGCCTCCCTACGTACGACTAAGCCATAGCCAAACGCAGGGGACAACCTGGCAGTCGTGAGACCGAGCTTTCCCTCCATTGTCGACAAGCTTGCCTTATGGCCCCAAGTGATTTCGCAAACATGTGAGTCCGACACAGATCAGACCGGCCAGAGCAGGCGCCTTGAAGATCCTCTTCGCGGCCCGTTGGTGATCCCCCAGACGCTCTTTGCTGCCCGACAGCGCCAGGGGGCGTTTTTGAGGTCCACCTTGGGCGATTGCGACACCATAGAAAATGCGAGCTGGAGACAAGGGCTCTTCACAGGGGAAGTAAGGCCCTTTGCCGCGCGGAAGTTCATGCAGGGAAAGGCCTCCGGTGCGTTTCAATCGGGCATGCAACCCGTTTCTTGGCTGGTCTCGAGTCGCCTGATACAATAAAGTTTTGTCAGGTATTTGTGGCAGATCATAAGCCTGTTGACCGAGCAGTTGGGGTCGTGCTGACGGTGCGTCAACTTGAGGATGTTCAACTATCAGATATAATGATCCATGACTTCCCTGCCGCCTTCAGTGAATTTTAGCCTGCGAAAGTGGAAGGCTGCTCGGAGTGAGCACTCCCTGATGGCTGGCAACGGCGCTGCAGGTGTTCGAAACGGGCCAGCCTGTATGACTAGCCTAGTAGGTTGGGCCGGCCTGAACCAAAAAATCCCCTGCGACATGGAGGACGACTCTGCCTTCTAGTAGTGGAAACGGTGCTTCTCGAGGAGTGATCGTCCATTTCAAAGCCTGCAGTGCCTAGCTAGTACCTACAGGTCCCAAGCTACCCCGTTCCAAGCTAGTCACTACCACTGACCACTGTGTCTCGTAGAGGCAATCTTTCTAGGCCCTCGGCTCGATTTCGAGGGAGCGATGGTGGCAAGTGGTCAAGACAGACGAGACCCGATGCTTCTCGACTCATATGCGAGCCTGCAACCTGTCTCGAATTTCTTCGAGGCCTTTCACGATTCCATGAATCGCGACGCTCATTTATACGCTGCGATCAAGCAAGATCGAGATGAAGACGGCGGCTGGGCTGCCTCCCAATCCCCATGGCCAGCGGCTGGCACACGTTAGCATTATCATGTGCACCATTGCCGGATTCCTCGTCATTTGCCGACTGCTTGTGCGCTTTCTGGTCCATCGACGGACTGGCTGGGATGACTATACGCTGATTATATCTCTGGTCTGAGCTGTGTTCCCCCCGTCTTTGCTTTGAAACGATACTGAGAGTAACAGGCGCTGGCGATTGGGATGACAGTCTGTTTCAATATGGGTATGGGTATCCCCTAAGCAGCCCGCGACAGACTGACATTTTGTTCCAGAGGTCTACTACGGCATGGGACTGCACACGAAACAGCTCGACGCACACAATAAAGTCCTGGCTTTTGAGGTGGGATTCTGTTCTCACCCCATCACCTCGTTGGCGCACCCCCTCATGCTGATTTGCTGTCTTCTAGTGGCTTTGGGTCGCCCAGCTTCTGTACAAATTCGCCAACGGAATGACAAAAATCACCATTGTGCTTCTATACCTCAGAATCTTTCCGACCAGAAAATTCAAGATCCTGGCTTGGAGTGTGATCGGGTACGTGGTGGCGTACTGCACGGCAGCGGTTTGCACGAGTATCTGGCAATGCGAGTAAGTGTAAAATTTCCCACAATGAAGAAGGGCCCGTCCTTAATGTTGTCTAGTCCGATCGAAAAGGCTTGGAAGAAAACGCTGCCCGGCCACTGCATCGATATCGGCAAACTATGGTACGCGAACTCGGTGTTGACCATTGTCGCGGACCTGGTTCTCATCGCTATGCCGGTCAATCAAATCGTCAGACTGAAATTGCCGTTGTCGCAGAAGCTGGGGTTGATCTTTGTCTTCAGTCTGGGGGTCTTGTAGGTTTTGCTGTCCGGTCAGGCAGCTGGTCCGGACATCTGTGCTGATCATTTTGAATCCAGCGTCATGGCTTGTACCATTATCCGATGTGTTATGCTTGGTCCGACTACCTCTCAGAAAGACTCAGTTTGTAAGTGCAAAGCCTCTCTACACCAAACAGCCGTCATTGGAAGACCCACGCCTAACAGATATCCATATAAAGACTACCAAGCGGAATCCAACAGCTGGACGTTCCTTGAGGTCGATGTGTCCATCATCTGTGCCTCCCTCCCCCTCCTGAAAACTCCACTGCAGCGACTCCTCCCACAGATATTCGGAATGAAATCGTCCTCCGCCAAATCCGATGGCTACTACCACGGGAACGCCCAAAAATCGAGTGGGAGGGGTGCCGCTATCCCAATGAACAACCGCGCCGGACGCCCGAGGGGTCCGTACAGTGATGCGGCAAGTGATGAAGAACAGATCCTGGAATCGGGTGCAGGGATCATGAAGACGACAAAGGTCACGCTGGAGTATGAGGAGGCGGAAATAACGAAAGATTTGGCTGACAGGAAGCCTCGCAACGGGACATTTGACTTTGGCTTGCAAAGTTAGGTGCTGATTCAAAACATGTGGCGGGGTTAATGTGAAGCCATCGACAAGGAATATCGGTCAAGAGGCTCTGTCTGTATCCACGTGAGGGCGGCCCTTGCTCCTGGGTGTCAGGACAAATCTAGACAGAGGCTTCCCTTTACCCCTGTATGTTGGCGGTGACGAAGATGAATTACCACGAGGGTTCTATGTGAACAGGAGACTTCCCATCTATAACCAGCCAGCCTTAGCCATCCAATTCCTAGTCCTGACATTTGGCGAATAGAACTCACATTGGTGATCCAAAGAGGCGGCGCAGCTACGTGATCGGCTACGGCGCCAGGTTGAAAACATCCGTCCACCGCCCAAGATATTTTAGGTGCTATGCCGGAACTGGTTTTCATGGATGTAGAAGGGCCGAATTCGACGAAGGATACCAGAATGACATCGCTCAAAAAATAGGGCATATATCCTTGGGGCATCGGCTTCGGATGCGAAATTTCGGATGAGGATAGCATGCCTGCGTTGTAATACATGGATGAACCGAGTGGACCGACTGCTGATTGGTCTCTCAGCTAAGCTCCATTTCAGGATCGCAGCCGGGGCTGATCAGACCTAGTGGAAATACTCTTCAGTCGATCCAACCCGGCGAACGACTCCGGCATTCATTATTCCTACCCGTGTCGCATTCGGCATGGACGAGCCAGAGCAGGTCGACCTGTTCTCGTTACCAATTGATGCGCCTGTGTCCGGTATGAGATTACCTCGGGGCCAAGAACGCGAATTCTTTGCATGAGGCAGTCCAGTTTTCTATTTCGCATGGATTGCCGAGGTTACCAACTTCCACATCGGGACATTGCTTTTCCATAAATGTCAGTCGAGGCTAAACCCTGTTGTCGTCTACGACGGCGACCAACGGTGTTAGTGACTGTCGACATTGAACACTGACCATGAGTTCCTTGGAAGGATACAATATAGCCATCACCGGGGGTGGATCTGGGATCGGCCTTGCCACCACGGTTGAACTCTGCAGTCGAGGGGCCACGGTGTGGATCGCCGAGCTGACCAAGGACGTTCCCGCTAAGCTCGAGGCTTTGGTCCAAGCAGGAAAAGTACTGTTTCATGGAGGCATCGACGTGGCCAGCCGGGAGGCCTGCGTCAAGTTCTTGGACGAAGTCGTACAGAAGTCGGGGCGTCTCGATAGCTTGGTCAATAACGCTGGAATAGGGCCCGCCGAAGGACCTATTGCGACAGACGAAACTTTTGACAAGATCGTGGATGTGAATCTGCGAGGCACCTGGAATTATGGCACACAAGCGCTGCAAATCATGGAGAAGCAGGAACCCAAGGGCCAGTGGGGGACCAGGGGCACCATCGTCAACGTGGCAAGCATGTCCGGACTTCTTGGGTGGAACAACTTGGCTGTCTACACGGCGACAAAACATGCTTCTGTCGGGCTGGTCAAGGCATGGAGCAAAGATTTTGCCCCTCTTGGTATACGGATCAACGCTGTGGCACCGTGTAGGGGCATCCTGACCCCTTTGGCGTACCCACAAAATGCTAACTCTTGACAGCCGTAACTGAGACGGAGGGGGTCAAGATATGGTTTGCGCAAAGGAAAAAGGACTTCAATGAAGACATGAAACCTCCTCCCGCAGGACGATTCGCACAGCCTTCAGAAATCGCCAAGGTGATTGCGTTCCTCCTCGGTGAGGATTCCAGCTATGTAAATGGACAGACCATTCCGATCAACGGTGGCTCTATATGAGGAGGCGAAGGTACAATTGGGCCAGTGGGGTTCGTATTATTTGGCATCAAGCAGAGATTATATGGCAACAGAGCGGAGGGTTGTTCATTCAGTGAATACAGCCTCGTCGCATGCAGCCATGAACGCAGACGGAAATCCAAAATATCTCACAGCCTCACTCTGCGCCTGTCCCGGAAGAGGCCGACTGAGACTATCGTTGGGCTAGCGGCTCTCTTATGCGCGTGGGCGGCTATGCATGTCTGTATTCTCTTTGAGCGAAGACTTTTCTTTATATCTATACCATCCAGAGCTCCTGGCTGGTGTTAACCACCCTCCCCATCTGCTCTTATGATGCAGAGTTGTCCTGTCTCTCGGATGCATTGTAAGGCCATCCGGCTGAGTATGTCACTTCGGATACAGACACCTTGGAGTAGACTACTAAGGTACGGAATTACTCGCAGTCTGCACCCTGATACTGTGACAGTGGCGGGAATCCTGTGGTAATCTCAACATGTGGCTTAAAAGGAGTCAATTACTTGAGACTCTAGTGAAATTTTCCGTCTGTGAATCGTCGTCCTCGACACGCATGGATCTTGTCCTCCAGGTTGCAGTCCGGCACTGCTGCCAACCGACGGCCAAAGTTGAATGCCTGGTAATTTCACAGTAGTGAATTTTCGCTGCATACGCAAATCGTTCACAGCGCACTCTACCTCGGCTTTCTTTTACACCCCGAATGCCTTGCAGTGGACCCTTGAATCTTCATTCTGAGGTCTCAGCAAAGGCCGAATAGCTTTGCATACAGGTGAATGATCCGAGGGACTCAAATCATGGGTGTCCATTCTAGGAAACCGAGGACATACTCCACCGATATCATCAATGTACCTGTTGCCCGAGATATTGTATTGGTATGTACAGATAAAGCCCATGACTCTACACCATACAATCACATTTACAACAGTCTCTATTCGTGCCCCTATTTCCCAAATAACTGCGAAATATCACCGCCATGTCTGTCGCAGTCCAACAATCCATTGAACCGCAAAGTGCTGCACTTCTGGAGCATCGGAGCTTGACGGAGCCGGAGAAAGTTGAATTAGATTTTGACGCGCTCAAAAGGAAATACCAGGAAGAGCGCGACAAGCGACTCAAGAACGGTGGAATCAACCAGTACACCATCATCCAACCGTCGAGCAAGGCGGCCGAAAAGTTCTTGGACGATCCATACGTCAAACCAGGCTTCACGCGTGATCCGATTGAACTGGACACAGATGTGATCATTATCGGAGGAGGATTTGGCGGTCTCCTGTGCGCCGTGCGACTACTAGAACAGGGCATCACCAATTTCCGAATTATCGAAAAGGGAGGTGATTTCGGGGGTACATGGTACGACCTCGTTCGTTAGAAACCCGTCAACACAGCGGAACTGAACATTCTTAGGTACTGGAATCGATATCCCGGAGCACAGTGTGATATCGAAGCATATGTGTACATGCCGCTACTTGAGGAGACCAACTATGTGCCTTCGGAGAAATACACTCACGCGTCTGAGCTGCTCGAGCACGCACACCGGATTGGAACTCACTACGGTTTGTACGAGAAAACTATTTTTCAAACTGAGACCCTGAAACTCCAGTGGAACGAGACAACGACTCGCTGGGATGTCCAAACAAATCGAGCCGATACTATCTCTACTCGTTTCATTATACCGGCAGCAGGACCTCTTCACAGGCCAAAGCTACCAGGTGTCGAAGGCATAGACTCCTTCGAAGGTCATGTATTCCACTCATCTCGCTGGGATTACGACTATACCGGAGGTCATAATCGAGGAGGCCTAACGAAGCTCGCGGACAAACGAGTTGGGATTATTGGGACCGGCGCGACAGCGGTACAAATTGTGCCCCATGTCGGTGCTACCGCCAAACAGCTTTACGTCTTTCAGCGTACCCCGTCGAGTATCGACGTCCGGAATAACCGCCCGACGGATCCCTCGTGGGCCAAGTCCCTCCCGAAAGGATGGCACCAGGCACGAATGGACAACTTCGACACCGTTATCGCTGGGGGGTATGTCGAGGAAGACTTGGTCGCCGACGGCTGGACGGATATCTTGAGGAACCTGTGGCCACGCCAAACCGGAAACGAATCGGGCACCCTGGATCCTGCCCAGATTGCGGCGAAGATTCAGCTGGCGGACTATCAAAAGATGGAGTCCATCCGTGCTCGCGTCGACAGCATCGTAAAGGACAAGCAGACCGCGGAGGCCCTTAAGCCATGGTACAACCAGATGTGCAAGCGGCCGTGCTTCCACGACCAGTACCTTCAGACCTTCAACCGGCCCAACGTGAAGCTGGTAGACACCAAGGGAAACGGAATCGACAGAATCACCCCCGAAGGCTTGATGGCGAACGGCGTCGTCTACGAAATCGACTGTCTGATCTACGCCACCGGGTTCGAGCTCGCGACCGACTGGGCTCAACGGACGGGGATGGAGATCTACGGGCGAGACGGGATCACGACGACCGAAAAGTGGAAGAACGGGTTCCAGACATTCCACGGCTGGACCAGTCGCGGGTTCCCCAACTGCTTCTTCGTCAACAGCGTCCAGGCCGCCGTGTCGCCCAACTTCCTCCACGCGACCGCCGAACAGGCCAAGCATTTCGCCTACGTGGTCCGACGTGCCTGTGACAAGAAGGTCCGCACCCTGGAGCCCACCGCCGCGGCCGAGGACGCCTGGGTCCAGGTCTGCGTCGACCTGGCGGCACCTCGCCGGAAATTCCTCGAGGACTGCACGCCCGGTTACTACAACAACGAAGGCGAGTTCGACGACTTGAAGTCCCAGCGAAACGTCATCTATGGCGCAGGGTCACCGGCGTTCTTTGAGTTGACTAGGAAGTGGAGGGCTGATGACCACTTTGAAGGTTTGGAGGTCCATTATCTTGGAGACTAGAAGGTCGAGATATATACATTTAGAGAAATCAGCAGCACCAGTACACATTTGGATGAGTGAGATGATGGGCACATGAACGTTGAGCTCTCTGTTCTGTTGTTTGTGTTTTAATCCAACAGCATGAGTCTCGCACAAGGGCCTATGCTCTGGTGTAGTAGGTGCTCGATGACTTAAGGACTCGAGGAGTGTCCAAGGGCGACAACTTTGAGTTGGCCCTAACGTACTCGGTATACAGTTCCGGATAGACCCATAAATCTCGTGTTCTGTTGTTTGATTGGCCAGCAGCAGCAGATAGCAGCTCATCTATGACAACCCCTATTTGTCTGCCCCCTC